CGGTGATGCAGCAAGTCTGATTGGTAAATACCCCAGCAGGGTCTTTGTTGCGCGTCGGTTGCCTTTCCTTTTCCTGCTCAGGGGCTGACGATCACCCGACCCGGTACTTTTGTCGAGGGGTTATCGCCAGCAACGGCCGCCGATGGTGCCGCGATAAGCCTTTTTCCTATTCCCGCTGAGCAGTTAGGGGGTTCATCCTGGCGAGGAGAGAGTGATGTGTCGTAGGTTCTTTGGGAGTCTGGATTCTTGATTACTCACCTGCGATTCTACAGGGAGCTGGATTGGTTATAATAGGAGATCGAAGCTGCCTTTATCCAACTTATGGTTTGAGTGTCGAAAGACTCAGATTGAGTGACAGGAGGGTCTTTCAGAATACAGACACAAAGATGAGTAGCAAAGACAAAAAGGTAGGGTAGTGCGAACCTGCAAAGAATTGCTCAAAGGAGCTAACGCAGATAGACACCTTCGACGACATCGAAGCCCCATGAAAAGACAGCACCACAGCGCTCGACCGTGAATGATCAAAACGACCCCACCCTGAGCACCAATCTACATCTAAATCGATCGCCAAAAGCTTCCGAGCAGCGCTCATTCCTAGATATGCACCGCCAGAACCAGGAGCTCAAGGCCATGCTATCGGAATGCAACACCACTCTACAACGGTGCATTGCAGAGCTCGATAAAAGCTTAGTCGAAAAGGAAAAGAAGCGCCGGAGATAACGAAGGCCGACTATGCTACAATCTTGTGACGATCCATCGAAGACGGATGCCGACGTCATTTTCATAACCTACCTCCCCACATATGCCTCACGGGTTACAGCGAACCCCAACATCGCATGGTCGCTTCTGTTTTGCATTGGAATGACACTGCAACCTATATTTCGGAAGACACTTCATTGTACTGTACAGTCAAACTATAATGGTGACACCGCAGGTTCTTGCTCTGTGTCTGCCTCCGGACCCACTTGAAATGACGAAAATGCTGTACTGAATCATTTGTTGATGTGTAATGTATCACATTTTGTTTCTGAACTCTTTAATAAGCATAGGGGTTTACAATTTGTACTACTCACCCACAAATTCAGTGCTGCTAGGCCTGTAAGATCTATGTTAAGGATATTCAATCACGTGTGACAGGATAAAGTGGATCGACGACCCTAAATGATGACCGATACTAGCCTCTTATCTCCGCCATCCCAACCAGCCATCGCTATCTCCGCCTTCTCCGAAATATCGTCTAAATGCTGACCCGCCCAACCATTGCTAGGTTGTGGAACAGGTTATCCGACTAGTCCACCCAAAAAAGCACGCGGACTCAGCAGGCCTCTTCTCAATTTAGACCTGAGGACCCTGGATACTGATCCCCACTTATAAGGTAAACTGACGTCAATGGCCCCTCTTGCTTAGTTCAATCAGTCAATTCAACCCAGAAGAGCTTGGCACGACATACTATAAAGCCAACCCATCTAGCCAACAGATTGCTCAATCATTGTTTTCACTGAGTTTTATCAGCAACCAGCAACAAGCCAACACCACAAGATGACCGACAAGGCGAGCGACAACAGTCCCCTCTTCCACCACCGCCAACTGGCGCCGGCAGCCGCCGTCCGCGTCTCACCCCTCTGCCTAGGGACGATGACCTTCGGCGGCCGCCAGCAGGGCCGGTACGGCGACTGCACGCGGGAAGACGCATTCGCCATGCTAGACCACTTCTACGAGCAAGGCGGAAACTTCCTCGACACGGCCAGCGGGTACCAGGAGGGCGAGTCGGAAGTGCTGGTGGGGGAGTGGATGGCGGCGCGGCAGAACCGCGACCAGATCGTGCTGGCCACGAAGTACACGACGGCGTACATGACGCACCACCGGGACCGCATCCAGTCCAACTACGGCGGCAACAACGCCAAGTCCATGAAGGTCAGCGTCGAGGCCTCCCTGCAGAAGCTGCAGACCTCGTACATCGACCTGCTGTACGTGCACTGGTGGGACTACACCACCTCGATCCCGGAGCTCATGCACGCCCTCAACGACCTCGTCGTCGCCGGCAAGGTCATCTACCTCGGCATCTCGGACACCCCCGCCTGGGTCGTCACCAAGGCGAACCAGTACGCCCGCGACCACGGGCTCCGCCCCTTCGCCGTCTACCAGGGGATGTGGAACGCGGCGATGCGGGACTTCGAGCGCGATATCATCCCCATGGCGCGGGAGGAGGGGATGGCCCTGTGCCCCTACGGCGTGCTCAACCAGGGCCGGTTCCAGACGCGCCAGGGGTTCGAGGAGCGGGAGAAGCATAACCCGGGCCGCAAGTTCATCCCCACGTCCGAGCACGATAAGAAGGTCTCGGCCGTGCTGGAGGACATTAGCACCGCTAAAGGCGCGGAGATCGTCAGCGTGGCGCTGGCCTATGTGATGCAGAAGGCACCCTATGTATTCCCCATCGTGGGGGGCCGCAAGGTCGACCACCTCAAGGGCAGCGTGGCCGGGTTGAGCGTGGCGCTCACTGATGAGGATATTCAGAAGATTGAGAGTGCGTATCCGTTTGACTTCGGGTTCCCGCACACGTTCCTGAGTGGCTCGATGTTCGATAACTCGACGCCGCGGATGGCGGACAAGCCTGGGGACGTCTGGTTGACCAAGAATTTGGGCAAGTTTGACTGGGTGGAACCGCCCAAGCCGATCAGGCCGCTTCAACAATAGATGCTTGCCTGAGGTTTGCGTGTTGGGGTTTGTTCTGTGCTCGTCCTGCGCGGTCGAGAGCTTGAACTTGACATAGTGTATGAGATTACCAGCGTCACAAGTAGTTCAATTAGAGAAATGGAAGATTGGATCGAAAGAAAGCGTTGTAAAGGACAACAATGCTTCTGCTTTTGCTTGTGATTTTGTAAGTGACTAGGGCTAACGGGTCTGGTGCTAAAAGGGCAAAGTTCCACTCAGACGCTAACCCTCACGCTATACTAATTCCTCTTCCCGCCTTCTCCTCCCGCACCGACCTTACTTTAACCTACTCTCTTCAAGTTCCTTGAACGAGCACTTGAACAGTAAAATCATATGGTCAAAGTCCAACTCCTAGTGCATAGTCCCCGTTCCTGATCAAGACCAATGGACCAAGTCCTCGCCCTCCCGGAGCTCCTCGAGCCCATTTTACTGGCTCTCGATCTCCGAACTCTCCTAACCTCAGCCCAGCGGGTCTGCACCCAATGGCGAAGCATCGTCCAACGATCCTCCTCCTTGCAGGAAAAGCTGTTCTTCAAGCCCCGAGCAACAGCCAAGAGGCATTATTCCCCGGAACCGATCTTCAACCCTCTTCTGACGACAGCCTTCCCCGCAATCTTCCACGCTGTCTCCCCACACCGCGGCCGGGAATTCAACATCGCCGACCTAGAACTCATCACGCACCCGGCCAAGCGAACAGCGTACCTGCGCCCCGAAGCAAGCTGGCGCAGTATGCTCATCCAACAGCCGCCGACATCCTCGTTCGGCATCGTGCAACGCAGTGGCGGCCAACTCGGGTATAGCGGCTCGTATGAAATAATGGTATGCACGCTGCCCCCTTCCAAGACTCGGAAATGAAACCCACTCCGTTCCCCCTTAGATTGGCTGTGAAGGAACACAAGCAGAAATAAATAAGAAAGGAGTAGGGCGAATTCTGCTGATAGTAGACCGTTTTGCAGAAGACGGAAAGTGGTTTGCGCATGGAAGCAGTGTTCGAAGTGCTATTCTTCCACCATGACATCGACGCTTACAACTGCCCCGACGGGATCATCTGGTGGAGCGAGGGCGCTGCGCGGAAGGTCGGGAGGTTGCTCGAGCCCTTTGCGGAGGAGGAGGGCGAGAAGGTAGAACAGCCCGGGGTGCTGGTGCATGTGAGCTTCTTTGCCACTTGTACGTCGACGGAATCTGAGCTGGAGGATGAGGATTATCGGGACGTGCTGAATGCGGTGCGGGCTGGGTACCAGGCGCTGGGGTTAAAGCCGAAGGTCTTGGCGGGGCCCGAGTGGGAGAGGCAGACGTGGGAGTATTCCAGAACTTGGGACTGATATTTGGTAACCTAGTATACGGAAGATGAATGTTTTGAATGAAATGATCTATGGGGGTGTTTCATTGCATTAGAATATGCGAAGCGAGGGCTGGAAAGAATGGTAAGTTACTCTGAGCATTTCTTTACGGATTCTTGCTTGGGGTTGCAGTATTCGACCGGTACTTGAGACATAACTTCTACTCTTCTAGTAGAAAGCTTAGCCGTAATATTTCCACTTGAGTTAGTCAATAAGAGTATAATCTAGCTCTCGTGAAAATGTAAATGATGAGAGTGATGTATCTAGACTAAAAGATACCTGATAATCTATTCCACTTGTCTTCGGGTAAAAGACATAAGGAGAGCATAATCTAGACGACAATAGTCAAGGTAAATCCTATAAATTCATCTTTTTTAGTAATAGATGTTGATTCCAAGTAGATGATAATAAGGATTTAGATTTTTGACTTAAATTTTCATGACAGGAATTTAACCTTCACCGCAGAAAACAAGTCAGATAGCAAAGCAACGCAGGTTATTAGCCTGTTCTACCCATAATCAGTACTTCTTGTACCACACCGACAATATGTAATAACAAGTAACTCTTTCCAAGTACCTCTCAAGTACCCTTCGGAAGTAGATTCACTAGCTTTGTCACCTTTGACCCTGTTATGATAAGGCTCTCAGGGATTCTCAAGCTGATAGGATTTCCTATTTGAAGAACTTTCTACCTCTTCTTTCAGAGCTTTGTAGGATTCACTCAGTACAAATCCTTTATATATATTTGGCATATCGTACATGCAAACAAAATACTGACAGAATACCTAAGCACTTCTTCTAAAGGACAGAACTGGGTAGCAGAGGGAGGAGGGAGGATACACAAGGCGGTGAAAATCTCGACAGAAAAAGATCGACGCGTTTAGGTTTGTTTTGATCCCCGCGTTTCCAAGTTTCCTTCCCGCAGCGACCCCACACTTCAAGGTTCTTCCTCCATACCGTACCTGCAAAGAATCTTATATAGTACTGTACAGTACCGTACCACGTGAAGATCAGCCCCGGCAATCTAGACCGATGGCTGTCCCAATGGAGCATGTGCTCGCCCTGCCCGAGCTTCTAGAGCACATCCTCTTCTCCCTTGATGAACGAACCCTCTTGACCTCCGCCCAACGCGTGTGCACCCACTGGCGAGGCATGATCCAGCAATCCCCGGTACTGCAGGAGAAGCTATTTTTCAAGCCCGGCCGCCGCACAGCGAGCGATGCTCCGGAGAGTACTACGAGTGATAGCGCACCAGCCCAGCAGCCGACTCTCAATCCACTTCTGATCGCCGCATTCCCCGCGATTTTCCGGACCAATTACCTCCTTCCATGCCAGAGACCCTTCAGGTTCAGCCTCCGCGGCATCGAACTCATCACCAATCCCGCGAAACGAACGGCGTACCTGCGTCCGAACGCGAGCTGGCGCTCCATGTTCCTCCAGCAGCCGCCGGCGTACTCGTTTGGCGTCTTCCAGGAATGTTCCGAGAATCCAGTCACGTGCGAAATAATGGTATGCAACCCTGCCGGAATTCCAAGCGGGGGGGGGGGGGGGGGGGGGGGGGTTCGGGAAACAAAACGAGATGCTGACGGGGAGAGATGTCCAGAAATCGGAGGGGGGGTTGCGCATGGAAACACTGTTTGAACTGCTCTTCTTCCACGAGGATCTTACATTGTGCAACTACCCTAACTGGATTGTATGGTGGGGCCAGTCCGCGAGCGTGGCGTTCGAGAAGGTGCTCGAATCCTCTTCGGCAGAGAGTGTCGATGAGCCCGATTTGCTGGTGTGTGCGATCGTCAACAGCGTGGGGCCAGGCGACCCCATCGAGGAGAATGAGGACCAGGATGTGGTGAATGCGGTTCAGGATAAGTACCGGGAGCTGGGGCTGGAGCCCAAAGCTTTGGAGCCGGAGTGGGTGGTGGAGAAGACTGTGTTCAAGGAGATATGGGGTCCTTGATTGATTGTTTGTTATATGTGAACCTTGAGGGTTTCGAGTGGACGACTCTCTTGGGGGTGGGGGTAGATCCACAGTCAGGGTAGTAGAAAAAAATATAGACTGGTTCTCGCAGGATAAGAATAGTCGATGCGCTAATTAAAGATTGTATCACAAAGTTCATCTTTGCTTCTCCAGGACCAGAGAAACAAGGATACGACCTGTACAAGAAAGGCACAAGCAAACTCAGCAGATTCACCTTCTGCATCACGGCATCTTCCATTCACAGCGACCAATCCTAGTCGATTATCTTCTTGAGCTCCGAGATCGTCCCGACAGGGATATGAACCACCCCAGCAGAACGAATCCCCTGGTCGAAGATGTCATCGAGGGCGCCGATATCGCTTGGGTCAAGGAAGCTGGATGTGTTGCCCATCTGCGTCCACGTATTCACGGCACTATGGCGATCTATTTGTCAGTACAATTTTGATGGGCCTTGAGTAGGCAAACAAGAAATACATACCCCACAACCAAATCTTCAACGGTGACCCCACCCCAGCTGCTTCCATCCAACTCCCCGATCCCCGGAAGTTTTTTGACAGTCGGATCGCGACAGAGCTGACCGCCCTGCGAGTTCGACTGACAGTACCGATCGAGGCTCACAACATCCACGAGATAGTAGATGTTGTCGTTGTAGCACACGTATCCCGACTTGGCTACGCTGCTGGAGATATAAGAGGAGAGTGGGCTGGATTTGTCGCATGTCGACTGTGAATCAACCACCCTAATAAAAGACATGGGTAGTCAGTATCCCCTCTGCATCGGGTTATCGACAAGAGGACTCAACTTACACGGCATTATGAGTGTCCGGCGACAGAGTCCATGTCAGCGGAATCAACAGACCAAACAAGGCTTTCTCCACCATTGCAGTAATGTCCGAGTCGCTGGGTGTGTCGAAGCTGGTTTCCAGCAGCTTGCCGTCGGTCAGCAGGTCGTGCAGAATATCAATGCTGTTAGAGGTCCCGTTGAACAGGCTTTCGTTCATGCTGTCGACGGTGCTGTACCAGAGCTGGACGATCGCTACAGAAAGTGTTAGGTCATAGGTGCATATATAGTGGGCGTGTGCCCGTTGTTAGAGTGTTCTTACTGTCTAGTCTTTTCTCGAGCGTGTTCTCAACTCCGAGTTCCAGGGGCGTGGAGCTAGAACGCCGTCAGTCTTTGAGTCCTCCGGGTTGAATTTCTGCTACTCACTCGGTAGCAATGACATCTTTGATGATAGTGACTCCATTCGCTACCAATGCATTGGTAGTGTCCTTGAGGTTGCTCAGCTGAAGGGGGTTCTCCGAATAGTACGGTATTTTGGTAAGTGCTATAGAGAAGTGGTCAGCTGATTCAAGCCCTCACCCTCAAACAGACAAACGCAAGGTTTACCATAGTTGAAGATAGGACTGGTGAACAGCGCAAATCCGAGGCCAAGGAAGTCCATGACAAGGTTGTCGGTGAGGGTTGAGGAGGGGAATTCGGCAAACGTTGTCGTCAGATCTCCGATTCGATTAGTCACAGAAGCTTGAACTCTTGTGAGTGCAGTGTGTGTGTTCCAGAAAAACTTCATGGCATGGTCAGGCGATGAGATTTCTCATAATAGAAAAGGTCTGTGCACAACGTACATTGTGGATCGACACGTAACCATTGAGGATGAAGTAGCCCGCTGGATGGTTCACATCGTCACATTGGATGAAACTGTCGCAGCCCACGCTGTCTGCCATCTTTGAACAGTCCATGTGCTCAGGGCCGTGGACTAGGTTGCTGATCTGGATACAGGCTTAGCTCAGAACAATCTTTGACAAGAACATAAAACAAACCTCATTGGTGTAGTTCAGTCCTCCTTCGTGCGGGTGACTCAACCAGTATTGATTCAGGTCAGTCCACGCAGACTCGGTGAAGATTGTGTTCCAGCGGGTTGCTGCATCATAGGACGCGTTCTCAACCGTATACCAAGTGCAGTCGACGTTGCGCCAGGCCGAGGGGCCATTTCCATCGAAAACCGTGCTCTTGCAACTGCTACCGCTGCAGGTGGTGTCTTCAGCCTTGGAGATGGCGGTACACTGCTTAGTCTTGCTCCCGTCCTCCAGGGGTATGACCTGATAGTTGGAGTTGTAGATGAGGTTTGGACACCCGGGATCGACGCAGAGCCCTCCGGTGGCGGACATGACCACCTCCCCGGAGGGGTTAATCACTTGGAGGAGCTGGGCTCCGGACACTTTGTTCGCGCTGTTGCCCCAGTTGAGTCCGGCGTGAAGTACGCCCTCATGGTCCACCTCGCCACTGATCTTGTATTTCCAACCCGTACCAGCGTCAGGACTCAGAATGACCGACCACCAGACGTCGTCGACTCCAGCCGTGAACCCGTCGGGCTTTTCGTAGTATTGACCTGCTGACTCATAACCACAGTCCACTGAATCAACAAGAATGGTCTTATACCACATAGCTCCAGTCACCTGTCCAGTCTGTGGTGTCATCTCGGTAGACTTCTTTCCATTCTTGTATGCTTCGACAAACGATGCCACAAGAGGCTGCCAGGCCGTGTGAGGCCAGAATTCTTGATTTGCGTAGAACCACGGCTGAGTGTCGTTGTTCTGCTCGGTCCACAGATTTCCGATGTAGTGGCTTTCGGGCCCGTCATTCTGCACTTGTCAGCTATCACGTCTTGCAAAACTTGGTAGGCAGAGTCTCTTACCCAGGTGATGAACTGAACATAATCAGGCTGCGGGTCCATATTTAGGATGTTATCCATGCGCTTAACAAGGTTTAGGTCACCTTGCCGGTAGACATTTGCACCGTACTGATGTGAAGTTAGCATGAGATTTTCGCCTACGATAGCCCCTGAATCACTCACCGCATTCTTATACTGAAGAGGGCTCAGACCTAGTTCCGTTAGCAGAGTGTCTTCACGCCCAGTACAGCAGTATCAACTTACCCATCATATATGGCTTGCTGCGATTGTGGGCTCCAGCCATAGGCAAGACATCCACACTGACGTCTCCAGCATATAAGCCACCAAAGCCTTTCCTCTCGGGCCAGGAGGTCTCCCAGCTGAAGATACCGTCTACGACATCACCCCAGTAGTCCCTATGACTCTCAGTACACGAATATGACTTTTGGCAGCAGGGGAACTTACCACCAAGCATCAGCAGCCTCATAGTAACCGTCCGTCTCGTCAAAGTCCGGCATGAAGAACATGTCGTTCGCAAGTCCGTTCTTCCATTCTGGATGCAGCCAGATTAGCCCGCCGTAGAAACCCACCATGGGAGGTGGAAAGACCCACCTGTCCAGTTCGTGTTGTGGAATCCACCAGAAGAGAATGCTGCACATCAGCAGCTTTAGTAACGAACGTCTCAAGTTAGAGAATAAACCCCAGGTACTCACTGCTGATCAGAGCCTTCCCGTCAATCTGGTAGTAGGCAGAGCTGCCTTTGTAGCCGTCCCAGACCCATTGGTAGTCAAAAGGCTGCTCGAGTTAGCCCTGTGTCCGGAGAATATACTATGGCGGAGAGTACGATACCCCCTTGCAGGACGTCTTCTTCTTGTAGCAAGCATCGCCGGAAGCATAGACATCCATGCTGACGTAGAGTTTGAACCCGACGGACTCTGCATACGGAAACATGTACGATAGCGTGTCCGACACAAAGTTTTGGGTTGCATCACCAATGTTGAGGGCGAAACCATCGAACCTATACGTGTGTCAGCGAACCGTGATGGGAAGATCGAGCGAATTCAGGAGACTCACCCGAGGGCCTTGGCATCATCGATGTCCTTTTGTGCGTGTTCCTGCGTCACCGTACCAACCTACGATACAAAGTTCCAATCATCAATGGGTTCATTCACCATGACTCAAACTCTCTATACTCACCATGTAATGTGCAAAGACTGCTTTGGCGGCAGCCTTGTGCAATAGCGTTGCCGCTGTGGCGAGAGTTGCGACAACCTTTAGACCAAGCATGTCGACTGACGGGCAAGAAAGAGCTTGGAGAGGAAAGTACCTTTTGGATGCGGATGCAGCGACCACGCAGACTATATACCTTCTCCTCGCATCGATAAATTGTCGCACTTGCGATATTGGAATTCTTCTCTGCAAGCGTGACTAGACTCAGGCCATGCGCTGCAGCCGACGTCGGTGAAACCCGAAAGGATGAAGGAATTTGTTCTGCTCAGGGCTCGAACCGTGCTTTGCGACTGCGATCATGCTATCTAAACTGCTAGCATTTCGCTTGAGGGGGTAGTGGGGCTGCTTTGGTACAATACTGGATAAGCGGCGATGGGCTTGTATATGTCGAAGTTTCTGGCCACTACTCATTTATCTTTCGCAAGGAGGCTTGAGGCTCTGCTCCCTTCTTTTGCTGTGTCAAAAACGTGGTTTTGATTGCACTCCATTTGGAATACTTAAGAATCAAGCCCCTTAATCAACGTGGAGGTTCTCCACCTCCCGAATCCGGCCCACCATACGACTCTCACTACAGCCGTGGGGCATGAAGAAGGGCACTAAAGCCCGGGGATATTGTCCCCAAGGGTCCAATCCTCTTCTCGTGACCTGGAAGTAATTTGGAACAGAGACCCCTTAGCCTGGAAGAGCATTGGGGCTCCGCTGAACCATGATGACTATCGCAGATACAGCCGCCCGTGTCGATGGTGTATGCCAGAGAATTTACACATATCTAAGCCCCCCTTGAAAGCTCGAGGGTTTAGAACAAAAAGGCAGAGAGAGAGGTTTCTGAAGCACAGTACCACGGTATACACATTGTCAGTTCTGCGAAAAGAACGTACGAGCTCAGGCAGATCTTTATTAATAGTTGGATCAAGCGATTTAAGTTCAATTTGAGTGGCAAGATGGCCGAGTGGTTTAAGGCGTCAGATTTAAGTAATTGACCTCTGATCTTCGAAAGAAGGCGCGGGTTCGAACCCCGTTCTTGCCAACACCCAAGTAACATTTTCCTTTTTGGCACACCAGTCCACTACCTAGGCAATTAACTCACCAGCCATCCTTTTTGCCTTAATTTGTCCTACACTTGTTACCCACCTTCAAGCACATAAAGATGAATCGTAGCCTGCATAGGTCGAAGGCCGTCGCCAAGGCAAGCCGGGCCCTGTTGACAAGACTTTTCATGATTAGGGCACTGGCTCGTTCGGCCGTCTGGTGATATGGAAAGTATTGTGAAGGTAGCAAAATCAAGGTCTTGGAAAGGTAAACTAGCTAGGTTGAAAATCGCACAATTTGTCTTGGGAATCCTTCCCCACCCCAGATTTATCTTTCTTGTGATACATCACCCAGCCCGCAACGGGTTGTAGAGAGTCCAAGCCCGTAGTCTCGTCACCAAAGGGCTCCTCCAGTGGCCGACCACTCGATTTGGCATCAATCCCGATCATCCCCGCCACCATCATCGTCTCATACTCCACCCCATTATCATTGACATGCAACGGCACCGAGGAGAAACCCGGGGGGGTAGCCGACGTGTTGATGTAAGGATACCGTACGCCGTCCAGCTCACACTTGATCGTCCCCTCATGCAAGCCCGTGTCGGGGATCAACTGGCCCTGCGCATTCCAGAAGCAAAACGCCGTGATCCAACCCGACAGGAAGTCCTCCCCACTCCCCGGAATGAACCGATGCACGCAACGACCCCAGAACTCCCGCGCCGCGGGGCCCGTGGGATCGTCAAAGCAGGCCACGAACCGGGTCAGCACCGGACGGAGCAGCGCCGCAAACCGCGCCGGCTCATCCCCCAACGCGGGCAGCCGGTCCAGCTTCTCCACCAGCATCTCCCAGTCCCGCCGCTCGCCGAGCATGGTCACGGTGGGGATGCCGCAGAGCAGGAAGGCCGAGAAGCTGAAGTACTTCTGCATGCTCCCCATCAGCAGAATCGCTGCCACGACGCGGTCGTTCTCGGTGGTGGTGCTGAACTCGGGCATGACCCAGGCGCGCAGGTCCGGGTCCACCACGTTATCCTGGATCGCAGTCGACAGGGCGAGCGCAATCGCGCCGAAGTCGACCGTCTCCAGGGTCCCATTAGCGTACACCCTGAGTTCTTTGCGGCCCTCGTGGGCGACGAAGTGTGCGCGGAGCTTCTCGGCATTCGCGTTGATGTAGAAGGAGACTTGGCTGAGGATCGCGAACCAGATGTCTTCGGGACGGACGATGAAGTCGTGGTGGTGGCAGTAGGCGTAGAAGAGGGCATCGACGAAGCCGTTGCTTGCACCGGTGACGTGGCTGCTCTCTAAAGGGTGGGAGAAGCCACTTCGGATGATGCGCTGGCTGTTCTTGTGTTCTTCGTAGCAGGACTGCTCGAAGAGGATGTCGTCGCTCGTTACGCGCTCTCTGTGCCATTGTCGGGTGCTGTGGTCTGCGGTGCGGATTGTGACGGGCATATTGGAGCTTAGCTGATAATTAGACTGTGTAGGATGTATGATCTGATGTGCTGGATGTAGGTTTGGATGTGTGTTGAGGGAGAAATGGATCAAGAGAGATGTTGAGGGGTATAGATAAACACCGCAGTGCTGTGGCTGATTTCGTTTGTGTTCAGCCAGCCACTGAGTGACCCCTAACTTAGTGTCTAACTGGCCATGGGAGCTCACCGCCTCAGCTGCCGCGTGTACAGTGGCTCAGTAGAACTGCGCTCCACTAGCAGGCTGCGGTGTGGATAAGGTGGTTCCATCGGTAGATCTTGCCCAGATTCAAGGTTGCCCGGAATCCATCACATGGGGCAAGCCCCGTCTTGCCATCAGACTCAAGCATACCATCTCTCTTTGTTGTTTGTTGTTCTGCTTCTTTTCCTCTCTTCTTCCCGCTCTCTTCCTATCACATTCTTCTTTTGCACATCCATCTTCAAATTGGGTGATTTATGACGAAGGTGATCACAAGGTATACAATCACTGGCCCTAAGCCACGAGTACATTCGATGAGGTCATGTTCGCTGCTTGTCTATTCTTCCTTCACCCTGTAAGCGCCTTATCTTATAGAATGGAGTAGAAAGTATTAGAATTCGTCCTTGGTCCCTGTGTAACCTACTTACCTCACCCGTTGCACCCAGTCTTGGTGCCCGGATGCTGGATCTGTGATCTCTCAAATCATGTGATGAGGTTCTCAATGGTACCAATATAGAACAGTAGAAGTAAAAAGTGCAAGTATAATTTGGGGTTCAAAGCTCGGTTTATGTAAGATTTCAAGATCTCAAGCTGAAGGGCTAGCATTGATATTCACACGGTATACTCCGTACCCCGCATTGCATTGCGGGGTAATCCTCACTCCGGATAGACTAACCCTTAATGTTTGATCCCACCATTCACTATCAGTCCTCAAGATATTCCAGCATCATCCGCTACATGCCACTGGTCTCCGACTCTGAAGCCCACCGGAAACGGGTCGGTAGGATCCAACCCCACCTGGCGAAACCCGGTGATCCACGCGCTGCCCTTGACGACCGGAAGCACCGCCTCGTACTGGCCCACCCGCGTGGTCCCCTCAATCCAGCACTCAAAGCTACTGCCGATGATGCTGCGGTGCTGGAACTTCCCCCCAACTTGCAGCTGACTCCGCGCATGCATCACCGCCATGCGCGCTGAGCTCCCCGTTCCACAGGGACACCGGTCAAATCGACCCGGCGACACCACGACCGTATTCACAGCCGTCAAATCACCCGTCGAAGCAGACCCAGTCAAGGGCTCAGTGAACTCCAGAATACTGACCCCTCGAATCTGCGGGTTGTCCGGGTGCACGGGCACGAAGTCACTCTGCTGCACAGCCTGCTTAATGCGCTCCCCAATCTCAATCAACTTCGGCCCATTGCGGTTCTCAATCTTCAACCCCCCGGCAATCTTCGTCGCATCGACAATGGCATAGATCATCCCACCCCAGGCAATATCCACAGACACCGTCCCCAGCCCCGGGACCTGGACGGGGAGATCCAGCGCAAAGACAAAGGCAGGCACGTTATGGAACGCGACGGCGGTGCATTTCCCATTCGCGCAGTCGGCGGTGACCGCGACGGGGCCAGCCGCGGTATCCAGCAGAAGTTCGGTGACGGGCTCGTGCATCGCCACCATGCCCGTGTCCAGCAGCACGGTGGTGGTGCAGATGATGTTGCCGCCGGACATGGGCGGGTACTCCTCGCTCTCCATGATGAGGAACCCCGCGTCGGCCTCGGGGTTGCACGGCGGCAGGACGAGGTTCATGCACATGGCCGGCCGGCCGCGGGGCTCGTTCAGCAGCAGCTGGCGGATGTGGTCCTCGCGGTCGCGGAAATGCGCCAGCTTCTCGTACATGCTGCTGCAGCCGGGCGGGTCCAGCACGCCGCCCACGATCACGTCGCCGACCTCCCCGGCGCAGTGGCAGTCCACGATGCTGATGGTGCGCTTGAAATGCATGGCTGTGAAGATAGATTGTGCTCGGATGTTGACATGGTCTGTTCAGCGCGACAATGGGCGATTTTATAGGATGGTTGTCGTTATCGCGGGCGGCGAGAGGGCGGCGGCTGCACTAACCTGCTTTTTCGGACCTGCAGTGCGGGGGAGGGCTAGGCTTATCTACAGATAGCGTACACTAAACTAAAGGTACACTGTAGTACATTCTTCTCCAAAGGCTCTAGTGGCCTCGGGCTTCTCCTTTGTCTTCGTGGAGCTGTCCGGGGGCGAAGTGCAAACTTGTGGATTGGTTGATATGTGTAGGTATTTCCCCGCCGCTCATCTTGCCTTTCAATTCGACCGTGAGGGATGCTTCTGAATTCTGGAAGCCTGCTGCTGATAAGGGACACACATCCATCAGAATCAAAGGTGTATAACCATGCAGTAAATACAAAAACTCGCAGATTGTGTTCTGAGACGGATGTTTGGTTTGCGTATTATGGCATACATTGCAGCTTGGACAATAGACAAGGAAAACCAAGACATCGAAGAGATCTGCGGTGGTAGGCCTTTGCGATCATATTTGAAGTCGGTTTTGCATATATACAAGTTGATACGGCTCATCATCATTAATACATATGGACAATATATACAATAGTGCTCCCAATTTCACGGACAACCGAGCATCTACAATGCCAAGAGCAGGGCCACGAAGGACACACCCACCACAAGAGATGCGAAGTCAGTGCGCAATGCAGGGGCCCGGTTCTCCTTCTTATCGTCGGAGTCACTGTCACTGTCACTCCCACTACCCTTGCCACTGCTCCCACTGCCGCTACCGCTCTTCCCCGTCGCGGTCGCGGTCGCGGCGCTCGCAGTCTGCGTGTTCGACGTCCCCGTCACCTGGGGCACGGCAGTGGCTCCCGTCCCGATCTCCAGGACATGGTCGGGCCCGGGGTTGGTGTTGGTCTTGGCGAGGTGAATCTCGTTGTTAGCGAGGTCGTAGACGACGTAAGCGCTGCGCAGGAAGGTGTCGCCCAGCAGATAGATGCCGCCGCTGGCGGTCTCGCTTTCCGGGGCGATGCCGAAGGCACAGTACCCGAAGCTGGCTTCCAGGAGCATGTCGCTCAGGGGGATGGAGAGGTTGAAGCCGGAGAAGGCGAAGACGATCTCGTAGTCGCTCTTCTTGGCGGTGTCACACTTCAGGACGGCCAAGCCCTGGCTCTCGTAGTACTCGCCGCCCACGGCGTCGATGATGTCCAGGGCGGTGCCCGTGGGGAGGTAGGTCAGCGAGGTGCCGCTGTCCAGGACGCTGACAGCGGGGAAGGCGGTGTTGTTGACGCTGATCGATTTCCCGGCTTTGGTGACGTGCACGCCGCTCAGGTTGACGGCCAGCTCCGAGTACTCGCCTTGTTCGGCCTGGATGGGCAAGGTGTGCAGGCTGCCGACGTACTTGGCCGTGTTGATCCCGCCGAACAGGATCGTGCCCTCGCCCGCGTTGATGTCGTCCAGCCACAGGCTGTACGCCGCGGATTTGATGTAGCCCTGGTTCACCAGGGCCTCCGGCAGATTCGCGTACCCCTCGTCGTTGCGGAGGTCGGCGTACTCGTTGCTGGCGTATCCGATGCCACATACGCCCTCTGTGGGTTTCGTGGTCAGTTAAGGGGGGAAACAATAAAGAGGAGGAGGAGTCGGTCGGTCGCAGAGGGGCTACTCACGTTGGGTACTGCTCTCTTCAGCCAGACCGAACTGGAAGTCGGTTAGGGTTACATTCCCGAAGGCGACGGTGTCGGTCACGTAGTCTCCGATGGCCCCGCTTCCGTCCACATACATGATGGCGAACTCGTCGTTGACAACCTTGAATGTGGAGGAGGAGGATGAATCGAAGACGCCATATGGGTTGTCGGAACTCGAGTTCCCTGCGTTGACCCAGAGGTCGCTGCTGCCGGTGTCCAGAATCACTTCCACCGCCTGTGAGGGGGTGCCGAGGTTCAAAGTGATCGCATAGTACGTTTCCTGGAGCGATTGTTAGAAGATCAACATTACACCTGCCAGCATGGGAGCTTACTTCGTTGTCGATATCTGTCTCCGGCGCTGATCGTTTGTGGCGAGCATGGCTCAAGCCCTGTCGCCGATGGATATCATATTGAACTGTAGCGGGCTGAGCGCGCTCGTGCAGAGTGAGAGCACCAGTTGACTGCGCTAGACAGGCCAACGAAAGGAGAAGACTGTTCCTCATGATCGACTGCTGGGTTGACTGGCAGGGTAGGTGATGGTGTCGATCGAGCTGGAGGGTGTAGAGGCACAGTACAGAGGATGCAGGGGGGTTTTGAAGGTTGCGCCTGCGCCTGGTTGATCGCTTAGACTTCCACCAACGGTCCCTGAACTGGCACGCTTGAGTCTTGGAGCCCCCGCTAAGTATACCTAGTACCAAAACTAAGCCACAAGAGTGATAAAAGGCCTTGGCTATGGGGCTATGTAACCTTGCACTTGAACCCTTCGACCCTTTCTCGACGATTTGACTTTGCAGAGTGGGACGATAAGGCGGAGGCTCTCGCTTGGCAGCCCACCAGAAGTTGGTGTTTAGACTTGAGAAACGCTGCAGACTCTAAGCCCTTTATGGAGGCCGCAAGCAGCGGCTAACATTAGCGAAGCCTAGTTAGCACGGTTGTTACCAGTTGTTACCTGTTATTACCTAGTTTAGTCTACTTAGTAAGTGGTTATGCGAGATGAGGTCAAGCATTTAGCGCCCTTTTGACTCATTGCTGCCTGCCAAGTGGGGATCCACTGGATGTCTTCCCCCTTTTTCTTTTCCCATGCAGTGCCCAGAAACTTGAAAGTCCAAGAGTGGATGTGTTAAACGAGGCTGGACAACACAGCCGTGACGCGAGACGAGAGGAACGTCACAGTCGAAAAGTCAACCGGGCCGGCTGCTGCCTTCTGTGGTGTGGAGACCTTTTCCCTGCGCCCGCCACCCAGGCCCCCCGGCAGATAACTATGATCAACGTCGGGATCGAGAGAAACAAGAAAAAAACATCACGGCTGTGGCTTTTTCCTTTTCCCTGGTCGCCACCTGCTCGGAGTCCCGGAAAGCTAGCATCGATAGTCCGGAGCTTCTATACCCGAATCGGGTAGAAAACTCTGACGGCATAGTGGGGTGTAAGCATCGATGGGCCAATGGCATCGGGCACAATCCGGCCGATAAAGTGGATTAATTAAGGGGAAATTGCAAAGTTGGCTTGGGCATGTGATTTTATCCCCGAAATCCTTCCCCAAGTGGGAAAGGAACGGGGGTCGTGGTTGATCGGTTTCGATGCAGGGACCTTCACGATCGACGCACATTGTGACAGCCAAGCAAGTCTGTCGGCGATATCCGCGGAGGCACTTCGGACCCCGATCCCTTTTTGCCTTAGGACGAACTAGAGTTCTTGGTGTTCACTGTTCACCGAAGCGGTGACTATTGCGCGACCAACATAGAAAGATAAAGATATATCGACTGTCAAATCTAGTAATCTTGCTAGGCCGATAATCTCCCGCCGTTTGACGTGCATGCCGGTGATTTTGTCAGCGTATGTTACTGCATGCGGCCGGTGATATTTGTGAAAACAGTTTCCATAAGCTCTTCTTAAAGGGTCATATAAGACATTACCTACCAAGATCCCGGAGATGGCCAAGCCCCAGTGTATCCTCACTGGTTCCAAGAACTGGCGCCTTGAATACTCGTATCAGAGCTCAACCCCGTACTTTGCTTGGGATATCTTCATCAAACGGGCTCTAGCCGATCGAAGTGACGACAAAGATGTTGGGAGCAAGACCGGGAAAAGATAAAGTCACTATCGGCTTGGTATTGGAGTCTTTATCGGGTGTGATCCTTGAGTCCTTTCCTCACCACGACGATATCAGAGACTGATGGAGTTTACTCAAGAAGTAATGCAGTGGCTCTAACCAGATTTAGTCGTAACAACAAGAGATTAACTACCGCTCAGGCGCTATGGGTCCAAGAAGGTGACAAACCCCAAGCGAGAGTTGTTCCGTCACGGAAGAGAGATGCACAATCAGAAGCACGATGAGACTGGAGTTTATTTCCGCTTTGGGAATACACTTTGGCTTCACATATGACGGATTAGGAAGGGCTTGTCAGCATCATGGATGCCTGAGGAAACTGACCACATGATTCGATGCGATTCACCAAGTGAGTTCACACGCAAATCACTCTGTTCCAAGAAGCAAGACTAAGGTTCTTTATTGCTCATCCCTGGACATTATCAGTATCCAAATCGCCTACATGGATGCCAGAAGTGACGATTTATCTTGAACACCATCGTCGTCACTTATGAGTTATCAATATCTGGCCTCTGCTGGAAGCAAGCATAAACTCAATTCCTTCTAATAACGTATAATATATTGTAAAACTCAAGTTCTTTATAGTGCCTTCCAAATAAGTGAGATTCTTCTCCAGTGAATCCTTCTAGTCGTACAAAGGTCCCTACATCAACTTGCCATCTACCTTTCTCCTCTCACCTCTCACTTGAAATTCTTCTTCCTCTCGCCTCACTTGAAAATTCTTCCATCCCTCATCTAACCACTTCCAGCTTTCTTCTCTCCCTCTCACTTCAAACACATTTCCATCCTCATCCACCTACTTGCATCTTTCTTTACCCTCACCTCTCACTTCATAGACATCTTCCTCCGCATCCAGAAGGTTTGCTCGCAGCAAGAAGTACCATCAAGGTCAGCGAAGATGTATAATCCTCAGGGACCATTTTGCAACAACTGCGCTGCGGAAGGCCATACAATCTTTCTTTGTCCGGAACTTCCTTGTCGATTTTGCCACGAAAAAGGACATATCATTCGAGATTGTTCACAATGCCCTGTCTGCCCAAGTTGCGGACTGAGAGGACATGCCCCAAAATGTCCACAACGCAGAGGAATTCAATATTTGCGCGACCAAGATGCTGCTGGGCGGTCTTCAAGGCCGCAAGGAACACCCCAGTCAGGACCACGAAGTCGTCTGTTTCCAGAACGCTTCCCGAGTCGATCGCAGCCAACCGTAGCTGAGGGAAACAGTTCAGGTGCATCGAATACAGTAAGCCCCAGTCCTCTCAGCTCGGACTATAGCCTTTCCAATACACTGTGTTGAGAGATCACTAACTAGTTTCTTTCCCCACTATCAGAACTCGTCTGCCATCTGCCCCGAGATCAAGTGTCCGCCGATCAGGGAAACCTTGGCTCACTTGCTCAGAACCCTTACCGAAGAAGAAAGACCAGAGCTTCGTCATATTCCATACAAGGATTCGATTTCGGCCATAGGAACAATAGATGAATGCGTCGATATCCTGACAAACTCTCTTCACCCGGCAATAATACAGTTCGAGGACAAGATAGTGACTACAGAGATGTAAGAGAAGGCTACCCTTGCGCAATATAAGTTTGTACTAACAAAAGGTAGGCTGCATACAATCCGTGAAAAGTAGGGTTTGATAGAGGAATGGGGGCATGACAATGGCTACTGTACCTTAGCTTTGTCACAGATGACTGCAACGCAGATTATTGGCGCCCTTATGTAGGCCAATCGGAGGACCCGAAGAATCGGGTCCTGCAGCACCTTATGGCCATCATTAAGGGAGATGATAGTACCCTGCACCCTCATATAGTGGCAAAAGGGGGCGGACACCGCGCAATTAAGTTCATCAATATATGGACTCTGGTTTGGCCGGATCATATCAGCTGTCATATTCCCATGGTCTTTGCGAACATTTTGGAGATGTTCTTATGCAGATGCTTCCAGGCTCTGGCGCCAGGAATTCTGGAAGAGTACTTCGGTAAGGCCGAATACTCAGCAACTGGCTTACATGTTGTCCCACCTCTGCTGCAAGGGATCTCACTTGCCCCTAATGTAAGACACGGGTACTCACTGCAACTAGAGGGCTCACCAGACCCAGAAATCAGGGCATGGGCGACCTATCGGTCAAAGCGACGAACAACAAGTCATCTATCCGACATTGCCAACAAATTCTTTGGGTGCCATATTCAGGATAAACAGCTTGGTCGACTGGCTAGACGGTGCCACAATCGATGATCTGAAAGCCCGACGCAGACGACACATCTACATCAACCCAAAGAATAAGAAGGTTGACGACGATTTGAAATTCTTCCTAGACGGTGGTTATATCCTGGATGACGGTTCACGTTCCAAGATCGTCCCACCTACTACAGTAAAACGTTCAAGAGCGTCGTCCAGCGATGGGTCTCAGCCCGAGCAGCCCCGTGGTAAGAAAGGCTCAGAATAGGCTGACTGCTATGCCTCCGCCTAGCAAAAGAAAGCACTGCGTCTGAGTTTCAATACTACTTATGTTCTCTATTACTGCTAGTGTAGAGAGTTGCTGCTAGTTTGTGAATGCAATGTTCCGCTTAAAGTGCCTTGACCGTATGACTTGCGAATTCTTGATTAGGGATATAAGCATTTTTGTAGCACCTTTGTAAGCATCGCTCCAAGCACATTTCCAAGTACAATTCCAAACAAGCAGGGCAGTAAGGCCTCAAGCAAGTCGATTTATTCTGCCGGCAGAATTTGAAGCAATATGCTGAAGAGGGTAAGAATTGTGTATAGAGGATGTCGGCTGGTATCCGCAGTGAACTATTACTCGATTAGGCCTGAGCATGGGAAATGTAGTATTGAGACCAGCAGTCTTATCTATCTATACAACCGGCGATTGTACATGTAGTATAATTACTTGTATCTTAACTAATATCTCTTTACACCAGGATTATTAGATCTTTTGGGCCGAAGGTATTGTCATTAGGATTATATTAGAAAGTCTCTTCTTACTTCTTTTTGTTAAGATTTTTGGAGTCTATGGAGTATACAGAGAAGAGAAGCCCGGGTCCGGAGAAAAGCCGGAAAGGCCCTACCGCCTGCTCAATGGGGTTTACCACCGGCTTCATTGGAATTACTGCCGGTGTCAATCAGCATTGAATTGAACTGTCTTGGTGCAAAGCAGGCGGGGATGGTATACTGCCGGCAGAAAAAGAGAAGGCGGTGAGCCCTAAAAACAATGGTAAGACAGGGGTTCGAACCCTGGAGACTCTCGTCATTGGGGAACTTCAAGGTGATGTGATAAATATCACTCTTAAATCCAACGCCTTAACCACTCGGCCACCTTACCATCTTGATTGATCTTGATCTTATCTGATAACCTCATCTTATTTAGATCAAAATGCCATTTTTAGCCTATTGTTACAGCCCATTGTTTACTTATACCTCAATACTCTGGCCAGTCTGCTTTAGCTGTATCCTACTTGCTTATCAAACCTGATTATATCTGCCTGGGTGGTTATTGGACCCACCTGTCCTGCCATTTTCAGCCTTATCAATCCTGAATAGCCCCTATTGTTCTCTCAATATCTTATCCCTTGAGATAATCTCACTTTGTTCCATTACCATTGTTATTTCTTGATATGATCTTGTTGGAGTTTTGGTTCTTTCAGATAAGGTTCAATTAACTTTCACTTTTCCATACAAATTGCGTGTGAAAGTGAAGTGAAAGTAAAGTCAAAGTAAACAATCATAAAATCAGAAGAATCAAAGATTAGATGAATAAGGAAATAAACAGAATGGCAAATTCAATGCATGATTATCTGATTCAATTAAACTGAACTGAACTGATTCCAAAGAAACAATAGGAAATATCAGGCTATTTAAGCCAAATCCTTTGTTTACTAATTTCCTGAATAGGAAACTATAAATATTCAATAAACAGGGGTAAGAATGCAGAGGTGGAATAAATAGAGCAAGGGTGGAATGAATAGAGCAGGCTGGAACAATAGTCCTTATTCAGATAACTGAATCAAGGAGGCTAGGTCTTAGGGTTTCTATACCCAGGTGACCTTCCAGTCTGACAGATCTTAATATTATAAACATAACATTATTCTCTTTTCAGTTGAAATTCCCTATTTAGGAAATATCTATCTGATTAATGGTTGTGTTTGAACCATAAATGCAGCCTAAATCTCCTATTGTTCCTGGAAAATCAGGTCTATCAACTCCAGTGATGCATTTCATACAAGAAGGCCTGACTTGCGGGTTCCTCCCTTGACCAAGTTGTTGCAACGCGCCTTTAACAGGCCTAGAAGGGCCTGTACTTGCAATTGTCTAAGTATCTTGGTAAACATCTTTTTAAGCACCCTTTACGCATATTTCTAAGCATTAGTATAAGTATTCGCTTTAACACTATTTCTATATAAACATAGGTGTATCGATCTAGACCTACAGTCTAAGTCTGCAGCTGGGGAGCCTTACATTATCTCCAGATCCCCTCCGCAAGCCGACGAAGCGCAAGTCATATATAGAGGTTATGTATAGAAATTAAACTTAAACCAACTTAGCAGCTATATCTGACTTGAACTGATGTAAGTCTACTTGACCAAACTCAACCACCAAGCAGAGGACAAATATGTAGTATATTTGATGAGAGCATTGCACCGCTTGGCCAAAAGATTTGTCAAGACATCAATCTAGCCGATGGTTCTCTCCAAGGGATCCCATAAACCTGTCAAATACATATAATTATCTCTGAATCTGGGCAATAAGAAGATATAAAAGAGCTGTTGGTACAGCAAATTAGCGGTCAGAATCCTTGATCAGGCCCACGTAGGGTTGCAAAGCTAGCGCTTTGCAAAAAGCCTGAGCTCGCCCCCGAATTTGGGGTCCATCCGCGTGTAAGCCGCGGATTCGTGTCTTTTTTTCCCTTCGCCCTTATTTGGTCGGCCTTGGAATCACTGGTGGATCCTCCATTTATCTGATTGGGAAGCCGATCAAGGTTACGCGAGAAGGATTCAGTGGTGCCAACCGCAGGTGGCTGGCATCTGTAATTTCGGAACAATTACCATCCAGGTTGCCAGAACTAAGAGCAAAGATAGGTGACATCCCGATGGATATTCACAGCAAACCAACCTCATGAAACCGCAGATATTGTCATCGGTGGTCAGGGTCTGCCAGGCCTCGAGACCAGGCCCAGGAGACACCGAGCGAGGCGACCGCCATATTGATTGCTAGGCAATGGTAGACCCAAGCATGACATGATCTGGTACAACCAAGGGAGGCTAAAGAGAGGCTCGATTTTTGTAGGTCTGGAACTTACGCCATTGTGATGGCGACCCAGACCCAGTTGGCGTCATATGAGGGGCACCTTGACACTCAACAGGAGCAACTATGACAACACCCGACATGGCATGCATTGCTTGTCAATTCTGCTCTCGTGCTCTATTACCATCAAAGAGATGAAACCCATTCATCATGCCAGCCAGAAAGCACAAATCGACACAGCGATGGTCAATGTATCCGTCCCTCACTCCGAAGTGACGGCCCTCTTGGAGGAATCCGACCTAGATTTTCGCTTCCACTCAAAGGACGATGACTTCGCGCTCAAAACCTATGACACCAATATCATGGGCAGATTCAGTTGTCCCAACGATGAATGCGGTTCGACTGGGTGGTCCAGCAAGAAGATCGCGATCACCATTCGGATGTATACTGGTGACAAATACAATGCACGAGTATACCACCAGCGCTGCCAGGAATGCAAGCGGCTCAGCCAGCCGATTCTGGATGACTCGTACGCGGAGCGGGTCGCGTATCGCTTGAAGAAATGGAGTGGAGTCGAGATGGAGGCCCCGGTGTATGGTGGTGAGAGTAACGGTCCCCACATCAGGTCACTGTGTGAGGGCTGCAAAGCCGGACATTGCTCTGAGGGAAAGTGGTATTGTTGAAAGAGGGAAGGGTTTTTGGGTTTGAATGTTCTTTGGGTTTCTGTTACATGCTCACTTGTGTCTATTCCTATTTCAGTCAAGAGAAATTGGTATCTCTATTGTGTACATGTCAGAGATATAGGGAGTATTGAGCTTGAGATCTACTGTATTGCTAGTTCTTCACACTTATCTCTCAGGAGACATTAGACACTATTGAGCTTTCATGCCTCCAGTGGCCGACAGGGGCGACAGGACGGTTGGAACTGGGCATTCAGTAAGCATACACTGTCGCGCGTCCAACCGCTTACAGTACTATTTTACTCATGTGAATGGTATCGCGACCTGCATCAGAAGAAACCGAAAATACTTGGAAGAATCCTCAATTGGCTTTACCTAACAGACAACTCAATCACGATTCGGGCCAAAACTCCGCCCGAACCTGCATCGCCACCGGCTTCAGTTCATCCTCATCGTCTATCGTCATGATGGCGCTATACATCATCTCGTAAGCAGAGTGCATCAGGGTGGCATCGAAGCCCTCCTCCGTGAATTCTTCCACGAGGAGGGGCTCGATACACTCCGCCCCAAACTGCCGGATGAGCGTCCGCCCCCAGGCTGTAGTCAGATACCGCGCGAGCATCGACTGGAGGTAATGGACGGGGGCGAGCATGCGCACGGGGTACCGCTCGTGCCGGAAGGCTCCCGAAAGCCGTTCATCGGTGGCCAGGATCAGATCGCGCTGCGCCAGGTGGTCGAAGATGACACGGTAGCCGATCTCGCGATTGCCGGGGAGCGCCCAGCGCATGGGGTACAAGCGCACGTCGAAGTGGGCCCGCTCCCCGTTGATATTGGTAGTGTCGACGTGGAAGACCTTCTCTTGGTGCGACTCCGCGGGGATCCGATAGTAGCTGCAGCGAGCATTGTCCGTCACGGGCACAAAGTCCGCGGTGAGTAGGTTGTTGACTGCCCGGGTCATGTCAGCTTCTTGCACAACGAAGTCAATGTTGTTGCAGGAGAACTTCGCACCGTAGACAACAAAGGCCAGTTGACCCCAGAGAATATGATGAATGCTGGCGCGGTCGAGCACGGAGGATACGTGGCCGGCGATGGCCTCGGCCACTGGGCGGTCGGGGTCAATTGCGTTCGACATCTTATGGTGGATTTACGTGTGTTGATAGTTCCTAGCTGGTTAGACAGAATTCTCAGGCTCAAATGGTGAGTGAGTGTGAAGATAGTCATGCAATTCGGCATCAAAGGTCTTTTATACCTATTGAGAAAGAAGAAACGAACGGAGTGCTCCTCTCATTAGAGGCCATCGTCAAGAAATCCACCTCTTAAGATTAATAAAAATGAGATACTTACAACCTAGAGAACTATGGTTTTGCTCGTAGCACAGGAGTATTCCTCTGTTTCTTTGTTGCTGTTCTCGTAAGGTTCAATCTACACAGGAAAATCTCAACAGAGACTGGCATGCCATTATTGTATGGTTCCATGAGCTAGCAATCAGACCAGAGCAAAGTTCTAGTGTAGAAACAAAATCTTGTAACTTGTGTTTGGCAATTTGAGCCCCGGTCGAATAATCGAGAGAGAGAGAAAGACGTGATGTTTGGCGGTGGTTCATGTATCCGTTTATGGTGTGGTACCTGACGCGACGACATCCTGCCCTATGCAAAATGTCTCCCTTGCTTAGATTCTATTCTCTCGCTTGAAGATATGTGGAAAAGGTCGGGTCAGACACATACTGGTTGTCCTTGATTGCGTTCGACATCAAAGCCCATCGTTGTAGCGGTAGGTATCAGTACCCATGTAGGACCGCGGTGAAAGCTATCCGAGAAAGATGTCAGACTCTGGAGGGGAACATTCTGGAGAGAGCCTGTACAGTACCTGATAGGGAGATTACAATCAATTGGACTAGCCATCCTGATATTTCGCTCATACGGTGTCGGTGCTTGGGCCCCACTCTCTCAGGAACTTCTTGGTGTTGCCTTTGGCCAGGGACAAGGGCGTGGATCCGGTGTTGGCAGGAAGATGGGGGTCGGCATTCGCAGCGAGTAGCATCTCAACGATTCTCAAGTTAGGAGTGCTTTTGTTGAGTATTGCCAGGAAGAGAGGTGACCGTCCAAGTGCACATTGAGAGTTAACGTCAACACCCTCGGCAGCAAGTAGAAGCTCCACAATCACCCTGCGATCGGCCTTCACGGCTTTCGACAGTGGCGTCTCCTGCGAATTATCCTTACTATTAGGGTCAGCGCCGGCGGCAAGTAGCAACTGAACCACTTTGATGTGGCCACGCTGTGCAGCTACCGCGAGGGGTGCCGTGCCATCAGCCAAGCTTCGACATTCAACATCCACAGCTCCTGTTTTGAGCAAAACATCGACCACTTCATGGTGTCCGTTACAGGACGCTTCCCACAGTGGTGAGTGTCCCGTTGCATGTTCCTTCGGGTCCGGGTCTGCGCCAGCGGCCAGGAGCCGATCGACTACCCCCTTGTGCCCTTCCTCCGCCGCAGCATACAACGGTGTGATGCCGAAAATATCCTGGGGATTGGGGTCCACCCCATCCTTCGCAAGTAGCAGATCTACCAGCGATTCTTCACCAAAGAACGCCAGATGGTAGAGAGGCGTCTGTCCTTCATCATCAGGGCAATTAGCGTCTACCCCAGGTGTAGCAAGCAGCATCTTGAACACCGCTTCCTGCTGCCAAGCGGCTGCTCTTCGGAGAGCTGTGCTACCATGGGGACACGTTGCGTTGATGTCAACGCGTTGTGTTTCGAGTAGCAATTTGACTATGTCTTCATAGCCAAATTCGGCCGCCCATACCAGCGCTGGTGTTGAGTATCGAGGATCCTTCGCGTTCAGATCCAAGTTGTCGATCGTGATCAGCCGCCTGACTATATTGCATCTGCCATTCTCTGTAGCGTTCGCGAATGCCCTTTCCGCGATCGGAAGCGTCTTGCTGTCTGGCAGGGATGTAGACCGTACGTTGAGTGATTTCTGCGCAGTGGATTCCAGTCCGTTATCTGACGCCCAAATCAACGCCGAACCTTCACGGTGTTTCCAGTCAAACCGGTAGAGATGCGGATCTATCTGCCGGTGGAAACGTTTGGATGTCTGAGCAAGAGCGTTGATGTCTCTGGCTGCGTCCATCTGGTCTGCGATGGACAGGACTATCTCAGGGGGGAGCTTGGTCAACATCTTCGATGATTTGCGATGGATCTGATGTGTGTCTTTGCTTTGGCGAGGATAAGAATGCTTGAAACAAGATGAGTAAGCCTCAAGAAAGTGTGATATGTTCTGGTAATGATTCAGGCAGAAGAGAACTCATGAAGGATATTTGTAACCTGGATACAAAGAGATAATTCCGGGATAACCATTATCCAGCGCCGACAGGCGACGATGATATATCGAAATTACAAGTCCGGCTGTAGTGAATATTCTAACTGCAGTGAATGTATTGAAAGTACTTAACAGTCATATCTGGACACCATCACGTGATACAATGATGTTCTGTGAAGGACAAACAAGACACCCTCATCTTCTTCGGTGAACAACATTCCTTACAAGGAATAGTGATGGGACTGATATTCTATGTGCCTGCTAAGTAGATATGCTGGGCCACACTTTGACATTGACTTGCATCTATGCTCCAAGAACGCCGAAGAAAACTTTGAACGCTGCATTAGGGTGAGAAGAACATGCTGATATTACAGAATCCCTAATACCCTACAACAGGAAATCTCTCATCGCTTCTCTCGGCGCCCGACATATCGCCCTAGTCTCCCTCGATCGCCATTGTAAGCCTTTCAGTCTACTCCAACCATTCGCTCCAGAACTTCCACCACAGAACCGAAAACTCATGCGCCGGATCGCCTGTCCACAGGGGCCCATTGTGCGGCAACTCGACCCCCTTCTCCTGTTGGCACCATCTCGTCCCACATTCTACAAGCCCAATAGTTGTCACTGGTACCAAACAGTTGATGACAGCGTTTCTGATCTCCTTTTATCTCCATCCAACGACTCCATTATCCCGAACATGGTCCAGAAGGGCTTGGCACAATACCGCAACGCTAGGGAATATGCCAGCCAGGCATTGAGATTGCGAAGCCGCTGGTCCAAAAGATCCCTCACTCGCGTTGGAACTTCCATCTCTAGGATGCTTTCGTCAACCTTGAGGCTTTTCTCCAGCTGAGCACAAAGGCAGGAAAGGAGGCAATTGGACCGAGGGTGTGCTGGTAGTTTGCTCCTTTACTTAACTGCCAGCTGCACCAAACCTCATGATGGTGCACAAGTCGAGCTGGGAATCCACCAGAAGTTTTAAGATGAGGTTAAACCAAACTTGAAAGCTAAATATAATGGTTTTAGTTAGCCACAAAGAAGAGACCTTTGTGAAGATGCTTGTGGGTCAGAAACAATTGTCTTCTTTGTACTCCAAACAAAGCCCAAGGTAACGACAGAGAAGGCCACAAGAGCTTTTCTCTTGCAAGATAGAATTTGGCTCCAGGCGAACATATTGAACTGAGAACACGCCTTTTCTTGAGAGACAATGCAGATTATATCTATCCATACTGAATAATAAGCGAGACTTGGTAAACCCTAGAAATATAAAAGGCAACCTTGAATCCCCACAACTGGTCCATCACCACCCGACTTCCCATCAAGTCTTCTTCGCTACTCAAAGCAGTTGACTAAGAAGAAGGCGAGACTCACCTCCCCACAGAGTTAGCATGTCTGACCATCACATCCTCGAGTTGCTGGCCCCCCTGCAGGACGTAAACGAATATGGTTGGTCCGCCTTCGAAGACATACTTCTGAGCCATATGCTCAAATCCCGCGCCAAAAACCCCCAGCTGATGATCCAGTTCGGCTTCATCCGAAGCGCTTCCTGGATACGCATCTACCGAGAATTCACCCCAGAGGAGAAGCGTCAATACGGAGACGACGGACTTCAGCGATTTGAAAGATATAGTTCTGAGACCGATGAGGCCCGAGTCACGTTTCACGTGGAGAGGGATCGAAAGCACATTGACGACTACATACACAAGGTGGTGATGCCTTGGTGGAGGACGTCGGAGGTGACGATCAGGCCGGTGGGTACCGGCATGGTATGGCACTGGACGAAATAAGGTGTGGGTGTTGATCGTCAGTGTGGGTTTGTTTTGAGTACGTGGAGGGGGGATGGTTCTGGTCACATTTAGACTCAGAGTCGTTCTCGCTAAGCGGATATATAAATGCTTGACTTCGAATAAATTTTTGTTCTGTTCTATAATTTGATGGCGCGGACATGCGTGTATTGACTGCAGAAGACTTGCCTGGAACGAATTAGGGGAGATAATGAAAAGCTACCATAATAGTCCTAATGTGTGCAGTATATCTGACCTCTAAATAAGGAATAAATATTGCAAAAATAGCAATCAACATCCTTGCTCACATCTACGTCTCAGACAAGATGTGAAATAGTCTTGCAGCAGACCATGCCTTTCAAGAGACGCAATCATGCCGATATAACCATCTGGCCGTAGGACGATCAATGCACCCTGATGAACATCTACTTCAAAAAGCTCATATGCATCCTGCACAGCCAAGCCGTCATACAGCCTCATTTCCGAGTGGCGTTTAAGCGACGTTGGAAGATCACTCCAATTCCGGGGACACCGATTGGGCGGATATATAACGAATTGTTCGACCACATCCTTGGGGAATTGAGGAAGCAGCGCCTCACCAATCCAGTGCAGGGCTCGCGCAGATACGCCATCAGAGCTCAGAAAGTCTGATGAAGCTAGACACAGGACCCGAAAGCGGCCATTGGAAAAAATCTCTGAGACCGTCTTAGCAGGGCGAATGGCCATTTTATGACTAGGATGGGTGCCAAGGTACATACCATCGTGTAGATTACAATATTCTCCATCCGCGTACCTTTTTAGTCGGACATTCGGTAGTCTTGTCCCGGGCGCGAGGGCCAGTAGACTAGGCCTCGACAAGGAGGCCGTCTGCTCTGTGTTTCTCGTGAGGATGCTTTCTGCGTATTGAATGCCGCATCCGCTGGAGAACCCGTTCACCATGTGACGACAGCCCATGATGTCATTCACTCTAGCAGTTGATCTATCTTCGCACGAGGACATATCCTTCGCAGCGGCAGACTTGGCTGCGTATTCCCTATCGAATTCAATCAACTGCTGAGCGACGGGGAACCGCTCGGAATGATAAGTCTTTAGTATCGCATCGCTCTGGAATGAGTCAAGGGGGACTGAAGTCAGTCCCATGATGGAATAGGCCAGCTTCCATCCCAAATTGTAGGCATCCATCATGGATACATTCATTCCTTGGCCGGCCTGCAGATCATAGGATTGGACGACAGGTTAGCTATGACGGTTCAGAGTCAAATGCTCAGTCTAACAGAACGTACCATTGGGCTGTGGGTATGACAAGCTGCATATGGTCAGTACCTAATCAGGCACAGGGAAGAAAGCTACATACCGTCTCCCACGAGAAATATCCTCCCGGTATCATCGGCGTCTGACACAATATACTGCTTTAGGATGCGCTGGCTAGTCTGATAGCAAGACCACCATTCGATCTCCCCTTTTGAGTCCAGGTAAAAGGAGCCTAAACCACGACGGGCCTGTTCAAGGATGGCGTTCGAGTTCGTGCGGCCTCGCAATGACAGTTCGCATTCACTCGTTTAATCGAATCCGCACGACTCGCAAGGCATGCGCACATACAGACGAGTCAAATATTGCCCACTTGCATTCCGCTCCCTCGGAATCACAAACACCGTACCGTGCCTGGATCGGATCAAGCTGCGTCTCCGGATATCCGGGAAATTCGTGTCCACCACAAGGTCCAATGCGCCCCAGACCTCGTCCGGACCATTACCTTCCAGCTCCAGACCCACGGCTCGCCGCACTGCGGAATGCGCACCGTCCGCTCCCACCAGATACCTGGTCCGAATGGTCCTTACGACGCCGTCGCAATCCACCTTGGCTACCACCGGAAACTCAGAATTACCGGCGGAGTCGTTATGCACGTCCACGAGCCTGCTTCGACGCTGTATGCCGGTCGCAGAGTACTGAAGCAGCCCTGCCTCAAGGATCTGCTCCACCTTACCCTGGTGAATGGTGACTACGTGGGGGTAGCGCGATGATGGCGTCGTCGTCCGCGCGAGAGACGACCGCTGGATGGTGTCGTCTACCGCAGACAGTTCCCAGATTGCAAATTCCGATAGATGGCGGCCATCGTCAAGCATTGGGCCCGCCAGGCCAAGTGACCGAAGTACCTCCAGCGTCCGGGGCTGGAGCCCGTCCGCATGACCATTCTGCACGCGGGTTGCTTTCGCGTCGATGCACAGCACAGACTCAGCTGTGAGGCCATACCGCGCAAGTGAGAAGGTCAGAATTAGGCCCGCTGGTCCGGCCTGGATGAATGGTCAGTTGGAATATCTGATCCATGTTAGGAAGAAAAATGGGGCTGGTCGGCGGCTTACCCCAACAACAATCACTTCGAATCGATCATCCCGTGTGATTGCCTTCGGTTTGGGGGAGATTCAAGGCAGTGGAAGTCCCGCGAATGGGAATAATCCGGCATTCATGGCTATTCCGTGGGAAGGGGTCTAGCGACGGGTTTGGACGAAGTACTGGCTGGTCGTGGATTTGACAGAAAGAATGATTCGGAGATATTACTCGATCGACCTCGACCCGTCTCGTGAGGTGTAATTGGAGCACCATGCCACCATTTCCCATACTTGTGCATTTTTTCTAATTTGCTCTGATCGCCCTCTTTGATTTTCAATGCTCACAATAAGGGTGAGTATTGGATTTATTGAGGAAGCGCGACCCGAGCGCCCGGAGCGGGCTCTTTGTTACTTCTTTGGAGAAAGAAAAAAGGCCAGATCATCTTCTGTCGCGACTGGGGGCCACTAAAGCTTGATCAGAATATCGAGAGGGCAAGACTGTGCTGATAGAGCTCGATATTTTGGATTTTGGGTGTTTGATTCAAAATGCACCTTTCCTTTGAGAAGGTTTGACAACCTCTGAGAATGCACGTAGGGTTTCGGGCGCGGCAATAGGATATATAGTCTCGAGAAGAGGACCCCTACAAAAAAGCAACGCGAGTCAATTCAGACTTTGCCACTTGGCAGACTGACCTAGGTTCAGTGTATAGCAATTGATATCTCCACATATTCTTTTGTATCTCGTTGTCATGCATCTTCTGGGGGCATTCAAACGATGGAGGAGCAAAGGCAGCAACTCCTTCATGGATAAACCATGTTCTTGGCTCATATTAAGCACAAATTTGCAGTTCTTCAACAGCTGGCCTGCTGGCCCAATGGTAAGGCGCTTGACTACGAATCAAGAGATTGCAGGTTCGAGCCCTGCGTAGGTCAATTCTTTTTTGCATCTGTTCGTCTTAGACCGTTTGGTCCCGAGAGTCATTAACATCTGCAGCAAGCTCTGTTGTGTTGTTAAGGCAATGCGCTCAATAGTACTATTTTGATTGTCTTCCTACCTCTGTGATTTCACCTTTTACTCCAGAAGGGAATAAATGCTACAGTTATAGGAATACCTTTCTCACATAAAAGAATGAGCTGACCCGTTTGCGGACCCGTTCTCACTGATCCCAATCCCACCATTTCTGTACTGCATATCCATCGATCGATTTAATAAATAGGTTTCCACAAAGCCCAGAAGGAAAGCCATCAACCTCTTCCACCTTTCAAAACACACCAAAGAGTTCATCAACCTGTTTGACGTCTTCCGAAAGGTTGGCGTTATATTCCCTCATGATCTGTATGTTCTACGTAGTATTCATCGCGAAACCCATTCTGGCAAAATCACCAGGCAGTTGCTCGATGCTCGCAAACCTCAACACCCACACCCCCACACCATCTACCGGCCAGCCGTAGACCATTAAATTCTCTTCTTCAATCTGCGCCTCCATCCACTCCCGCTTACTCGGCCATAATGTTGTACTAGCTTATCGCAGGAGATCACAGAACCTATCTTCTTCATCAGTGATGGGTGAGCGCTGTAATGGATGAGAGTGCGGCAGTAATAGGGATATCATACCAAGAAGACTGGATTTTCTGATGAGAATACCGTCAGTGAAGGGTTAGCCATAGACCGTGCATCCCCGGGTATCGAAGACGGTCCGTTCGGTCTTTGGTAGAGCAGGGCCTGCGGGGATGCCTGCGATATACTGGTCGTGTGGGTCACTTATTGCTGTTTGTTGCCGAGAGAAAGGGAGACGTGATGGTGCTGAGTATGCTGCTTGACCGCATGTTTCAACAAACAGGCAAAGGCCCGTGTCGGGTATGATGTGATTTGACTCCGGAAGCTTATGAGCGCGCTCTCAGGGCCAGAAAGATGACGGTTCGAATTTGTAGGGATTGGGATGCCTGTCGCTAACTAAAAAATGTCACAAGCACTGTTTACACGTTAGTGATAAGCGAGAATCGACTCACCTTGTCTGTTGGATGGTGGGCACCAGCAAATCCCTTCTGTTGTATGTTTTTTTCTGGCCTTGTTGAACATTTAGTACTCAAAGAAAAGTCATGCGAGCATCTTTGGGGTTGGTGTGCTGGCGATGTCATAAATAGGTAGTCATTGCTATATGACGTGATCGTGATTGCGTGGAACCAGCCTTGGCCAGAACAGTTCGTCGTAGCCATCTCAGATGCGGTGATGTATCAGGTGGTCTGAGGATGAGGCTCGAGAGCGTCTTGGTTCATTGCTAACAGTTATCCATTCCTATAGATTCAGTCAGAATTTCGTGAAGCTGATTTCTGGGGAACAATAGAACCAGAAGCAACGAGCGCGGTTGCGGAAACCAACGCCCACGTTTATGAGCTTCCCCAAATTGAATGCCACATAGTCTTTGCACAGTCTATCGTCAATTGGGGCAATATAGTAGGAAGTAGACATTGCCCGGGATTACGGGTAACTTACAAACAACAACCGCTGGGATCGATGTACGCTGACGACACGCCCGGCTGTTGCTCCCCTATGCTAGAATTGGAGGTGGTAACAATGAGAGAGACCACTGCTTTTCTGACGACTGAAGCGTCTGGATGGCGGCATTGATACGTAAGGGCCGCACCGCATCTGTGAAATCATGCATTCATGTGGTAACCACGGAAGTTATATTGACACGACTGCATCCCACAAACGAGAGAAACATGCCAACGATTCCTCTTCTTCTCAAACACGGCTTTCGGAACTATCTTGGTACCTTTCGAAGACACGACGGTCCTTCATATTTTGGCGACAGTCGCCAAATTACTTGTTTCTGAAGCGGCAGAACGACCTCTGCTGATGGTCGAGGACAGGTTCGAGCGGAAGGGTAAATGGAAACATGCACAGCGACTCCGCCGCAAACACTATGAGTGGAACCGCGACCCCCCGGAAAACGAGATGATACAATTTTACATGTATGAGTTGACTGATAGTAAGGGCAACTGGAATATTATGTGCATAAGCCTGGAAACATAAGGTCCGGGATGCTAAATCTGGCGAGATAGTAGGCAACGAGGTATGAGGCATATTATGGTGCTTGGAATGACATTGTGAAAGGTACTGCTTCAATGAATTTTGTGACTCTTCTTTTAATATAACACCCCCCAAAAACGTCCATCCTAAAGTGGCATCATTGACTCTTCTCGTCAAATCAGGAGTCCAGGTTGGCCACTCACCAAGTACATTGTTAATAACTCCTCTGAATTTCTGTCTAATAGCTGGCTATCCCTGCGTTGACTTTCAGAGGAAGGCGGTATCAGATGGCAATATGCTTCAACAAATACAGAAGGCTGCGGGCACGTGAGACTGTGACTGCCCGCTGCTGTCGCGGCAAAATCCTAGGACTAGGATGTGACATGGTAGACATGTATCTTTATTGTCTTCGACATCCGAGAATCGCTGTTTAAGCACCCGAATAAGCTATTCGATCTTGCCCATTCACTCAGAGCACGCTTTCCCTCCACTGACGCAGGTGCGATGTAACCTAATTGTTCTTCAGGCCTCAACAATGGTAAGGCAAGGAAAGACTTCTCGAGTTTGGTGTTAGCGAGTTTCAAGTAACCCGGCTTTGGGCCGCGTTTGAAGCCACACGCCGAGAGGTTAGTTGTTGGGTGGGTGACCACCAGCGAACCCCTTCTGTTGTATGTTTTTGGCACAGACCTTTTCTGACCATACCTGCGTAAATTTTCTACCGGGCGCAAGCACTTACTTAAACTCAGTATGTGTTCAGAAAGACAGATAGAAGGTGGCGGTTGACAATTTGCGTTGATCATTCTCCCCATTATTTGTAGATACAAATCTTGCATTGAAACAATCAAACTCTTGCTAAATAATCTTATTCGCGCTCAATTTTATGTAATGAACGTTGATAAGACTGTGGCCAAGGAATATCTTCTCGTCGCAGCAAATTCATAGAACTTTGAGAATCTTGCATCCTTGATCCAAGGAATCGAACTCTGATAAAGGAAAGGTTACATAACCACAATTAGTTCTACTGTTCATTAAGAATCCAATCCTAATATCCTCCTCATCCCCTTATTTTGAACCACCCATCCGCCTCCAACCCTAAACGCTCCTGGTCCCTCAAGATGCCCTTCCACCTTGCCCATCGCCATATCGGTCAAGAAGGTTCCCAGGCGCTCAGTCGGCGAGTGCATCCCTGTTAGTGCATACCGGAAAACAGGCACGCTCAGGGCTACTCCAATCCTCGGAAAGAGCCCCTTCACTCCCTGCGCAGGAATGTACGGCTGAATCGCCGAGTGCATGCCCGGGTCGACGTAGCCCGGTCTCATGCTGTCGGCCCGGAGGCGGGTGGGCATCTGCTCCGACAGCTTACCCAGCAGCTGTTCGGTCTCGCCTTTGACTCGTGCAAAGATCGGAGAGAAGCGGCCGGGGTTGTGTGTGGCTCCTTCACCCGAGACGTAGATAAATCGGAAAGAGTGCTGGGAGGAAGAAGATTTGAGGGTGGAAAATGCATCGGCGGCTGCAAGAGCATAGTCCTTGGTGATCTTGACATACTGGCTACCTTGATATTAGCACCTTGCAATAACATTCTTAATCCATCCCCCCAGCGAAGGGGGTAAAGGGGTGGGGGGGCTACCTTACTCTGCGTTGACATTGGTTGAGCTCGTTCCCAAAGCCCAGACACATCCCTCAGCATCTTGCAGCTGATCCAGCAGCTCTGGTCCGTAGACCTCAAAGTTTCTGTGGAGAATCACGCGGACCCGCGGATCTCTAGAATCGTCTGCCATGGGCACAGGTCTCCGGCTCAGAACTGAGATCTTGGAGACGGCTTTATTCTTGAGCATAGCATCCAGCACGGATGAGCCTACCAGGCCAGTTGCTCCTGTGAGGATAAGATGCATTCTGGATGACTTGGTATCGAGGGCTAACTGTTGGTAATGATGGTGTAGTGGTAGAAAGAACTCTCAGCACTCTGAACGGAACTGCTGAGTTAGCTTATATTTCGCACCCTGATTGCATGCTTTTTTTGGGGTGGGTTGGGCGCAGAATCGGCAACTCAAAACAGTCGACGGTATATTCTTTGCTGGGGTGCTGCGCTTCAAAGTCTTACTAGGGCCCACCGCAGGTTTTGTTTGCAAGACAAGATACAGTGCAAATCGCACGCTGCTCGATGTGGCTCGATGAGCCGGACGATAACCTTGAAGGCCTTATCCGCTTCGGATTTCGGACTTAAAGACTTTAGAGTTAACGGGCTGACAGCCGAGCTGCCGTCCAATTGGCTCACTGCTTGATAATGCAGCCGGATTACATACCTTCCGGATCTCGGATATAAGGCCCACGGGGTTATTACGCTGACCCTACCTGAGCAAACTTGCCTCTGGCCAAGAATAAAACCTGAACAAGGCTGAGCAAAATGACTTTTTTCAATGTTCACATTCCTCGCTAGTCATGATCTACCTATATCACGAAGATCAGAGAGGGGGGTTGAGACACTCGACAGTACAGCGCGACAATAGATCTAAGATGTTTTATCGAAGTATTATCTGACAGGGTAGTGCTTTTCGACTATACTCATACGGAAAGAACTATGCTACGTTGCACGAGGCTCATCTTTCAGGCTGAAGTCTTTGTCGTCGCGTGGGCCCTCATTGCGGGTTGAGATCTTATCTGAAATAGGCGTCAGCAGCCGGCATTTTCCGGCCGAGCGATCCGGGAACGGAAGGTTCTCACTATGACGGAGACACAAGCTTATTCGTCATAGAGTCTTTCTGCTTCTGCTTGTACTTGAATCTCGGAGAGCTTCCTGTGTTAGGGGTGGGAGGATTCTCAATTGCCCTTCAACAATCTCTATAGTAAGAAGGTGGAGCTGCGAGACGTCATTGCATGATCGGCAGGATTGCTTCTTTGGTGAGTGCTGCCCAGTCCGTAGGGAGCCATATCTTCACGCTTGCCATTGAAAAGGATGTCGAACTGCATGTCTTCCGATGCCCTAGTCAAGCAACGCCTAACCTCCGCAAGCCGAGGAGGAGCTCGTGCAACGTCAAGAACCATTCCATGTTAACATGGAACACCACTCTGTATAGTACCCTTGCTGATTCTCTCTCTAAAGAGCCCCAATCGAGGCAATTGAGGAAATCTCGACCATTGCCGACCAGTACAGATTGACCATGCGCCTTCATTGTGTTCCCGTATTGCTTCTCCTGGCCTTGTTTGCCAGCGGCTATACCATCGGGGAGAGCTCCTACGATGAGTGAGCCTGTTCCGTGATTCTGTGCGTGCACCGACCGGTGTACTGACTACATTCAAGGGTTGGCCGTTGGTCTCCTCGTGATCAACACGACTACGGCGAATGGCTGGTCGACGTGACTCGTCGCACCGAGAACAGCTCCCAGCAGTTGCACCCCACGGTGCGGGAATTCGGCGACCTCATCGAGGCTCGACCACATCTCCGGATGCTCTTTGCACTAATGTTCCAGGAAGTGCCTCGAAGTCCTCGTTACGTTTACGAGCTCAGCGGACGACCCCAGATCCGAGACTATCGCCACATGCTACGCGTACTCGACCACCTTATCCAGACGGCGCCGCCCTACAGCACGCGAAAAAATCGCATGAGCTATGCCGGTATTCCCCTGAGCAGTTTGCTCAACTGGCCGATGGGAACACAAAGCGGCTTTGCAGCCTTCCTGGACCCCGAAGTCAATGCCATAATAAAGAAGATCCTAAACACCTGGGGCGCATACCTGCAGTCCCCAGACTCGGTTCATGTCCTTGGCAGTGCTCCCACCGACTGGTTCGGCCCGACGGGGCTCGCTGATCTCACTGAAGTTGCGAACATCGGTCAGACGAATTATACGTTCGACGAAATATTTATCGCCAACGCGACGGCCCCGTACCGCGGATTCCAGTCCTGGGATGATTTCTTCATCCGGTCATTCCGCGAGGGCATCCGTCCCGTCGCGGGGAACGACAGCGTGATCGCGAATGCCTGCGAGTCGAAGCCCTATCAGGTGCAGCACAACGTGAGCGCTCACGATCAGTTCTGGATCAAGGAACGGCCGTATTCGATTGTGGACATGCTGGGTGGTGATCCGTTGTCCGAGAAGTTTATCGGGGGCACGGTCTACCAAGCGTTCTTGAGCTCCCTGAGCTACCATCGCTGGCACGCGCCGGTCTCAGGCCGCATCGCGAAAGCCTTCACGTTGAATGGGACCTACTTCTCGGAGCCCCTTATCGTCGATCTCGCCGCGCAGGAGCAGAGCCATGACTATCTCGACGAACTGAGCATAATTGCCGCGCAGCCGTACCTCACCTCGGTAGCCACCCGCGCGGTGATCTTCATCGAGGCGGATCACCCGGCCCTCGGAACGGTGGCGTTTATCGGCGTCGGCATGGCAGAGGTCTCCACATGTGACATTACAGTCAAGCAGGGCGATTATGTCCGCAAGGGTGACGAGTTGGGGATGTTTCACTATGGGGGGTCGACCCACTGTCTCCTGTTTCAAGAGGCAGTCAACGTGACGGGGTTTCCTGCGACAGGGCAAACTTACAATGTGCCTGTGCGGGGTCACTTGGCCACTGTTGGTTGATCGCGCCAGAAAACCCAGGATGTCATGCCTATGACCCTTCGATCAGATGATGAGCTGCTTCTGGTCATAGAAACTATATCAAAGCTTATCGGAGCGCTGGAAAGTTACCTGGCGTAACATAAAGCACTTCATTGCCGAATTGCTTCGTGATGGTAGTTGTGGTCTTTGTATCAACGCTGCTAAGTCAGGAGAGATGCCAGAGGACATTTGTTTGCGGAGAGAAACGAGAAAACAACCTATTAATATCTTTCACCTTTCTCACGTCCATCGATCCGGTCACCCATAGGCTAGTGTGTGGGCCAATACTAAATTCAAGACAGAGCGGGGGGAAAAGTCGAAGATTGAGGATCAAGAACCCCTAAAAAACAGCAAGGTTGACAGATGAATTCACAAAGCTACACTCCTGAAGACACCTTGCACATTCTGAGATAATCGTTCCAGTCGGCGGCTAGACCAATCACTACCCCGGTTGTGCCTGACAAAGTGACATGATCCCATCCATGCATCAAATGCGGGGTAACACAAAGGAGGCCGGGGGGGTGTCAACAAAGCACATAATCCGACCACGCCCCGACCACCTTCTCTTCTCTTCCCTCGTCATCGTCGCAAGCTCTCCAACAGACGCGCCATCACTCTCACTCTCCCTACCTTTCGCAAGTTCGACTGAATTTCCTCTACTTCCTCATTTCCTCCCATCCGCGCGAACCCTCCAACCAATCACAAATGCCAAGCTCAGCAGCCTCTATGATACGGTACACCCACGCCCGTCAGCCGCCGACCACCAACATCGTCAAATACCACTTCCCCAAGCATCTGCTCCCATGCTTTCGGACCGCCACCCTCCCGACCATCATGTCTCTCGCCTATCGCGCGGCCAGTGCCGAGGGACAATATCCTAAGGCCATCCTAATCAGGTACGGAGCGGAAGGCAATCCATATTCAAATCTCTCCCCACCTCCCCAGCTTCCTTCCAGCCATCCCAGCACAAGCCAGGCTACAGGGGCACAGCATCCAGATTCCACACAAGGCTAACCCAATTCTTTTTCGCCCCTTCCACCAGATCCTCCATCCACCTCACGCGGTACCAAAAAAGGGGCCGCACCAAACAGCTCCGGAACACCTGGCACATGACCATCTGCTACAAGAACACGACCCACCTGGCCAAGGGCTCGCACATGACGGCGCATGTCTACGTGAAGCACAAGCATCACCCGGTGTTCCTGCGCGCCAATTACGCCGCCGAGAAACCGGATACGGCGAAGGAGGCGTCGGGGCGGCCAGTCTGGGGATCCGTGGAGAGCTCGCGGTATCTGACGCGCGAAGTCGCGTATGGGTACCTTCCACAACAACGGGAGCTGGGGCTGTCGGGGGGGTGTGGCTGGGCGTATGGATCTCGTGAGAAGAGGCAACCTTGGCAAGGGCGAGGAGGGCTGATTCGTTTTGTCTTGGTCCGCGAAAAGGAGGATCTCAAAGAATCATAGGTAGGTAGCTCTTTCTGAATCTCAATCTGAGTAAACGTCTTGCGATTGAGCGTCTTGTCATTCTCTGTGTGATTTCTTCCGTCCCCATTGCCTTCCTCTATTGTTTCTCTAACAAGTATGTCGGTCTTTGAGAGAGAAAACGTATCGTGTTCTATGCAACCCCACGTCGAGGGACCTGCACAGAAACCCCCACACGAATCGAATGGGCCGAGATATTATTCAAATCCCCCTCTATCCGATCACCAGCGTGTCCTCGGTCGGAAAGCTGTACTGCGGTACCTCCAGATTAGTCGGGGCGGGACCCTTGCGCGCCCGTCCGGAGATGTCATAGTGCGAGCCATGACACGGACAAAACCAGCCCCCAAAGTCCCCGGACTCGCCGATGGGCACGCAACCCAGATGGGTGCAAACACCTTATACCAAGTCAGCAATTGGCGCCTGGGCTACTAGTGCTCTCACCAGTCTCAATTGTCGTTGATACTCTGAGAGGAGAGCAAACACCTACCCATCATAATCAACCACTCCGGCTTCAGCACACGGTCCTCGTCCGGCTGCGGATCGCGGAGAGATTTCCAGTCCGTCTTGCGCGCCTCCTCGACCTCATTCTGCGTGCGATGCCGGATGAAGACCGGCTTTCCGCGCCACTTGATGATGATCTAGGAGTGTATCACTTTCAGCATCCGTCTGAACTTGCATCCTCCGGGGTAGGCCCATGCTCATACATTCTTCCCCTCGGGGATCGCACCGAGGCCAATCTCGACCTTTGCTTGCGCCAGGACATCAGCGGAAGCGGACATGTTGGCCAGAAAGCCTGACCAGTTATAGAATAGTTGTTAGATATCTTCGCACCCCAAATGTTCTGTTACAAAACCATGATCTGGAATCGGGTGCTGCTCAACTAACTCGCAACCGTATCCTTGGCCCCCACAGCTGTGGTCACACCCAGCGCTCCCGCCATAAAATACGCGATGTTCTGATGGCCCCGGGGCGGTCCGCGGGTTTTGTAAGCCTTGAAGCTGGGGACTTTGGTGGTGTCGTACGTCCCCCTGCTGGGAGTCACGACATATTCGGGCGTCTCTGCCCGCTTGGGTCCGATGTCATTACTGACGGGGGCGGACTGGATGTTGAGGACGGGGATTAGCGCGCGTGGGGGGTTGCGCAGGACGGTTCGGGTGACTAGGCTGAGGGACATTCTGGCACTCTTGCTCGTGTCGATGTTGACGGCAGGCGAGATGCTGATGAGGAGACTTCAAAGGAGATAGGGATTAAAATGTGGGAAAAGGTTATGACAGGCTTCATATGCATTGGAATTGGCTTTACGTTGACGTCAGCGGCAGGTCAATAGAACTTGTTTGTGGTCATGTGTTGACTTCAACGATTACTCGATTGACTTTCTCGGGCCTCCCATACCCGCCGAGTGTCTGTGTCTCGAAGGTTGTGTAGAGGTGGGCAGAACATGTTTCATCGGGTGGCCTGGGCTGCGGTGGACCGCTGGCTCTTGAGCTTATCTATTTCACCCGGTGCAGATCACCCATACCAGAAAAGCACAACGTCAACAGCGTTAAGTAGTAGTGTTGTTGAGTGGCCTGTGTCACTAGGCACCGGTTGAATGTGCAGTGCAGGTCTTTTTGGCTCCATGCTCTCTGCCATCATTTGCAAGCGTCATTTGCATGAATCGCTCCACCCAAGTATGTTGAATGCGACATGCTGCGACGGGGCCAGAGTTCTGATAGATATGCCGCTTGCTTCGCCAGCAGGCACGTTGATTGTGTCATGTGACGGGCGGAGTAGTAATCTTCCTCTTTCCCGTTCTGCCCCTCCGCATCCAGAATGAATGATGACCCACTGGCATCTATCGGAGCACTGTCTATGAGCTTTATAGTTGGTGGCCGTTGCGTGACACCATCATCTAGTAATGCCCTCTGCTCTCCGTTGGTTCTCTCATCGGTTGCGATGATTGCAGCGCTGAGCGATCGGGGCATGTGTATGAGTGGGGCTCCCGCACCGTGGGGAAGCAACGGACTTAAGCTACCTGGAGCTTCGGTCTACGGCCTCAAGTCCGGGGCGCTGTCTGAGCACAACCGCCCACGATGGAACTTCCGACCATATAAAAGCATGCGAGCTCTTGCATCACACAACATCACTCCAGAACCTCGACTTGAAACCCTGCTCAGTTCCCAAGGAAACAACAATGACATCCACCGTCGTCTTCATCACCGGCGCCAACACCGGCATCGGCTTCCAGATCGTCCGCGCACTCAGCGACTCCCCCCGGAGCTACCACATCCTCCTCGGCGCCCGCTCGGCCACCAAAGCCCACGACGCCATCCAAGCCATCCAGACGGAGTTCCCCAATTCGTCGAGTACACTCACCGCGATCATCATCGACATCGAAGACGACGCATCCATTCAACAGGCCTACGAAGAGATCTCGTCGGCCCACGGTCGGGTAGACGTTCTGATCAACAATGCAGGTGCGTAGTGTACTGTTAACGTACAGGATGACTCCACCAACTCCCCCCCCCCCCTCCCCCCTCCTCATCCGAATCATGCCACATCAAAAACTCTCACACCCTTGAAAATAGGCGCATCCTTTGAAACCCCAGCCACACGCGGTGACCTGACATCAGAACGCGACCTCTGGAACAAAACCTGGAGCGTCAACACGACCAGCACGCAGATCGCGACCTCGACATTCATCCCCCTGCTGCTCCAAAGCCGCGACCCCCGCCTACTCTTCATCACTTCGGGGACCGCCACGCTCGCCGGAACTGAGAACCTGGCGATCGCCGTCAACAGGGCCCCGACCGCGACCGGGTGGCCGAAACCCCCCTCCGGGCCCGGGGCGGGCGGGGTGCCGGCCTACCGCAGCGCCAAGACCGGCCTCAACATGCTGATGCGCGAGTGGCATCGCATCCTGCAGCCGGATGGGGTCAAGGTCTTCGCCATTTCGCCGGGGTATCTTGCCACGGGGCTGGGGGGCAGTCCCGCGCAGATGAGGGCGATGGGTGCCGGGGATCCGACGGTGGCGGGCCCGTTCATTCGGGCGGTGGTAGAGGGGGAGCGCGATGCGGATGTGGGGAGGGTCTTGACCAGGGACGGCATTCAGGAGTGGTGATGGGTCGGGATCTACTGAGCAATCGTGTAATACTTACGATTCAAGATTCGTACTCGGACCTACAACAACTGACAAAACAATCCTGCTAAAGCATCGTGGAAGGTAAAAGCTTGATTGTCGTTTTGACTCATAGTCGTACATACTCGGGTAATATACACATTACTTTTGGTCCGTTTACCCCCCCGGATCTGCGTTCCGATCACTTCCAAGTCACACAACGAAGACATGATAAATTATGACGCGGAGAGTGGTCACCTCGTGACTCAAACCTCACTTACTGAGACAACTTGGAAGTTTTGAAATCGAGATCTTGTTCTTCTAACAACAACCTCATCTTTGTTGAAACCATGACTACGTCCACCGATTCCAACGAATATTATCAAAGGATCGGCGCGGGTTTCTGCGGCACAGTGTGGGCAAGAAGCCTAGAAGGGCCTGCCATCAAGCGCGAAGATGGAGGACCATCTCGATCACTCGCCAACGATTTCGCGATGCACAAACGAGCATACGAGGCATTTCTCAGTCTATCCTGTGCTAAGCACTTCATGGAAAACTCACCAACAGAGCCACACGCGCGTATTCCTCAGTGCCACAGATATATTACGCCGGAAAACCAGTCTTGGTGGAACGAAAATCTCCGATGGTTCCCAGACGGATATGCAGCCTGTAATGCGATCCTGTCCGAGAGAATCCCTCCTTTTCCCGAGCACGTCAGACGTCTTCTCGTGGACACGTATTGTCCTCCTGAAATTCGCCAGCAGATTCTGCACAGCGCCAGCAACGAAGCCTGCCTCATCCGACCGTATATCGGCCGCCAGCGCACCTACGGCACGGCCATGAACGTCCGATCTCGATTTCGAGGCTTTTCCCTCCGAAACTTCCCCCTTCATGTCGATCAGATGGCTGAACTGGGGATCCGCGCCGAGGATGTCGACTGTTATGCTGCCATGATGGGCCAAGCACTGGCCACGCTTCACTTGATTGGGAAGATAGATGCGAACGACGTCGAATTTGTTTTGGCTCCGATGTCGCGAACTGTTACTGGCACGGAGCACAACGAAGCAATGGACACCACAAGCGGCAGCAACACCATCACAAATATATTGGGGACACATACCATGTGGATCCTGGACTTTGACCTTTGTCACTCCATCTCGATGGATCAGAAGGGTGTTCGGCAAGCTGTTGATGCTTTCTTCAAGAACGACCCATTCTGTCCACAGCCGCACACGGCACACTGGCCGGCGTTTCGTCGTCAGTACTTAGGTGCCGCTGAGCAGATTGCTCGTATCTACCACAAAGATGAGGTTAATACTAACTTTGACCTGGGTCGTCAGTTTGTGAAGCTTGTGGAGTCGAGGAAGTGAATTCCACGGCTCGGAGTGAATAGTGGTGTCTGGCTGTGTTACTCCCCAACCCAAGGTCTCCCTCCCCTCCACCATGATCTCAATTTTCTCAGATTCATTCTGTATTTCCTCTCTTCACACCATTCCACCATACAGAACTCGTTTTTTCGCTATATCTTCCCCCAACTCAGTATCTGTGATGAAAGTCCATATCCACGCAATCAACATCCTCCTACTCCTAGCTTAAAATGGCGAGTCGACGCGAAAACCAAGGTACAGATACCTCCTGGACGAGCTCACTGCAAGATGCGATGCAGCAAAACCTCCGGCTTGAGGAACGCCTGGAGCAGGACGAGCTCGAGTCCCCACAAGCTCGACTCAAAAGACTTCTTTCCACTCGATCCGCAGTGTCGACTTCATCATCCTTCGCTGAACGCCAACAGGCAGCAGTTGGCTGCAATGCCCCCTTTCGCGAAATCGGAACCGGCTCGATCGGAAAGGTTTTTGAGCAGGGGGGCACACTGTGGGCTTTCAAGGTCCTCCTCATCGATCTTACCGACAAGCTCTGGAACAACTACTTGATGCACCTCCGAATCCAGGACAGCTTTGACCAGCTAGGTTATGATACCTATGGGCTAGAGATTCCCCGCGTGGCCTAGTACGCGAACAAAGAAGCCGACTTCTGGCCTAAGAACCTTCACCTTTTCCCCGATGACTCGACCTTCCCTCGTCGTCCTCGCGAGATCCTGTGTATGGAAAGGATTTTCCCGCTGCCCCAACCGATCAGGCACGCACTCATCGACCTCTTCTGCAACCCCAACCACATCAATGCAGCAAAAAACTCCAGTGCGAACAAGGACTGTCTGATCCGCTTGATGCTCGGGCGTAAGCGCTACGGATCCTCGCTCCCGGGCGGAAGCCGCTTCTTTTCGCTGCGCAACTACAAGCTTCACGTCGACCAGATCCAGGAGCTCGAACTGGACGCAGACGCATACGCCTCGAATATGGCAGACGCGCTCGCCATCCTGCACTGGCACGCGCGCATCGACGCGATGGACGTAGAATTTGTTCTAGGAAGCACACCCTTCGACCTCAACGCAGTCCGCCGCCCGGTGCCCCTCCGCGACGTCATGCGTCTGCGCGCGGGAAGCAGTACACTCGAACGCGCGACAAATCGCGTCCCGAATTTCAAGAAGCGCATCGTGAGCCTCTGGATGCTAGACTTTGATGCCTGTCGGGCCATCTCGATGGACACCGAGGGTGTCAATCGCGCTGTGCAGGCGTTCGTCGATAACGAGCCTTATTCCCCCCGTCCGTTCACAAACGATCACTATTCCGAGCGACTCTGGCAGCTCTTCTCCCAGCGCTACGTCGAAACCGGATGAAAGGTAACGACTGGCTCGCTCCTGCAGCCCTTGCCCCGGCAGTTCGTCAACGGGGTCATGGCCAAGCTCGCCCCGCCCCCCGTGTGCCCCCCCCCCTACGGTCTCCTGGCCCCGCGGTGCCACCGGCAACTCCATCAGGGAGGAGCAGAATCCCTGTCGGTTCACGACAGACACCCTCTACCGGGGCCCGTTCCAGTCATCGTCCTAGGGGTCAGAGAGGCGGTCGCGACTCTGGGCGCGGTTCCTCGTCTACAAGTTCGGGGACGCGAAGACCCACGGCCGATGAAGAAGAGTCTCGTCGACGTCGTGGAGGACAACATGGTGGAAGACATCATCGTTGAGGTCGACAATTCCATGGATGTATCTAACAAAACGTGCAAATTTACATGATAGCCAATCGAGCGCATGGTCCCTGTTCAAACTTATTCACTTCAAAACCCGTTCTATGTAGTATTTACAGCAAATGACAATCGACACGAAACAGCACAAATCAAACAACCTCACCATCCGCCTCCACCTTCCGCTCCACCGACTCCCTCCAGACGACAATCACCAACAAACCCACCGCCAACGCGCAAAGCACCGCCAGGATCGTCATCCACCACCCAAACCCAATCCTCGAGGCCGCAATAGGCGAGACCACCGTGCCAACCGCCGCCAGCAGATTCCGCACCAGGTTCAGATCCGCCACGACAGCCGCGCCGGCGCCCGGCCGCACATCCACCAGGAACGGCATGACCGTGGCGGTGACGAGCATCAGCCCCAGCCCGAACAGAAACGCGCCGACGAGCGGCGCCACCCAAAACACCTGGCGCTCGACCAGCCACCCGTAGATGACCAATCCGGCGGGCACGAAGCCCACCCCGTACCACACCGTGCGCAGGCGCGCGGTCGGGTGGATCTTGCCCCCGTGCGCGGCCTGGTGCCGGCGCAGCTGGGCGTCGCTCAGCTTGCCGCCGACGAGGCTGCCGATCGCGTACCCCATGCAGTTGCTGAGGTAGCAGAGGCCGATCTCGATCGGGGAGAAGTCGTAGGGCTGGGCGGCGTAGGCGTACGGCAGGGTGGAGTTGAAGCAGTACAGGCTGGCGAAGCAGATGCTGATGTAGGCGATGGTCAGGGCGATGGAGGGGACGAGCAGGAATTTCAGCTTGGGCAGCGGGGCCATGATGTCCCGTTTGAGGGCTTGGTACCACCGTTGCTGCTGTTGCTGCTGTTGCTGCTGCTGAGGTTCGTTGTTGAACGTAGGTTTGACGAGCGTCTCCGGAAGGCAGAGCGTGGTGATGACGGCGGCGCTGAAGGTGAAGATGGCCATGAAGTAGAGGATGGAGCGCCATCCCAGCCAGACCTGGAGCGCACCGCCGATAATGGGGGCCAGCAGGGGTCCGATCAGCGTGCCCAGGTAGAACCACCCCAGGGCGGATCCGCGCTCTGTCGGCGGGAAGACATCGCCGACCACGCCCGCACCCACGCTCTGCGCGGATGAACAGCCCAGCGCCTCCACCAAGCGGAACACAATCATCACGGCGAGGGAGTCGGACGCGGCGCAGACAATCACCGCGATGGTGGAGAGGATGAAGCTGGCCACTAGGACCGGCCGGCGGCCGTACTGCTGGCTGAGCGTGCTCCACCACAGGGGCGCCACGGCCAGCCCTAAGAGGAATACCGTCGTTGTCAACGCCACCTGCGTTTCTGTTGTGTGAAAGTGTTCCACGAGAGTGGTGAACGAGGGGAAGAGAATGCAGGACGCAAACGGCGCGGTAAAGGCAGATAGAGTGATCACGGCCACGATGAGATGTTTCTGCCATGGCGAGTATGACTGTGGGTCTTCACGACGGCGTAACAAGCAGAAGCGATCGAACCAGAGGCGTGATGGTGTCGCCGCAGGGCTTTTGGTGGTTTGGGTGGATTCGATCGACGACATTTTGCTGATGTGGAGACGATCGCTTTCTTGAAGAATGAGACCCAATTGATGATTGTTTGTTTTGATGATAGAATCATGATTCTGGTGGAGCATGCCTGGTCTTGTTATACTGAGTGAGTGTCAGCGTGGAGGGCCCCAAGCCACATGCATCGGGATTTCGGGACTTCGGAAATTCACAGACACATACCCTGCACTGAACCCGAAAACCCGAGCACGATAAGAGATCTCTCTGCTCCCTGACAGCCAATGCCATTCGCATATCGAGAACGCCACAAGGCAGCGGCAGCGGCAACTTATCCTTATCGTGCTGCCCTATTAATATGTCTCAGGGACGTTTCCCACCCCCACGACCCCCCATCGTTCGAAAATGTCCGAGATCACTATTCCCGCTGCTCGCATTTCCCGACCACCACAACCAGCGCTGCAAGGATGAACAAAAGCTGCGTCAAATGCGCCGATTCCAAACTACGCTGCAACCTCGATCAATCTGGATCACCCTGTTCACGATGCCGTCACAAGGGCTGGCATTGCGAGCGGGTAGAGCGCAAGAAGCGCGCCCGTCGAGCCACGCCCAGGCAGACCAGCTCGATTCCATCCCCACCACAGACAAGCAGCGACAGTCGATGGGACACCAGCCTCGACGTGAGCCCAGCCCTCGATCCGCCTGTCGACTGGCTTTCCCCGGGTCTCCTGTCGACGGAGGACCTCGACTTCCTCAACCAGCTAGCCGACATCGAAAGCTTCGATACATTCGGCGACATGACATCGTGGGACTGGACGCCGCCCGAAACGCCATTCCCGAACAATCCCACTGCTTTTGATGAGCCACCACGAGCAACAACAATGAAAACGCATACAAATCAACCCCCCCTCCCTGGCACACACTTGCACGACACAGGGCCCGTCATCTCGCCCGACAACTTCCGCCTGCCCGCCGACTTCACCCTCGAGACCGAAGCCGCCGACCGCATCACCATCCCCGTGCATCGCCTCGAGACCTACGCCCGACTGTTCTTCGCGCACTTCCACCCCCTCTTCCCCCTGCTGCATCTGCCCACCTTCCACCTGGCCTCCGCGCCCCCGATCCTCATCCGAACCATCACCTCCATCGGCGCCGCCTTCAACACCCCCGACCCAACATCCCCAACCGACGCCAAACGCCTGTACAGCTCTCTCCCCACCCACTTCGCCAAAGCCTGCCTCCGCGTACCGGACCACCCAACGGAGCCCAGCCTCGCCGACCTCCAAGCCCTCCTCCTCAGCCAATTCGCCAGCACAGCCAAAGGCGGCAGCGCGGAACGCGCCGCAGCGCGGCTGCTGCACCCGCTGCTCGTGACCGCCGTCCGCCAGCAGGGCCTGCTGAAAGTGCACGGGGAGTGCACGGTGGCGGCGCGGGACGCCCGCACGTGGGGGCCGTGGGTGGCCAAGGAGTCCCGCAAGCGCGTGCTGTGGGGCGTCTACGCCGTGGACTGCTACCAGGCGCTGCTGGGCGGGAGCAAGCCGCTGCTGTCGCCGCAGGAGACGCGGGCGTCGTTCCCGTGCGACGAGGCGAGCTGGGGCGCGTGGTCGGCGTCGGGCTGGGCCGCGTTGCCCGCGCAGGATCCCTCGAGTTGTTTCCAGTCCGCGGTCAGGGGGTTGATGGGGCGACGGATGGGGACGGAGATCGCGTCGAAGCTGACGGCGTGGGATCTGAATCTCTTGATTCTGGCGATGCATTCGCTGCTGCTCGAGGCGCAGACCTCCATCCTTCCGGTCGATCTGTCGGCGATGGAGCGCGCGTTGTATACGTGGAAGGCTTGGTGGGATGGGGTTTCGCGGGGGGGTGCGCAGCGGCAGCTGCAACCTGCGGTCCGTGCTGGGGGGCTTTTGATCACCAATAGCGTGACCCTGTACCATCTGGCTGTTTACCTGTTGAAGCACGGGCGGCCGGAGTTGGATGAGAGCGCGTATTTGGGGAGGTCGACGAATACTGGGAATCCGCTGATCAAGAGAGAGGAGGTTTATCAGGAGACCATGACGAGATGGGTGCAGAATATGATGGAGGAGCTTCAACAAGGAGAGATGGCCGATGTTGACGAGTTGTAGGCGGTGGGATGGCTGATCAAGGAGCGTTGAGAGTTCTATAATGTGACATGACCGCGTTCGTGGAAGCGGTTTTTGGACTCAGCGTGGCTTTAATGTTGTATGATCGTATAATCTATCTCACAAGTGGTTTCGTCTCTTGTAACCCCATGTCTCTGACGCATCGACTCTTTTCTTCTAGCCGGGGACAACAGTAAAGCGTGGTTAGCCTCGCGCCGAAGCGAAACTAAACCACCGCCCTGGACAAGGTATGGCAAACAGCCGGCTACTATTTCTTGATTCACAGATCTCATTTACCACCTTACCGAATGCTCAGCTTCTTTTTGACAAAATGTAAATTAGAAACAAAACAAGTCATAGCTTGAGTAGAGTGCACGTATATAGACACACCATAATCGCAGAACACATCATCTCAATCACGTAAACCATAACATCACTACATCACAGAGCGTAGCTGAGCTCAATCCTCCCAGAACAACCCATCCCGATTACCATCCTCACCCATCTTTACCTCAGCAGATATATAGGCCACAACCTGCTCAGTCCTCTCACACAACGACAGTCCGGACACTAACACCTGCAGGAATCATGGTCAGCTCATGCCCATACCCCACCAGAACATCCAGAAACTCACCGTTCGTCGGACTCGCGCCCATAACCTTGTCATAGAAGCTCTGGCTCGTCTTCTTCCGGACCACGTGCGGCACCACCAGCCCATTCGATCCGCGCGAGCTCGACGAGGCATAGCTCGACTCCCCATTCCCAAACGCCGTCACCATCGTTTCTGCCTGCTGCTGCTGCAACTTGGGCGCCGCCAACGCGGTGATCACCGGCCGCACGGCCGAGACCACGACGGGGGCGTACTTCATGACCGAGGGCCCGATCTTCTGCACTGCCGACTGGATCGCGGTGAAGAAGCTCTCCTCCTCCGCTCCGGTGACATCCACAAGGCCATGAGGCTGCGCACTCTGCTGCTGCAGAACCGAAACCGGAAGAGGGAGCTGTTCGAGCTGATCGAGCTGACTGGAGGGCAAGTCGCGAAGCACGCGCAAAGTCGCCCCGGCCAACAGGGCTCGACGGCCCAGTGTCTTCATTTGCTGGTCCATGGGCGTTTCCTCTTCAACCAAGGAATCAAAAGCACTTTCCGCCCCCTTGGCCTTGGTGTAGGGGATCAACTGACTCACCACCGACAGCCCCGTCTGCACGGCGCCGACCCCATGACTCGCCGCCGACAGTACCGTGCTGAACGTGCTCCAGAAACTCTCATCTCCGGGGGACTGCTGCGCCGCGCGGACTAGCCGAGTAGTGAAGGGGTCAGCGCTAAGCCCTCTGTCCTCACCCGCCATGGTCGCGGTGAACGAGGCCATCGAGGAGGATGAAGTGGCCGTCGTCGAGCGCAGCGCAGACACCTTGGTCGCCGACGCGGTTCCAAAGGTCACCATGGCGGACTCGGTGCTGGTGCCCGCCAGCACGTCCTGGACGACCTGCAGGGCGGCGGGCATAACCACCGCCGGCAGCAGCCGGGGCGCCACCGCCTCCGCGTCCGCCGCCGCCTTCTGGTACTCGACCATGATCTTCGTGCTGATCCCCAGCTCCTTCATCTTCTCCGCGTCCGCTCTCAGGAAGGCTTGCAGCGCCGCTTCGGCCAGGATACTCTCCTGCGCCGAGCCTGGGGACGGACTCCCTCCAGACAGGGTGGTGCTGGGACCACTACCACTTACAAGGGTGGTGGTGGTGGGCGTGGAATCCACGAACCCGCTCTCCGCGCACTTCTGCGCCGCGGCCGAGATGGCCGTGCCAGCTAACGCGGCCACGGAGCCTCCGATCGGCCCCAAGAACGGGCTGACGGTCGTCAGGGCGCCGGACACGATGGGCGCGCCGACATGCAGGACGTCTTTGAGGTCGTCCCAGAAGTTCTCTTCCGCGGTGCGGGTCTGGCGCTGGCCGAGGCGGTCGACCAGCAGGTACTGGATGCCGGTTTGCGGGTCGGATCTTTGTACGGGGTAGGCTTGGGAGCTCTCGAACACGCTGATGTAGTCTGTGTAGGGATTGCCGAGGAGGAGGTTGTCCGCGGTGCTGGGGCTGCTGTTGCTGATCGGACTGGCGGAGTTGTTGCCGACGTCGCCGTAGACGTGGGCGCCGATGGAGATGTGGGGTTGGTTCTCGAGGAGGACGGGGGAGCCGGATTGGCCTATCATCGGTACATGTGTTAACTGGCTGTCGACATAGCTCAGAGAGGTAAAGGGGGGCAGGCTGGGCGTCTACCTTTGTAAGTGTCGATCCGATATTCCAGCATGTGGTTCGCAGCCGCCCGGCGGTTCCACTGCACAGCCTTGAACTCCTCGTACATTTGCGCGCCCGGCTCGCCCTTGTACCGCATATCGCCGGGGTACCCGACCACCCCGATCGAGTCGGAGCCCGCCACGGGGGTGTCGGAGAACTGGAACGGGGTCACCGCCGTGAACGGACGGTCCAGCTGGATGAAGGCCACGTCGTTATGGCGGTTCGAGGACGACTGCAGCCACCCCTCGGTAGTGACGATGCGGACCCCGTGCCGGAACTGCACGTTCGCCGACGGGCTGTCGATCGACCCCTTCCCGTTGTATCCGATGTAGGCCTTAACCTCGTTGGCCCGGCCGAAGCCCTCCTTCCAGTCGAAGGCGCAGTGACCTGCCGTCACGAGGAGGTCATCTCGAATGAGCCAGCCCGTGCCCATCGCGTAGCGGGTGTCATTGGGGGACTGGCCGGCGTAGTGCATGAAGAGTTTGACGATGGCTGCGAGAGAAACATCGGGTCAGTATCTCGTGAGAGACACGAGAGGAGGGTGGGGTCAGTGTTCTTACAGCGGTACTTGCCCCCGGGGGCAAGGTGCATTGGGTCAACGAGTTGGCGTTCGTCTTCGAAGACGGACTCGCCGCCCTCCTGCTGCAGACCGAAGCACGACTCGGCTGCTTGGGAGGGCGTGCTTTGCAGCGTCCAGGTGGCGGCGACGACAGGCATGACTTTTGTTTTGGTGCAAAAGCAAAAGCAAAGATAGAACGTGTGGAATGTTTAATGAGAGAGAGACTAAAAGGTTGCAGAGAAGGATGAATGCGATGATGATGAAAGTGATGTTTCTGGTCGGTTTGACCTCTCTTATATAGCTTCATCGTCGCTAGACGTTTCCCACTCGTGTCGCTCGACCCTTTCAGCTGTGATGATGCATGTGTCTCCCTCGAACACCGTCCTTGTGGCTGCCTGAGAATATACTGTTCACCTTGTTCAGCTGGAGGTCAGATTATGTGATGCAACCGTGAAAATGTGATAGTGATATGGCGTGTGAGCTCAGATAGAAGGGTATCCGTTGCCGACGGACACAGTCTCCTGCATTAGGACATGCATACCATCCAAATTCTCAGACCAGATCTGGGAGCGGGTTGGCCAGACAGTGCATCTGCTGAAGACTCCTTCGTATCAACTCCTGCAAGATACTAGCTCTTACATGCTGCAGGGGGAATGGGTCTTGGCAGAAGGGTTGGATGATTGTATCTGGATATTGACATTCCCCAGCCTGCAGTATATAGTAACATTGCTCCAGCTAATTCATGTGTTACAGCCGACCTTCAATCACCAACGCACAATAAAAACATCTCTCTACCTATGTTGTCCAATTAACTGACCATGTCCACTAACTCCACCACATCAAAGCTTTGACATGGTGAATCTCAGCCGTCGGGTATTTTTTCCCATTCTCCATGAGGGATCCCGTTCCTGCAGCGGGGAAGCAGTCTAGACCCGAGGCTGCAGGGCTTGTCCTCGCTCGAATTCACCAATCTGACTGCGCACTCCTGCAGAATCAGTCAGTCTCCATGGTTTGTGTTCTCAATGTAGGATTTTCGAGCGACCGGGGTCGCCGTACCTGAACGTGCCCCGCCCCCATTCTAGACTATTGCCGGGCATCTCCATTGCCGGCTGGTGGCGCGTGTTGAGGTAAATGTAATCATGAAGAATTCCAGGCGGGAGTGTGATTTCAGTTACTTGAGATTGGAGTTGAGAGATGATGACTTACTTGAAATATAGCATCACATTTTGTAGGATAGTAACAATATTATCATAGTGCGCGATCCAGAAATATCCGTCGTCGCCCAAGATACCCCAGCTTTGCAAATACATAGCGAGGTCCACCCCCAACCTTACAAGTCCACAGCAAAACATGAACTTCGCAAACCAGGTATCCATTTTAGGTATCTCAAGACAGAAGAAAAAAGTCTACCAATCAGCCATTAGAATTAATCCAACTCACATAACCCGATCAACCGCCCACCCCACCCAAACCCATTGTTTCCCACCCGAACCCATTATTGCCTACCCCAACCCCGACAAACAAACCTCCCCTAAGAAATCGCAAACCTCGACCTCGCCCGCAACTTCGCCCCATACAAATACAGCACGAAGATCCCAATCACACCTAACGTACTCAACCCGCCCAGCAAACTGACCCCCTTCCCGATCCCCAGATTCAGGAACATGGGGCGCGCATACAGGATCGACCCGCACGCCATGGCGGACCGGAAGAAATCGTTGGCCGCGAAGAGGCTGGCCGCGTAGGCCGGGTACGACATGGGCACGTAGACGAACACGCACTGCAGCACGATAAACGCCGAGCTGCCGTAGATGGTGATGCCGATCGTGGGCACGATCCAGTGGATGTGGCGGTTGGCCGTCCACCCGAACAGGAACAGGCCGATGGGCGGGCCGAAGCACCCGACCAGCGCGGGGACCAGCCGGCTCTCTTGGGTTTTCGGGACCCCCCGGAGTAGTTGGGGGATGAGGTAGTAGAGGAGGTAGGCGAAGTAGATGGCTACCGCGAGGAGGCAGGCGACGAGGACGCAGAGGAAGACGAGGCCGATGGTGCCGAGGGTGAAGTTGTAGAGGGGCGGGTAGACGAGGGGGAAGACTTCGAAGAACTTTTGTGGGGGTTGTTAGTCTGGGTATGGAGGGAGGGGGAGGGGGAGGCAACGTACAGAGTAGTAGATTCCGTAGACGATGGCTGTGTAGACTTGGACGAAGAGGATGGCGGGGTCTTTGACCGTGATTTCGATGGGCTTGATGATCGCGTCGATGATGATGGCGGACGGCTTCAGCTGGGTTTGCACGATCTCCGACTGCGATTTGAGGTGGTTCGACCCGATCAATTTGCGCAGACGACGCGCTCGCTGGTGGAGCAGCGTCGGGGTGGAGGTCTCGGGGAGCAGAAGGAACATGAGGCCGAAGACGGGGCCGGCTCCCCACAGGATCTCCCACAGCGACCATCGCCATCCCATGGCGGAGACGGCAAAGCCCGAGATCAACGGGCCCAGAGCCGGTCCGCAGTAGGCTGCGGTCACCCAGGCACTGAGTGCGAAAGGCAGGTAGAGCAACGAGTAGATGTCCTGCATCGTCGCACCTCCCGTAGCCAGACAGGGGCTTCCAAAGAAGCCCTGCAAGAAGCGGAGCACCAGCAGGCCTCCGAAGTTGTGGACCAGAGGCAGCGGAATGGAGATAATCACAAACAAGAACATGGTAATGCAGTAGACCGGGGAGCGCCCGATAGAGGGGACTTCCGACAGCGGAGAGAAGAACAGAGGCCCCACTCCGTACCCTAACACATACAATGACAGCCCCAGAGCAGACGCCGTGGTCGAGACGCCAAACTCGGCCATGATCCCCTCCTCCGACGAGACATAGATCGCAGACCCCGCATACACAATGAACGTATAGAGAAATATGATAAACCCCACAAATGCCTTCTTCGTCTGAGTCCAGTTTTGTGGGTTCGCAGGATCGTCCGGCCCGTACCAATCCACCATCACAAAGTCCGGGGGTAGTGTGTCAGCCTCGCTCTTATCGTCGGGGATTGGTTTTTCCAACAGCTTCTCTGGGTCCTGATCGGCGTGCTGGTTGTGAAAGATGGAGCTGCTCTGTTCGCTTTGTTGCGGTCGGCTCCCCGGTGGGGCCTTAATGCCCGGCACGCCGAGTCGCGCCAGGCCCTGTAGGTATTCGGGAGGGAACACAAAGCCTGCCTCTTCTTCGGGGTACTTGAAATACTTCTTCTTGGTCACCCATCGAATCACTTGCCCGAGGGGAGCATCACGGATCAGACTATTCATGGCGGTCTTCGTTGAGTAGAGTAGACTTTGATGGAATCACTAGATCAGATTTGCACATATCTCATGATGATGTCTACCTGGATCTACCCCACAAAGAAACCATGCGACCGTCTCGAGCATCTTTATAGTAAGAGATCCCCGGACGAGGCAGTTACTCGATGCATCGAATGCTCCCTAAGCCGGCGGGAACTGGCTGGCGGATTGGAAATCCACCTCCGGAGTTAAGCCCTACAGCCGCACCATGCTGGCCACGCCAGAACCTTATTTTGCTGTACTTTGCAGGGGGAGTCGTCGGTTTAACCCCCGGAGTTACCGATCCATGGAGACGGGTGGTGATGGTCGAGCTGTCAGTCGCTAGCTCGTTGCGTGCTTGAGCTTTGACATGAGGTGGTGATGTCAGTGCCCAACCGCTGGCTGACTGATGGCCATCGTATCCATTCCAACGGGATCCGATGTTTTGTCATCAACCCTGCAATCAAGGGAACGCCGAAACCTAATTTTGCACGGTGAAAAAAGGAAGATGAATCACAAAGGACGGCCAGGTGCATGTCTATTGGGACACCCTGTGTATACCCTGCCGGGTACTTCGTATTCGTTGGTGAAGTGTCGGGGTCGATGCGGCTCGAGTGGTAAATTTCTGAGAGGAAGTGCGGTCAGCATAACATTCAAAAATCAAATATGCATATTCAGGATCAAATCATACAAGTCATATTATAGGGGTCTGGGGCGCTCGGTTGATCTGGCGCTCGAGGTCTCAGATCTCGGCCTCGTGATAGCCGTGTTGAGATGGGTTGCAGATACGGAGAAAACTGCATGGACGCGCCGCATGGGAGACACGTGAAGAGGTCAAGCCGTGCTTATGGCAGGGCCCATGCACACGGGTCGCAGGAGGCGGTGATCAAACTGCGTGTGAGTCACTGGTCTCGGAGATTAGGCCAGACCCGATGTACCCGACTTGTAAGTTTGATGAGGCTGAAGCTGATTACGGAAAACTGATCGGCCAGCCCTGAGCCGGCCAGCTGTCATGCATGCCGCGTCGCCCGAGACATCTTCGGGCAAGAAATACAGGTTCAAGTAAACCTCAAAAGTCACACAGGACGAAATACTATGACTTTTCAAGCGTAGGCAATACCCTTCTAGTCAACGACATTGGAACGCTACATCATAAATGAGCCAGATGTGAAATAAATTAGTTTGCCAGCGACCGCCCAAACCGCAGCCTGGCACATGCGCCCGAAGCGAGAGCGTAGCCAATGAGAAAACCCCGACTGCATATCAATCTAAAGTAAGGCCACCCAGGTTTCAAATGTTAAAAGACAGCTTATTCCCCAGAGCATGACGACTGGAAGCTGGCTGATTCATTCGAGAAAGCAGTTCTCCTCATCGGCAGCAAGCATCCCCAGACACCAAAGCCCGAGGAGAATCGTCAGTCGTGGGTCAAACACTGTGCCCGAAGCGTTCCAGGGAACCGGGTCTGACAGCTCCAACTTCCGCTTTCGAGGCCCATCAAGCCGCCGAATCGCCACAAACTCGCGGTCTCTCAGGATGGCCCCATAGCCCTCGTGATGTTGCCGCATATTTCAAGTGACATTTGACATAAGCTGTTTGAACTCCCGTCGCTTTGCCCGGCTCGGTTGGCTCAGCAGCGCAAACGACCATTTGGTTTTTGGCACGCTTCAGGGGCTCGGTTTGATTTTGTCTCACAAGGAAGGCTGTCGTCGAAGAAGCCTGGGTCTGGTGCAAAGTGGTCAGGGGTCGAGCCCGCAATTCTGCCGTCATATATCAATGCTTTCAGTGGAGATGAGGGATTATTCGTGTTCAGCGACTTGGATCCGTTGCAAAGGGCGCAAGAAGCTCGGGGTACGGTGTGCTCCCATACGCGCCCACAAATGAATTCCTTGGCGACGACAGGCTCTTGGGGAGACTGAGGTGAGAGGAAATTATTATATAGAGTTATATTGGTAGATTGTAGCAAGGCACCGTACTCTTCTTTGATCGACATGATGTTGGAGCGGCTCACTGATCTGTAGAATTGATGTTCTCAGCTTGATAATAGAGACTCCTTGTGCTATAAGGTGTTTCATCGACAGTCCACACGCGCAGGTGACTCAAGCCCACGCTGCAAGAACTCCGTTACAGTCACTTGGATATTCATTCTCAACTTCTGTTGGAACAACATAAATTGAATGATGTTATCATTGGTTTTTGATAGGACAAGGTGATGGAAGGCAAGTTTTGGGCTTGAAGAGGAGAGGGTCTCGGTGTATGTGTCATGGTATCGTGGCAGTCATATAACTGGGTAGGGATTGCTTAGCCGAGGCGAAGAGTCTCCTGGGCTTTGTATGGTACCTTCCTTATATCCTAGGCGGATCTTTGAATTTTACTTATTACCAGTGCTTGCCGAATCACATATTCCGAAGTTCACCAGGTAATATCAACGGACTATCTAGCTGATACTCTATACTTCCACATGGCTCCCAGGGGTATCGAAGCAACGATTACCAAACATCAATCCAAATACTGACAGAATTACAAATCGGATATAAACAACTAGCGAAAATAGTTCATTAGACTAGCTAGTGTACTTCAGTTCTCGAAGAGGTTTCTAGTAAACAACCCTGTCATCAAAAGTCCGTCGTGAATGAGGGGTTCAAAGACCAGTCTTGGTTATCTGACGAGAGCATACCCAAGGTCCATAAAGCAAGCAGCACAGTAAGTTGAGGATGTGTCGCGGTACCACTTGCTGTCCAAGGCACTGGAGCAGCCAATTGCAGATTACCATGATTATCAAGTCGGCGGATCGCGACAAGCTCTCTGTTGGTAAGAATGAATCCGTAACGCGCTTGATGCTGGATCATGTAGTAATTAACCTGCGATAGGACTTGTTTGTACTCTTTCCTGTCTGTATGTGACGGACTATTTGCCAGTCCGGTGTTCCACTTGTACGAAGGCTTCACATCGCCAGGCAATCTGTTGGGCCGTATGTGACTGGGAAGATGTGGGTCGTAGAAGGCGAGATCTGGTGCGCATCTCTCAATACGAGCTGCTGCCTCGCCAGCACCGTAGTACACAACGCTAAATCGGGCATGCTGTGCTGGATTCAAGAGTGCAAAGCCACAACGCAAAGCTTCTTGCACCCTGTCTGTAGATGACCGTGCGATCAGATGCACCAGAGTCGATTCTGTCGTGAGGCTATCCATTGGGCTGTTCCGGAATGGATTATCTTGAAGACCAGAAGTGGTCAGGAGTGCACCGTAACGTCTCATGATTTCGTGAATATTGAAGTCACTCCAGATCCCAACACTGCGGATATCTCTGTATCCATATCTACCAGATGCACTTATTGTGTTGTGCGTGTTCGGGTTCTGCACATCAATAGGTACAGCGGATGGTCCATGTTGCAAAAATGCTAAGAGTGAGACATGAGGATGTGCCGTCGCAGTAAGAAATAAACCCCACTCTGCAAACGTAGCAGGAGTGGGGCTTGCTAGACTCTCTTTGGTTGCAGCTGAAGATATCAAGCTATCTGTAATGTTTGCAAAACGGCGTGTTTAAAAGAATAATTACGTGTAGAAGGAAGAGAAAGAGGATAGAGAATAGATCTGAGAAGATTAGAGAAGCCAGGCCTGGCTGAAGCTTCAATTCACTACTTCTATAGACAACGCTTGCTCCGTGTTACAATTCACCGGACGCCCCAGTTAATAGAAAGTGAACATTTGTTATTCTATAGGCATCTACCATCTTTGGTGGGTGGAAACAAATAGATGCCTGGGGCATCAAGTCAATCGCCCAAAGAAACCAAGCAGCCGCCTCTCACTTCCTTCATTCTCCATGTCTCCACGCTCGTCACTTCCACTTACATTTCATCAATTCTCCATCAAGCTCTATCCTACCTCGTTAGAAATGGTTGCAAAAGAGCTCGAGCTTTCGCCTTCTGAGCTCACCTTTCTGGAAACTTTCAAGGAAGGTGAGAGCTCGCTGATCTACAAAGTCGCCGTGCACGGAATGGACTGTGTTATGAAAGTGGTGAGTCGTAACAGTCGTTTCTCTCCACTTTGCTCGTCATTCTGACACCGTCTAGTTCCATGAGTATACTAGGAAGGAGTGGGATAACCCAGATATCGAAATCAGCATGTGCATGCGCGAGGTGACAGCCTACGAACGCCTAAAAGCGAAGGGACTCTGCGCGCGAGGGGTTATCCCTGTTTACTACGGCTACATGACGTTTACGGACCTGGCAATCTGGCCTGAGCTGCACATGTTCACTGACGACGAGCTGCCCCCAAAGGCGATTCTGATCGAGTACGTCCCCGGCATGAAACAACTTGAACTCAGCAACTACACCCAGTCAAGGGTGAAGACGTTGCGGAACGTTCTGTCCGAGATCAACGCAGCAAAGGTATTGCACAGTGATATTGCCCCGAGGAATATGATGGTCTGCTCTGGAGAGACGGAACGAGTGCTTTGGATTGACTTCGATCTGTCGGTCGTATTTCCCGAGGACGAGCCTTTGACAGAAGAGCATCAAGAGTGGTTTGAGGATGAGGCTGCCTTAATGGACGAGTTTGTGAACTGGCTGGTAAGTATAAGGAGTGCTTTTGATTTCCTGAGTCTGACATTTCCATAGTCCCAGGACGCAGTGGAAGGAAAACTTCACAAGGCTTTTCGTTGCTATTATTACGGGAGTTACACTTACTAGAAGCGAGTCAAGATGGGACTAGACCCCTAGCAAAAGTCAGACTAGCCTGGTCCTAACGTAGTCAATGCAGACACTGAAGGCAACGAAGACATCGAAGACATTGAAGACATGAGAGACATCGGAACCATCGATGACGACCAAATCCCGCGACCACGGATCGAATTTTAGGGGACTAGTATGTGGACTCATGCTCAGTGATCTTTTCCGAAATATCATGTTAGTGTTGGATGGCTTTGATGATGACCTATTCTCCCAGTCTATGCAGTCTGTTCAGCGCCTACTGGTTTTGATCGCGAGAGCTTGGTACATGGGTTACCCCAGCAATGATGGGGACTGCAAGATACTTGATTTGATCTTGTGAACCTTTCTTATCTCCTCCGCCGGATCCTGTCATTGTACTATATGCCGGTAAGGAAGTAGCAAATCGAATCTAGAGTACAACACAGTGATAACAAAAAACAGTGGTCTTCCCCGTCCATCAGCCCAAAAATTGCCTGTTGCAGCAAGCGACCCGTCGTTACTTATATGATCTTCTTTACCCCGCCCCTGCAGTCGTTTACCACCCCACCACAGGGTAAACATTATTATCATGGACCAAAGGTCCGAAACCTTGAGATCATGTATTCTTCTACCCTGAGATGCTTCAGCCGCGGAAAAAAATACTGTATCTTGAATCACACTCCCTGACCGGAGCCAACTCAGTCTAGTTTCAATTGGCAGTCTACAGAAGATGAATTGAATCGCTATGACTATCCAGAATTATCAGTAGTCAATTACATGCACGACACGTTGAATGGCCAAGCTCTCCTTTCGAGGATGAGAGCGTGGTATCATAAGAGACGTGTCGATTATGCATAGTCTGAAAATAGATTGTTGTTAGTGGCTTGTTCTGCGCGTATACAAGGCGCATCAGGTACCGTGGATCCGAGAGGATAAACTGGAGCCCCTCCTGGATGACTTTGACTGACGCAAGCCGCTTCCAGATTCCCCGCATCACCTCCCCTGCCAGTAGACCGCTGAGTCCCCTCGCTCGCTCCAAACTCGTACCTTCTCTTGCATGCGCATTCGCTACAATCCTTCCGGCCGACCAACGCTCTGGTCAGGGGATAGGCATACAATGGCTACGCATCTATTTTAAACGAGCGACTCAAGTCATTCTCCGCCGAGCCAAAGATTGAATTCCGGCCACAGGGAAGGTTGTGATCTTGCTGAACATTAAAACTTTACCAAAGCTCGGTGAGAAAATAGATCCAAATGATGGCTTTTTGATGAATACCAGGCCGATAATAGGGTTCAACCAGTTACTTTCTTTCGATGAGCTACGAAGTCGCAAGTGATGATTGTGTGGAAACGGACCAAGATTCCAGAATCTTTGCACAGGCTCTGTGTGGATAGCGATGAGTTCTGCAACGCCGAAGATGCGGATGCGCTCAGTGGCTTGTCGGGGTGGCCGACGTGATAAAGCTTGAGAAGGATTTCGATATCGTGCAATCGTTCGGACTCTGCGGTGCCTTGAAAAGACTGGTACTTGGAGCGATGACTTGACTAGAATGTATGCGAATTGTTTCACCAGCCGATGAAAGGGGTCGACTCTCAACTACGAGGGGCAAACACAGCCCAGCTGACGAGGGTAATCCACGCTTGGTTCGTAGAACAATCTTCGGTCATGTAGACGGCTTTGTGAGACTGTGTGTCACGCGCCACACGCAGTCAGTAATTGCGAGGCCTAGAACATTCTTCTCGCCATGGGCACAGCATTTAAAGTCTCGGATCCCCTCCTCTCATGATATCATTCTGAGCACACATTAAAATGTCTTGATCACCATTCATTCATTATATAAGCTAGCAATAGTTCTTCTCATATCAAAAAGAGAAACAGAGGGGCAACGCATCTAGCAATATCTCGTCCATTGTACAAACAATCCTTTTGAGCATTCATTTCAATCTCACACTTACGAATTAAAATGCAGAATCCTATGAGCAAGTCAGATAGCTCGCGAATCCAGTCAACCCAGGTAAAGCCCTCTGGCAATCCAGGCAACCTAGCTTCTCATTGATGAACAGGCCAAAGGCGGGGGTGACATGAGCGCGGGTGGTTTTGCAGCGCGGGCTCAAGCCGCTGGCGATCGCTCAACGAACTCCAACACAGGCGCAGCGTACTCGTCTTCTGGTTCAACCCAGCAAGGCACCACCGGCTCGGGTGGCGGATCTCAGCAGTCGGGTGCTGCAAAGAGATGACAAAGTGCAGCGAAGAGTGAAGGCGGGGTTCTCGGAATGTAGTACATGGTGATATTTCATGATTTCGTCATCGGGTACTTGGTCGTTGTTTTTCACGGGATTCGAGACCCTGTATCTAAATTGATCGTTGGTCGGGTAGCCAGACTGTGCTAGAAGCTCATGCCATTCTCCAGTTACTTTGACCAAGAATGTGAAATTTACAGGGTGTTAAATACCTAACCTAGCCAAAAGCCTTCCAAACACGCGGTACACAAACACTGTTCCATGATAGTGATGATGTAGCCATTTGCTCCAAATTTATGTAGGGACGCGCTAAGCTCTCAATTTCAGACATCGGACCTTTGCTGACCATTCAAGATAAAGATAGATTCGCTCGCTCGAGAAAGACTCTCATTGCTGCACTCATCAGGATATATCGACAAGCTATAGATGCTTATGTTGATTTAACATTTGTCCACCATGTGACCCCGCTTGGGCGGACCGGCTCGACTGGCGTAAAGTATATTTATCAGGGGCTCGTCTGTTGCGGGGCATAGCCGGGGCACGAAAGGCTCTGCTCCCTGCTTGAAAATCGAATGATGCCGTTCCATGCCCCAGGTAGTATGTACACCGGGTCCAGTCTAATTATATGTTGTTGCCTAAGTTAGTTTTCATGCCATGAGTAAGAACGAATGACAAATGACAAACCCGCAATTTCCCAAATTAGTAATGCTTATCGATAACTAAGATAGGCACCAAGCAACCAACACAAGGCTGACTGACAGGTCAGGTTGACAAACAAACAAGCAGTGGATCCTGTCAAAAGTACGTCTTGATGGATATAAGTACCTAAGGGAGTATGACCTACTTCAATGCAGAATCAATCATTCAATAAGTCTGAGTTTTTCGAAAATGTCGCATAACATTCTGATCACCGGCGCCTCGGGCTACCTCGGCGGGACGATCCTCGCCCGCTGGAACAACGCCAAGCTCCCGCCATACAACACGCTCTACGCCCTCGTCAAAACACCCGAGCAAGGCGAGAAAGTCAAGCAGTACGGGGCCGAACCCTTGATAGCGAACATCAACGACCATGAAACCGTCACCCAGCTCATCGTCGACAAGAACATCACCATCATCTACTTCCTGATCGATGCCTTCACTGGAAAGCACCAGCCCACCCTGATCAAGGCACTGGGACTGGTCAAGCAAAGGACAAATCTGGACGTACATTTCCTACAGACAACGGGTGCCAAGCTATTCAGCCGCCATGCCGGAATCCCGGTCGACCGACCGTTGTTGGATACCGATCCGGAGCTGTATGACATTGTCAAGAATGCGACACCGCCGCACGAGTTCGTCATTGAGGTGTGTACAACCTGATTTGGGCATATTGCACGAGATTACTAAGTGTTCCTACAGCCAGCGAATGCCAACCTCAACGTGATCGACATGTCAGAGGCCCATGGAGTGCGAAGCTACATCTTTGCGCCCTGTCTGGTATACGGACGAGGGGAAGGATTCGGCAATCAGATTTCGATCCAGGATGTTGACATTGTGCGAGCCGCGAAGAAGTTGCGTCGCGTGTACCGCGTGGACACCGATAATCCGGTGGGTCAAACTATTCTTCCTTCGAGTATATTTCAAGGGGGACACCCACTGACACACTTTTAGAGCTGGCCAGTAAGCCACGTCGCTGATACCGCGGACCTGTATCTCCAGATCCTGCGCAAGATTCTGTCGGGTGACGAGATCGGCTACGGTAAGAACGGGTTCTTTCTTGCTGCCTCGGGCAGTCTGCCGTGGAACGATGTCTACGCGGCCATGGCTAAGGGACTGGCTAAGCACAATGTTGTGGACGACGAGGTCGTCATGGATGCTGATGAGTCGGTGTTGGCTCGAATGGGTGAGGCGCTTGGCGTGCCGCCGTCGGCTGTTCCGGTGGTCCTGGGTGGGAAGTATGTGGATCGACGTTGCTCCGCTTCTTTGTCGGTATTTAATGCTAATGATTCGAAATAGGTGTTCGTTCACTGCTGTACACGGCAACCAGATCGGCTGGACTGCTAAGTACCCACCGGAGCATTTCTTCGAGGTTGTGGATGAAGAAATCGATCTAATTGTACAGCACCTGATTGATTAGAGCCAATATGACTATGAAAGATGGAGTTTGTGCATAGAGATAAATTGTTACAATACTCGGTCAGAACAGAAATGTCGAAATTCATAGATAATTCCACTTTCCAGCCTCGCGCAATGCTGTGAGTTTGTTGCTGTTTCAATGTATTTTCAGAGGTCACTTAAACGGTCTTGCAGCGCCTCTTCTATGCTTGCTAGGAAGGTGCGGGAGAGGCTATTCCGATACTTGCTCACAACGTCACTCCCGCGGACACCTCAGAAGATGTATCTTTAGTGAGCCATGCGAGCCTTTGCTGTGCTTGGACAAGCACTAGAACGAAGTTCAACTTGCTCGAAGGTTTGCGATCTTCGAAAAGTGGGTCCAAACCTCGGCAAGAATCAGATAAGGGTTAGTCATCCCCACAATCCTGCGCCCAGCATCGACTCCATCCCCAGATTGAGAACCTGTCAACCTTCCCCCCCCCCCCTTCCAGCACAATCACATCACCATGGCCAAGTCCAAATCTGCCAAGCGAAAGCGCAGCAATCAGGTCGATCTGCCGCAAAAGGCGTCTAAAACCACCTCAATTCTAACGCCCCCGCCAGATGGAGGGTCCTTGGAGCCGAAAAATCTCCAGACGGTCGTTTCGGACGAGGAGCTCGATATCACGATTGAAACGCTCACCACCCTCACACAGTACCCCAGCCTGACCAAGTCGAAAGCATGCAAGGACCTCCGGGCCGCGGTATATGACTTTCGCCAGGCATGTACGACAGGCGTGAACAGCGCTGGTCCGTCTAATTCGTGTCTCTCCTTGAAATTCGCCACTGACTCGTACTTTCACAGAGGGCGCTAATCTGACCGCACGCATCACCGGCGCTATGGCCGACGGGAAATACACTGACGCCAGGGTCCTACTCGCAGAGATGAGAATCAGGGGGGAACAACCAAAAATCGGAGCTTTGTGTCGTTGGGTGAGAGATCTGGATGTCGTGAGTGGCCTCTCCACGCAGCCCGGCATGCAGGGGAAGGCCACCATCGAGCGCACCGCCAGGGACTTGGACCTTCTCAGCGTTCTTGATGCTGTTCTACGCGTCAGCACCCCCATCGACTTGAGCCCGGAAGCGACTCCATCCACCTCTCCCATTGCCTTCCAGTCCATCTGGGACCTCCGACCATCGAGCCCACCACTCGAGGTCTACGCCTCCGTCCTCGACAAATCCATCCTCGCATCGGCCCCAACCTCCCCCTCCGCCCTCCGCATCATCGAAACAACGCCCGGCCCCCAGCGCAAGCCCCCCAACCACCACCCCGCCATCCTCTATACCACTACCCCCAACGCGGTTGCGCTCTCGTCCACACCCCCACCCACAAAATACCACCCCCACCCCTACGTCCCGGGTCTGGGCCTCGCCCTCGACATCCTCTCTTCCGCCGAATGCAAATCCATCATCGCCGCCGGCGAATCGGTCGGGTTCCTGCCCGATGCGCCCCTCCGCGAAGACGGCGACATGAGCATCCTGGCCCACAACTTCTACTGGGTGGTCGATACCGCCTTCCACGACCTGCTCTGGGCCCGCATCGCGCCCCACGTACCCCAGACCATCAACGGATGTCAGGTCCGCGGCCTCAACCGCCGGTTCCGCGTGTACCGCTACGTCCCCGGGGCCGAGTACCGGTGCCACATCGACGGCGCGTGGCCGCCGTCGGGCATCAGCCCGGAGGACAAATACGTCTACGACGCCTCGCCGGAGGACAACCGGCAGAGCTCGATGTACACCTTCCTTCTTTACTTGAATGATGAGTTCGAGGGCGGGGAGACGACCTTCTTCCTGCCGGCGGCCAGGGAAGGCACGCTGAATGCCTACCCCGTGCGGCCGGTGATGGGCGCGGTCGCGTTGTTCCCGCACGGGGAGTCGAACGGGGCGTTGTTGCACGAGGGGACTGGGGTGAGGAAGGGGGCTAAGTATATTATTAGAAGTGATGTAGAATACGATGTCAAGCCGGGACAGGGATGAGAGGATGCGCCGGCGCATTTGGTGCCCCGCCATCCCTGCTTTGTTTCGGCTGCTCGGCCGAAAGGCCGAAGACTCGGTCGGTATCCCCATGGTGGGTCCGATCGGATACTATATCTTGTATAGCTGTAGAGAACAGCATAGACCTTAGACTCGCGAGAATAAGAGTCACTATTCCTATCCCGGTCGTCATCCACCACAGGTACTCGTTTCGAGGAACCTTGGGTATCCAACTGGTGCGGTGGTTAAGGGGGGTTGTCTGTGTTCACCCTGTCCCAACTTGGGATCCAGAGTGACCTGAATCACTCGCATCCGTGTAGTGGGGCCATCCTGTTTCTTCTGCTCTCTGCGCTTCGAAGATAGACAAAGGGAAGGGAAGTTTTACCCAGCAACATATTCTAGAGGACGGCGCTACTATTCCGACCACCAAAATAAGTACCTTCTCCAACAAATCCGCAAACATAACTCCTTAAAACCTTTGCGAATCGACTTGAGTGGCATAGTGAATCATTCATCGACTCACGACTTCCCTCCTGCATGTTGAGACATCAACTCAAAGACCACCACGAATCCCCTATCGCGCAAGAGACGCATGCAAGGCACAAGCACATGACAATGGCACCATAAATCCTTCCATATCTACAGCCACCTGCTTGTGGGAATAAATGCATAAACCCCCTCCCTTATCGCCCCAAAACTCCCCTCTTTCTCCCCTCAACCTGACGCATATGTACAGAACACATCCCCCATCTCCATCCCAAAGGTCCACACCCCTCACAAAATGGTACTCAAATCCACCAAACTGGCCGTAACCTGATTGTCCGCGCCGTTCAGCACCCCGCCGCCCGCAATCAGCAAATAGCGCCCGTTGTCCTCGCTGAGCACGCGCAGATCCCGGGTGTAGCTGGTGCTCTCCGGGGTGGCGATCTCGGTCCACTCGCCCCGGCCCAGGTTTTGGTTGACGAAGATCGAGCTCTGGGTGCCGCTGCTGGCGATGATGGTGCCGTGCTTGCCGCCGTAGGGGCTCCAGACCACGTAGGGCGAGGAGGTGGGCTGCGTGCCGTCGGAGACGACCAGGCGCTGGCCCTCCGCGGCGGCGATCTTCTCCGGGTCGCTGGCGATGCGGAAGTAGAGCGGGAAGCTGTAGGTTGAGGTGTTGAAGAAGGAGCCGTACTCGTAGATGTAGATGTAGTCTTTGTTCGGGAGCTGGAATTGGGTGGAAGGTTAGTGGGGCTGGGGTGGGTGGGTTTGGTTAGAGGGGGTTCTGACCTGGGCGAGGATGGGCATGCCGGGGCGGTCGGTGTAGGTTGGGTAGGCGCTGTTGTTTGTTAGTCTTTTGTTTTGGGGGTGATAGGGATGTAGGGGGGGGGGGGGGAACGTACTCGTCATCGACGACGGGGCCCCAGTTCTTCAGGTCGGTGGTGGTCTGGTGCACGAGCTTCTGGCCGTAGGTCGCGTTGTCGCGTTGGTCGGAGTAGTAGCAGATGAGCTTGCCCTTGCTGATGTTGGGTTAGTAACTGGTGAGAGACTGGGTATGGGCTGCGGGTAAGGCATGATACGTACTGCACCAGCAAGAATGGCTCCCACACCGGGGTCAAGCCGTTGTTCGGCAACGCCTCGCCGCCCTTGGCGATCTCGGAGACGAACTCCCAGGTCACACCGTTATCGCGCGACGCATACAGGTCGAGCTCCGTGGTGGACAGGTCCTCGGGGATGCTGTTGCCGGCGAGCAGAATCGTGCCTGCCGGGTAGCCGCCCAGCTTCTGATCCAGGTAGTAGAGGAAAGGCTGGTAGCGCAGCCCGATCTTGTTGTGCGTGTCCTCGACCCGCGAGATCTCCTTCCAGGTGGCGCCGTGGTCGGTGCTGCGGTAGATGGGGAAGTAAACGAGGCCGTCAGTGTCGCCCGAGTAGTTCTCCCACGTCGAGAGAAGAACGCCGGACGGAAGCTCTAGCGTACGTGCATAAAGCGTGCGGGGAACGGTGTAGTTGGAGGGTGGGTCGAAGATGACGGTCTCGCTGTAGGTGGTGATGGTGCTCGGCTTGGACTTGGGCAATGGGTTTGCCGTCGTCAAGGGTGACAGGAGCAGGGGCAATACCAACGAGGCGAGGCCGGTGAGCTTCATCTTGCTTGAGTATGGTTTTCCAATTGACTCTCGCACTTGATGGACAGGTACTCCGCAAATTTTGCGGGGGAATTTATAGTCCTCCGGGTTGAGGAAGTTGCGGGGTGCATATCCCGCCGGAGTTGTTCTTCTAGGGCTATCATCCCATTCGGGAGATTTTCCGTCAATCGGGAGGGGAAGCCCGCCACATGGGTTCTTCATCTCATTCCCCGGCTACCTGAGGACTCTTTGCTTTACGTCATGGCGTCTTTAGTACCTGCAGGCCATTCTTGCCGAGATGAGGCAATAAGGAATGATTTTGCAGCCATTCAATTGCGAACAGCGATGGCGCCACGTAGTGAGTGAGCCCTTGGGAACATACCGCAAACCCCGCAGGTGCTTCAGTCTTGGCATTTGCTCGGTACTTCTGGGCGTCTTCTTGACCTCGGCATGTATTGCGAGCCCGGTGGACTAATCGCGCCAGACATCCAGGTATTGGGTTTCGGAGTAGCGGTCTGAGTGCTACATGGGAAGCCAGAGTGCAAGTGTGCAGGGGTCTGAAGTGTTCTGCTCATTGTTCCTGACGATCACTAGCAGTGGCTGGCTGCTAACTAGCGCTGGTATATCAGCATCATGACAGGTCGAGTTAGTGTCATGGTCAAATGCTATAGAATGACGATCAGTCGATTCTTTCGCTTGTCGTCAGCTTCCCTCCGCATCCCCGCACAGTTGCACTAGTAGAACCGAATATTTCACTCCGGAGGGGAATAGGAGACTTTGAAACTTAGCTGCCTAAGCGATCCAAACAAGCTGGGATTAATCTTGGCTACAAGATCTTGGATTTACGATCGACTGTGACCCTCGATTCCTTTCCTTTCTGTCTGTCGAAGTATACAAGAGAGCGACACCCAGCTGGGTTTCAGACAGATGCACATGTTCGAGAGATATCGTTGCTCACGCGAGTTTGAGTCCAGAAAAAGTGGAGCTCCTCAGCGCGAAGGATCACGCACTTGTACCATAGACATGGACATGGCTATCGAATATCCCGTTCTGAATTAACTTGGCGAAAGGCCTGGTCAAAATCGCAAGCTAGAAAACCTATCCATCTTCTCTGGCTATTGTTATGCCGATATACATCACTCGAATGTTTGGTTCACCTGTCTTTCAGCACCATTACTGATCGCAGAGGATAGTTGATGCGACGGAGCCTTGTCGAATGTGAACTTGTTGACAACGACGCGTCCACGTCTCGAATTCTCTTACGCATGATCGTGTTGCAAGGCCAACGTTTCATTATCCACTTTCTCGGGTTTAGGCTAGGCACCGCATACAACCCCGAGGCATGGATCGGGTGAACTCGAACCTGTCTGCTCCGCCTCTTAGTTGGAAACAATATCCTTTGATAGGGTCATAGACTACCATGCGAATGCCTGGAACTTGAAACACAGTTATATTGTGGTAGGATCTGTCGAGCATGCAAGGTGTGGCTCATGTCAGCCAGAAGGGTGGCTAACGTCAGCCACAATCTTGGTGGGATCCTATTGGCAGGAGTTTAGGAGATTAGGTGGATTTCCGTGTTCGGCTTATGCCTTGGCGGGATCGGATGGGATTAAGCCCCCGCTGATCTCATTGAAGTGCTCCTATCGCCGTTTCAACCGCGATGAACCTAAGGTTCTGGCACTGATTTAAATACCACACGCACTGCTGAAGTATTATTGTCCTCTGTACCAAAGAATCAAACCGACATCCCTTTCAAACCCCTCAACACCTCATCTCAACATCCCACCAACTTAACATCTCGACCAACTCAACACCAAAGCTTAGTTATCGCCGTTAGCCCGAGATCCAATCCACGAACCGCCGGCGCAGCAAGACACCGCCAATTCGATCAACCATCCGTTGACATTCCACAAGAAACAATTGTCCCAAAAGCAGCGATGGTGACCCTCCAAACCATCCAAGCGCACAATGCGACCCTCAAATCCGCGATCCCCAATCTTGTCGCAGTATTTGGTACGTCGAATTCCTTCCCTCGATACAAAACAAATCCCCGCTGGAGTCACGTCCTCTCGCACCCATCCTCCCCTCAATATACATCAACACTAACACCCCCAAAGTAGGCGGCACCTCCGGCATCTCCCTCTCCACCGCCCAGACCCTAGCACGGTACACACCATCCCCCAAGATCTACTTGATCGGCCGCAGCCAACCGGCCGCCGACCGCGCCATCGCCGACCTGAAAGCCATCAACCCGGCCGCGCAGCCCACCTTCCTGCAAGCCGACATCTCCCGTCTCACGAACGTCGACCGCGTCTGCGCCGAGATCGCCGCCCGGGAATCCCGCCTCAACCTCCTCTTCATGACCCCGGGGTATCTGACGCTGAAGGGCCGCGACGAGACCGCCGAGGGGCTCGACCGGAAGTTCGTGCTGCATTACTACGCGCGCATGCGCTTTGTGACCCAGCTCATGCCGCTGCTGACGGCTGCTGCTGCTGCGGAGGAGCGAGGTTCTGGTGGGCTGTCGCGGGTGGTCTCGGTGCTGGATCCGGTGGTGGCGGTGCGAGCGGGCGGGGCGGGGGAGCTCGACTTCAACGATCTGAGTCTCAAGGACACGTTCACGCTCAAGAAGTGCGGGCATCATGCGGGCCTGATGGGGAATTTCTTCCTCGAGGAGTTGTCGCGGCGCTACCCTGCTACCTCGTTTGTGCATGCGTATCCGTCCGGGGTGGCGACGGGGGCGATGCGCGAGCTGCCGGCGGGGAGGGTCTTGACGGCGGTTTTGGGGAAGGTGTTGGCGCCTTTCTTGGTGCCCATTGGCGAGAGTGGCGAGCGCCATTTGTTTGCGGCCACGAGTCCGAGATATCCTTCGCGGCTGGTGGGGGAGGCCAAGGGGCCCGGGGATGGGGATGTTGCTGTTGGTAGTGATGGGGTTAAGGGGGGTGGGTCTTACTGGTTGAATTGGGATGGGGAGGCGTATCCTAGAAATACCAATATTGAGAGGACGAGAGAGCAGGGCGCGGTGGAGAAGGTGTGGGAGCATACCCAGGAGGTGTTCAAGCGGGTATGCGAGGAGGGCAAAACATACCCGTGATTTGTGATATTAGTATATTCATCCTGACAGCTACCGACAGAATAATTCTTAATCTCTCCTCCAAAACATTCCAAGTAAATATTGAAATGATTCTCACAATTAAGCTCCTTTGGCCAGCCATGCTTGATTCCCCTGCTGTTCAAAGACCGGCCTCTAGGGATATGCCCGGCCGGCGCTCTTCCAGAACTTTAAGCGTCTGCTCGAAGACCTTCTTCTGTACCCTCCGCCCCACCTCGGTATAGATCCAACCCTCAACATTCTGGTTCTTCCCGTCACTTTGTAACTCGCCATGGGAGCTCTTCGGAGCCGAGGCCGCGAGCACCAATGTCCTCGCTCCAACTTCAGTTGTTCGCTCAAGGATTTGACGGGCGATCCGTGCGATCACCGAAGGCGGCTCGGCTCGAGCAAGGTCCGAGGCGCAAAGCCCCGGATTTACTATGTTGATAATCACCGGTGGGGTGCCATCAGCATCGTCTTCTTGCTTAGTACTCAGCCTTGCCACCAGCTCCCGCGTGAAGAGTACCTCAATCAATTTCGTGGCTTGATATCTTTGGGCCATCATGATCAGCCACCCACCTTATGGTTCTAATCGTACAAGCACAAGCACATTGAAAGGACAGTAACATACCTAGCCTGCTGACTGAACCGCTCCCTCACCTTGAGCTCGTCATAGAGATCCGGGGCCTCGATCTCCGGAAAGGCAGTCAACCGATGCGCCTCGGAACTCACAATCACCAGGTGCGGGTAGACAGCATCCGCAGCAGCGAGCCGCCTTGTCGCCCGGAGCTTTGGGAGCAGCATCAACGCCAAAAGAAAGGTGTTCAGCACATTAATCTGGACCGCCTGCTCATGGCCCTCACACAGCGTCCACTCTGCCGTGTTGACCCCTGCATTCTCAACCAAGACGTCGACTCGATCCAGCTCACGCTTTACTCTTTCTGCGAAGGCTATTGTGGACGCGGTGCGCGACAAATCCAGCGACCACACCTCGATCGCACCTGCGTCCGAACGATGCGTGATGTTGCTGCACAGGATGTCCTCCTTGGCGGCTTCGCCTTTGGCCGTGTTGCGGACCGCGAGGATCAGCCGCGCGCAGCCCAGACGGTAGAAGTGGCGTGCGGCCTCGAGGCCCAGGCCTGTGTTCGAGCCGGTGACGATGATGGTCTGGTTGGCGAAGGAGGCGCGGGGGTATGGCGGGGTGACGAACAGCTGAGAGTACAGGAAGGTGCGTAGACCGGCGCCTATGTTTGGGAAGATCACGAACTCGGAATCTCGGGAGGCCATGATGAATGCGAAGAGTTTGTGCATCGATCGCTCCCAGATAGCGCGCAGCTCAATGACGGTTTTATATCGATACATACTGGTGTGACTAAGGATAGGGCACGGTGTAGGTGCGGGCAGACCGGGATCCGATGAAGACGATCTACGGCTACCGGGTTGGACACTACCCGACGATGATTATGCATGCTTACGCAGCAGTGCCTACTGTCGACATTCAGTGGAGCCTAACTATTGGGTGAAAAGCATGTAGGTATAAGCACTTGCATTAGCGTATGCTCACCGGCGAAGAGCTATGACGCGATGTGCCGCAGTAATGATTAAATCCAGGGTACGGTGCCCGCCCTGAGTTCTGTTTTAAACCTTACTCTATTCTGTACTCTACTTTCCATCCTGCCGGTAGAAAAAGGTCATGTCCTACTTCTACGCACTTTCGTGAGCATTGTATCTATCGGTAAAATTCCAAGTCATATACCGCTTTAGAAAGTAGATAAAGTTAACGTCGTCTGTATCCTTCCAAGTAAACTTCATGCTTCGTATGAGAGAATTCGTCGAAGCGATGTCCATCGAATACTACAGTCAATCACCATTCGTAGAATGATAACGCAGGAACCATATAACTTTAGGTGTTGAGGAAGGCTATACTGCTATAGTTGCTTACCAAGGCGCTTATCAATGTGCTTACAAAGGTCGTTATATTCCTAATCAGAATTACTAAGTCGCGTGGTGAAGAGAGTAAAGAAAATCGGATTTCCAGGGTAGTAGCGGTTATCTACTACTGCATACAAGTTGTCAACAGAATACAACGTATGCTTCGCGCAGCAAGACACCACACAAAGCCCCAACCCCTAGACCCTCCCCCCGCTAGCGACGCTCAAGATATTCCGCCACTCCAGGTCATCTGGGGCATCCGCGTGGATGGCAAGCTTGATGTCGAGCGCGTTCCGTAACTGTTCCTTGGTGGTCGCAAATAACATACACCACTTTGCAGAAGTGTCAACCTGAATCCAGTGGGCCGTCAGAGATAATGTGGTGGAGCTCACCTTTAGTGATGTTTCCTGGGGGACCCAGCTGATAAAAACCAGGCGGGAGCGCTTTCCGTCTTCCCCGAGGTCATATTCCACGTCGTACGCCGCGTATCGTGGCATTGGCTTCCCCGTGCTGTCTCCTGCACCGCAGAGGAAGTGGAGGAAAACCTCGTAGTCTGGTTCGCTAGAGGATTCGCATAGTTCGACTGTGGTCTCGTCGTCGGAGATCTTGTAGATCACAAACCGGGGCTTCTTGGGCCCTCTGCCGAAGCGGAGTAACCGGGACGCGGTGATGCACTCGTCCGAGATCATCACTCTGTTCTGGTTAGATGTAGACTTGGAAGAGATGATTTTAAGGGCCAGGGAAGCTTAGGACGCACCCTGATGGCATCTGGAGTTGGCGGATTGTCAGTGCTGAGTCGGACATCTCATGATTCGGGCTGCACTTACCGACATGTTGAAGTAGTTCTGGTGATCTGAAAAACTGACTTGTTCTTGCAATGTGGAAGCACCATTTGAGTCATCCAAGGAAAGGTAAAGGCGAATGCTTCCTATATAGGTTCCTTGCGCTAGGCAACTTTGAAAGTCTACAACGCCAACAGCTTGCCGCTCGTCAACAGGCAACAGCGCCTGTGAAGCTCAACGTTGCAGAACAATTCAGCATCTCTGCCGCTCCAAATGATGGTTGCCTGGATAATGAGTATACGGATATTATGGATAGATTCATCCTCAGCCAAGTATTTTGACGTCGTAGGACTGGCGACTAGAGCATCTACTGCGACGTGTAATCAGGCAGCAACTAAGGAATTGTGTGTGGATTGAATGCTTGTACTGCGGCCGCGTAATACATGTATAGCATTGTACCCCTAGAGAAAGAATAGTTCGTGATCTTTTGCGATCGCTATCCATGTTCCTGTTTTTATCGCATTTCCATCAAGCAACGGACAGTCTGACGCTAACAACAGCGATGCAACAACATGTGGCTCATCTTCCAGGCGAGCCGTACCTCAATGAAAACAGCAAAACCAGTGAACAACCTCTCTATCTGCCGTAGCAGTTCTAAAATCTAACTATTCATATGACGCATATATACTGTACAGTAGTCCAACTACGGAACCACTCAATTCTTCAAACCCCCCTCCTTCTCTCCCTCTCCCTCCACATCCCCTACTCCCAACCCAAACATGGCAAGACTATTCCTCCACGCTGCCTCAGCAACCAGCTCCACCTCGACCCCCTTCAACCCCGCCACCACCCTCGCCACCCGCTCCATCGTACAGCTCTCATTCCTCCCTTTAACCATCAAGCCCTCCACAAACCTATTACTCTTCCTCGCGGCAGGCAGGGGCCTGGCCCCCTCCAAGTATTTCCGGATTGCATCATCCTCCACAATCTCACACCACGGCGCATCCGTCTCCAACTGCAACACCTCCAACGGCACCTGCCGCACCATCTCGCGCCCCTCCTCCGTCCGAAAGCTCACCCCGTTCACACTAATTCCGAACCCCAGCCCCACGAGCACGCGCATCTCCTCCGCCGACCCGGCAAACGAATGCACCAGCCCCCGCCTCCCAACCGGCAGCCGCTCCAAATACGGCCGCAGGATCGCCACCACATCCTCGCACGCCCTCTCGCCCCGCACATGCAGGAAGAGCGGGAGGCGCAGCTCCACCGCGATATCCAGCTGGTCGCGGAACGCGCGCTGCTGGGTCGCCTTGTCGGCGCGGTCGAGGTACACGTAGTCGAGGCCGATCTCGCCGAAGGCGACGAGCGGGGACGGGTGATTGGTGGTGGTGGCGGCGAGGAGGGCGTGGCCTAGTTCGCGGAGGCGGGTGAGGTAGGAGCCAGTTGCGGCTGCGGCTTCGTCGGCGTAGATCTCGCTGGCGTGGTAGGGGTGCACGCCCAGCGTCATGGTGCACATGGTCGGGTACTCGCGGGTGATGGCCAGGTTCTGCGATGCGCCGGCCAGGGTCATCGTTGTCAGGAGCATCTTCTCGCAGCCGTGGGCGCGGGCGCGTGCGACGACGTGCGCCCAGTCCGGTGCGTGGTGCGGTTTGCCGCCGCGGTAGAGGCCGTGGAATTGGTCCGCCGTGTAGGTTACTGCTACCTGTTTGCTTTGTTAGTTTCTGGGGTTGGGGGTGTGGGGAAGGGGAAGGGGAAGGGGACTTGCATCTGCGAATCGCATTTTGCGTTGTGGGTGTGGTTGTGGTCGTGCTGGTAGGGAGATGATTTTGGAAATCGCGTGGCTGGATGTTTTAGCATATTAGCGACTGCGATGGTTGTGGTTGGGCTAGGAGACTGACCGTGCAGCAATGCTCGGGCGCATGTAGTGTTGAGTGCAGGCTTCAGACTCGAAGAGGATGGACATTTGCTCGGAGATTATTTTAGCTTGTCTCCCTCAATTGCAGGTTTCTTTAAAGCCCTTTTAGTATTCGTCCGTGTCCTGTGTCTACTCCACTCCGCTTTGCTGTTTTCTGCGCCGTGCCCACTTCTCTGCTCCCCTTCCGTCCCCACTCGGGTACCTGTACCCGGATAGCAGTATGCAATTGCGCATAGTCAGACAAACCCGAAAGATGGACAGGATGAGAAAATGAGACACAGATAAATTCATCTTCATCTATTGGATCTATCGTGGGTCCGTTCCCGCTCAGCCCAGCCTAGGATCTCATCGTCCACCGGCCACAGCATCCGCCATCTCGCCCAGAGTATCGAACTTCCAGTCAAAGATCGTCTCCTCCATGTTCCCCATCGTAGCCCCAGGCCTCTCGATCCAGACCGACTTAATTCCCGCCTTGCGTGCAGGGTGATGATCGTGAAACTGACTCTGTGCTGTCTGCAAAACCTGGCTCTTCTCGACTCCGAACTTCTCTTTGACCGCGTGCAACATGTGCTCGAAGTTCTTGAGGTCGGGTTTGTAGCTCCCCACGTCCTGCGCGGTGATGATCAAGTCGAACTCGAATCCTTGGAGGCTGCCAGCGTTCGTCTTGGCGAATGATTGGCGGTCGACGTTGGACAGCAACACGAGCTTGTAATGCTTCGAGAGGCGTTTGAGCGCGTCGACGGTATCCGGGAAGGCGGGCCAGTTGCCGACCGATTCGCCGAAGCGGATGCTCTCGTCGCGGGAGGGGGCGGGGAGATTCAGACGCGCCGCCCAGGGGGGGTGGATGGTGGTCAGGAGTTCAGAGTAGGGCATGTCAGGGGTCTGTTCCTGCTGCGCATGTTCCAGCTCGTGGTAGACGGTCAAGAGGTGGTGGCGCGAGAATTGCGCGTTGGCTTTGTCCAGGATGGGCTGGAAGGCGGTCAGGATGCCGGTTTCCCAGTCCACTAGCGTGCCGTAGACATCGAATGTGAGGAGACGGTAGTCAGATAATTGAGCCATGGTAATTAGTCTAATGGAGATTGTGCTTTGATTGTGCTGATGTGTGTGCAAAGATGCCAGGAACGTGAGGATAGATATACATCATGGCTGGTCGGTGCGGGGAGTGGAAGCAGTTAGCCTGGACTGCATCATAAACGGTTTCCCCTCAATATCCCCACTCGGGTACGCTTACCCGATCCAGTGCCCGCCTGTCACTCCGATGCCGGACCAGCTTCTCTCGGCCCGGGTGCTGCGCGGCCACTGCTCACCTCAGTCCGGCATTGGATGCAGGACGTCTTGCTTCCGAGCGACAGCTGTGTCATAAGCATCGCCCAGTGAAAGACCATCGCGACAGTCTACAAGAAGAATGTCATCATGACTTGCATCGTTCCCATAATAGGCATTTGCTCAAACTCCCACTTGAAACTTCAAAGCCCCTGACCGAAAGGGATATTGCCTTCCCCAGACATGATCGAACCGCCCGTCTCTCCAAGCCAACTATCATCCAAGAACAGCTGATCAGAACCCGTGATGGTCGCAAAAGAGTCCAGCTCTTGAGGCAAGGAGGCAAAGAATCCATCGAAGGAGGGCGGGGTCAGATTCTCGGAGAGATCAGCTAAAGACCCAGGCACAGGAGTTGGCATTGGGTGCGAGGTGAGACTATCAGGTTGCCAAAGTTGTGCCCATCGCTGGAACTGACTATATCCTGAGTTTGCATCGTGGTTCCATTCCTGCGTCCGATCCTCCTGCCGTTGCAGTCGCTGACGCGCCAGCTCCAATGCTTCGATAGCCGCCACATCCGATCGGGCGGATTCTACACCCACGCACATTTGTCGGATGAGAATCATGCCTTGAGACAGGCTGTTCAGGACACGGTCTGTCTGTTCGTTCACGCTATGCGCGATCAACGCAAGCAGTGCCGCGCGGCAGGAGCTGAATTCTGTGTATGAGACGCGGGCGATTCCGACTGAGTCGTGCAGAAGCTGGCAGAGATCGATGATTCGAATCGCGGCATCGAGGCAGTCGGCCGAAAACGTGCTTATCGGACTCTCACTGCACGCGTCTGATGGCAAGGAATGACTTGGCTTCGGCGCGAAGATAAATGGACGGCCCATGTATATTATCGCAGTATCATAGCTCAGCTCCAGATGAACATTACAACGGAACAGAGGTCCAGTTGGGGTCAGGTCTCGGCAATGGACTTCCGTTGGAAGGGATGACCACCACTTGCTGAGATTAGACCGTATCACCATCAGCTCCTGAAGGTGGCCTTTTTGTTGAAGGCGTGGACATCCCCGTAGGTGCATAATGGTTTGGGACATCTTACTCAGCTGGCTCGTTAAGAAAATGTTTGCGTTCACGTTCTCCAAGTTCGAAGCTCTTCCGGTCGGGAGGGGTAAGGCTTGGTCGGTCGGAAACTCCGCATCGACTTCGAGACGAGAGACAGATACTGGCCTTCCGTGCAGGATGCTGATACGACTATAATAGAGTTAGCAACTGACACGATAAGCTTGTTCTTGTGGCAGGGAGCACCTTTCGAGTGAGTAGGCGGACCACCACAGACGATTCCGCCACTCAAGAGTATCAGGGTCAAGCGAGAGATGAGAACTATCCCTATGCATGCCATTCTGAATCGCCATCTTAGTAGCAAGGCCATAATACGTGTAAGCCAGGCCAGATGTGTCGATCGGCACCGTGTAGCTACCCAGTAGCAAGAAGGCCTGTACCGTCTCAACGGATGCCACGGTAATCAGGTCAGGAATCAGTCGACAAGAGAATCGATAGAGCTCTAGCCCAGCACGATCATCCGGTATCTCTTGAGAAAGATGGAGGCTCATCTGCGTTGGCTTCGTCTGCATATAGGCAAATTGGGTTCCTATAGCGAAAGTCATGAGAAGGGTACATATCCACCCAGCGTCGTGTATGGTCAGCGCATGCTCATTGGAATAATAATAGTCCATCTTCTGTCTTAGCGTTCTCTCATCAAAGTAGAAGTAATTGGTTTGAGCGAATTGAAGAAACGTCTCGATGAGGAATTCTCCGATATCCCTAGGTGGAAAGTAAACCATAGCAGAAGACACCACTGATGTAGGTGATTGTAAGTCGGTCGCACGATGTACTCCGCGGACTTTGTCTATCCCCTAGAACACAATCAGCAGAAGCTTCTAAACAGCTTCGTCAGGTGAAAATACATGGTTCTGACCCGTCCCACTGCCTAAACTCCGCAACCTACGAAGTAGCGTTTGGGAAAAGTTCCAATGAGATAACTCCCCGTAATAGTCTGGAAGTTGTCAGTCGGGTGCGGGAAGATTGGTGCTTTGAAGCTTACGCATGGCGCTGCTCGATAGTGGCTCAAGAGAAAAGTTTTCTGGTTCTGGTTCCGTCGTCCCTGATATAATTTGAACGTCGTGGTCCGGACTTCGCTTCTCAAGTGCATCGGCAATACTTTGCAAACTCGCCGTGTCAGTCGCCACATTCCCGATGAAATGTTTGATTATCCTCATCATAACAGCTTCTCTCTCTTCTGGTATGGACGCAGGTGCAGCGCTATTAGATATTAGTCTCTTGTAGGGTAGATTCTTAGTCCAGTCAAACCCAGTATTATTGTCGTTGGTGTCTCTGACCAGCCGCTGCGTTGCCGCCGTTTCGAATCGGCATGCACGATTATACTGACGACAGCGCGCGCACGGCACGCCTCCCCCGCCTACGAAATGATCAGTAGTTGTAAGCAAATCTTGGGGTAAAGTTGTACATTTCTCTTTATGATACCGACAAGGGACGCAGCTGTCGAGGATCGGCGGACGGGTTAGCTTCCTCTATAATGCAAAGGGCGGGACTCCTACGCTTGAGCTGCTCTTTTCCGTGCAGATTCCGGCACTTGCGGTCGCTTTTGGCGGCCCATTCGCCGTGAGACCTCCATTTCAGGTTGCAATGATCAATAGACAGGCATTTGGGTTACCAGCACACTTGGAAGAAATGCTAGATAGATGTTGAGTAGGTGGTGTGGCGCATTCCGTTTTGATGCGGGCAAGAAGCACAGCGGCGTTTTGTTTGCTTCGTATGCAAACCCTTGCTGCCTTAGGCAGTGCTGCCGCTTTTATGGCTCCCCATTGAGAAATTTTCTGAACACATATTTGCATACCGCGACTTCTTCCATTATGTCGACCAAGATTCAGCATAGACTTGAGATTAATGACTCCTCGGAGCCTACAGTTCAGACCATTTCTGTCACTGAAAGTCCTCCAATGGAAGATCATTCAGCAGACAAGAGCCCATCTCTTCTAGTGTGGACGCAAGCTCACCCACCGCCAAATTAATGAATAGTTGGTTTTCGTGCTACAACTTGAAGAAAGACAAAAATCAAAAAAAGAAAACCACAGAAGACAAACAAATCTCCATCCTTGAGCGGTCTTGACATTACCTGCTATACAAAACTTAACCCTCGAACCAAGATTTCAAATTTCCTGAGAACTATCTAGGCAGCTAAAAACATGGGTGAACCATGGGAAGTCATTATTCCATTGCGCCGACCTTCGATTTTGCGTACGAGACCTTGCGCACGAGAGGAGACGCTATTACATGCCCCGATATCCAGAATCCACAACCCAGAGAGAGGAACGAAAGTGCGTGAACGCGGTGGTGATGGAAACCGGAATGATGAGACGAAACCCAGGGCTAGTTTGTTGTGAACTCGATGCTCGTTTCCCCAATGGTCTTCCCCTGGCTGATTGCCTCAAACTTCAACAATCCATCCCGCGCACCAAATGTCACCCTGATATTGTATTCCAACTTGTAGACTTTGTCACCGTCCTTCTCCTTGACTGGAAACCGGGATAGGTCGACTTGAGAAAAGTCAACTATGATGCGGCCAACCCTGTAGACGCCTTTCAAGATTACATGATCAGACCTGAACATAATTTGCCCGAGGGGACAGAACATACCAACATCATCCTTCCTTTCCGGAGCAAGCATCTCATCGTAGGCGTAGAAATTGCTGTGTTTCTTCAGGGATTCACAGCTCCAGTGCGTCCAGTGAACGTACGCAGTTTGCTTATAGTTCTCAGCATAGCTTTCACCCTAAACATTGAGTTAGCGTCGGGCGTGGCACAACCATCTTCAGATCAACTAATCTCACCTTAGCGATCATCCACTTCACAATACCCCCAACCCGTTTTATGCCATCAAACGCATCAATGTAGGAATTCTTTTCGTCATCATGGCCCTCGCGGAATGGTATACCTCGGGCAAAGCCATAGTGACGACGGCACCGCTTGGTGCTTGGTCTGATACCCTCTAAACCGCGGAGAGCGGCACCTTGAACAATAGCTGCTTGCCTGGGGAGTATCACATTTTAGCTGACAATCAGACATTTTACCATTAGAAAAGGACATCCATCACTCACGGATCGGTCGGATTCGTCACCGCAATCTCACCGGTCGTCGCGAAGGTGGACTTGATAGCCTTTTGAAGGTATTCCGAGTTACCAAATCCACCCACGAGTATGATTCTCTGGATGAAAGATAAGTTGGCTAGTTTTGGAATTAGAGAAGTGTTGTGCATACATTGATAATCCCTCTACCACGGAGGTTTCGCGCATCCGTGATCTGACGCTGTATCAGGGTGATGACTTGATTGACAACAGGATCGAAGAGCGCGCTCAAGTCCCCACTATTCCAGTTTTAGCACTTCTAGTCAAGGAGCAACAATTTCAACTGACCTGGTTATCTTGACCAACCGCTCTTCTGCGTCGTAGTATTCTGTTGGAGTTCCGTTCGTCAAGGTCATGTTCAGAGGCAACTCTTCTATGCTGAACGAAGAGGAGATCCCGAAGTCTCTCTTGACATTCTCAAAAGCGTTCATGAATTTACTGCCGGGGCCTTTGACAGACGTGGGAAGATTGTCGAATGCTCTGCCAAATCGGTGCGACATGAGCTTGTACAAGTTACGATCGATCGCGGTAGACCCGCATTTACCCCCTGGGTAAACGGTCAGCATCAGCAACATTGGAACAGATTGAGGGCGACTCGAACCAATGCCAGTCAGCAGTTCGTGGAACGTGACAGCTGGGAAAACGTTCTCGACAACGTAGGCTGTAATATCCTAAGCAGCCGGCTAAGTATGATCGATGCCTAGGAATCCAGGTGAGGACAGTCTTACCACTGTTCCACCGCCACAGTCACAAACGAGGACACCATCTCCGGCCTGTAACCTTAAGTACGATATCCTTAGCGTTACAAAAAAATAGAAACTGACCTTGACCGAGGCCCCGACCCCTTCAATGCCGTCTTTCGTAAGTGCCGTAATTGCCGCCGCTTCGGGCTCGCTGATAAAAAACAGTCGATCGCAGGGTCTGTCCCGGCTAGATGCAAAACCTGCCCTTCGAGCGGCTGTCCGAGTGACATCTTTTGCCTGATCGGACCAGATTGCCGGCACAGTGAACCAGAATTCTATTGGAGTAATAGCAAGGTCCGGAGGCGTCATGTGTCTGGCAAGTGTGTACATGATATGCTTGTAGATGTAGGTCAAGTAGTCGGCCACAACATCCACCGCTGTCTTGCCGGCTGGCAGGCGTAGAATCCCTGCTCCAGAAGCCTCGTCGAGAGACCTATCATCAAATTCTGTCAAGGACGTATTCTCATCTAGCAGTAGCTTTGTCCAAGAGCATGCCGACATGCCAGGCTGAACTTGGAAACCCCAAAGATCCGCAATGGTTCGCTCGTTCTCGGCCGCATATGCAATTCGGGAGGGAACTTTCAATACATAACTAGTGTTCTGCCTACTCCCTGGCCATCCATCGATCACTGTGATGTCCTTCAACTCTGATGCTTTAGAGCCGACATAGCTAACTCCTGTGTATGTGGTGCCATAGTCGATGGCCACGATGATCTTGCGGTCTGTAGCACCAGCGCCAAGCAAAGGATCTGGAAATGATGACATGTCTGTTATCTGAAATAGAAACTAGAACCTGTTGAGACTTTCTCGGGAGAATATGAGAGTTGGAAAATAAAAGCCGGGGTGGGTGGTCATCAACGCCTAAACTCACTGGCAAGCTCTGTCAGATAGACCAGAATACAGAGAGAGGTGGTTGAAACAACTCTGGGAGTTAGGAGAAAATCAAAATCAAAGATGTGTTCATCTTTGAAAAGGCCTTGATGGTCAGGTGATGGAGCTTTCGAACCCGAGTGAATGAGAGAAAGGAAAAGTAACAGTGGGGGTGATGCAACTTGGCTGATTGACCTCCCTTGTTCCGTCATCTTCCAGGCTTCTCTCACAACCTTCCTTTTTCTTTCTCACTCCCAAACCTTTCAGACTTCTCTATACCCTGACTACTGTTTCGGCCGCAAAACTGGAACATAGCATCCACAGCAGAGTCTATCTATAGCCCGCTCACTATCATCGAAAAAGGAGCCAGCAAGGAGTTCTAACCCGGTGTGAGGAGAAGACGGTAGCTGCAAGCTTGACACGGTGGGACTTAATGAGCACTAACCCCCTCAGTCCATCGAGCATCATGAACGGATTACATCGTGAAGTCAAAAAGGTTTGCCGCGTCTTTCCAAACGATTGCTTCAAGAGTATTTCTCTAACATCGATATAGTTCCTTCCCTTAAATGACTCCGAATCAGCATCCAAAGACACCTCTGTTTCAACCCTCGAACCTATTCAGCAGCATACAAGGATCAGTCTCGATGGAAGAACACCCGTTAGACCACAGGACACAGCCCGGTTTGGCGAGGGTGGCTTATCCAAGCAGGTCTACGAACGCGAGGCTCAAGCTCGTGCACAGATAAGCCAACTTGAAGCTGAAGTCGACAGATTGGTCAGAGAGAAAGAGCAGCTGTGCGAGGAAGCCCGGATTCGCGAGCGTCGGGTAGTTCATGCCTCGAAGAGACAGGCAGCCCGAACCCATCAGCATGTGGCCAGCCTTGAAAACCGGATCAGCGATCAGCAGTTCAGACTATCAGAATCTGCTCGAGCGCTTGCTGCACAAAAGGAAAAAAGCGCGAAACTGGAAGCTATGGTGATTGCTAGGCAGGAGTTAGCTCTCCAAGCTCTAAACGCAAAGAAGGGACCAACTCCGATGGAAGACCATGATGTTCGGCGCGCTCTGCGGAAGCTACATATGGCCATACGCTCGTGGGCCAAAATCTATGCTGTATCCGATGTATCCGATTTAGAAGGCATACCAGCATCGAAACTTGATTTGCTTGTGGAGGAGCTGGGGTCATACTGCAGCGAGACCACGTGGACTTCTTTGAACGAGAAGCTGTCTATCCCTGTCAACAGAGTCCCGGACATTCTCGTACAAGCTGCCTTGTCCAGCGTCGTATTTGAATGGATCTTTGAGGACCCCTTTTTTCTTTTCCATGACATGGCAATCAGTGGTTCCTTCTCCCTTAGCAACGATTTGGGAAGCATTTATCATCACATGAAGCAAGGCAAGTAATCACCCATTACTATTCAAGTCAAAAACTAACAGTACAGGAAATCAGTTGACGAAGTGGAGGCCCATGCTTGGCGATCGCAGATGTTGCGATTACTCTCCGTCCCCACAGAACAAAGTGCAAAGCCACTACTGGGCAGTCAATCTGGCAGCCTTAGCAGGAACCTAGCGGACCAGTTCATACAGAGCGCTACAGGCGCGTTGCTAAAAGAACCTGAAAGTAGAGAAACTCTTGAGACTCGAGTCAAAGAGCTTGAAGTTCTCCTTTCTGAAGCTGCTGATCTGGCTCTGTCTCTATGGACTCAACGTACGGATATGGGGTGCTACAGCCTTTACGAGCTTCCACAGTTTTGTAACGGAGATCCAATGGTTGAAGCGCATCGCCTCCATCATCTTGATGACGGGGATGCGCGTCTAGATTGTGCCAATAATGTGCTCGTTGTTTTCCCTGCTGTCGTGGCATATGGGTCTGTACATGGTGAGCATTACGACCAGTCAAAGGTGTGGGCAGCAGCAACTGTGTTGGTCAATAACCAAACTGCAGATACCAAACAGGCACATTCCCGCAAGATGAGCAGCTCTATCAAAGTGGAAGAATTTGATCAGGCGAAGATTCTCCCCAAGGCAGAGAACTCCATGAAGCTAAAAGATTGTATCACGGTGGGAAAATCTCCCAGGGTGGAAGCTCCTGTCAAGGTGGAAAGTTGTGGCAGTGTGGAAAAGCGTCCTAGGGTGGAATATGAAGATGCGGATGATCCAATGGTTCTTGACTTCGTTTAGTACAACCACAGCTCCTGTGTGATCTTCCTCGGAATTGCCAATTTATCTGCTAAACCAGTGGACTTTGCTTACAGAATTGCGACTCAGAAACTTCTTGCAAATTATTCAGGAATCGTGGTAATGGGCTATGGCTACTGTATCATACCTTTTGTAGCGCGGTGCCATTTTCGTAGAACTTCGTCAAGTTAAGCAAGAGTAATGGGCTACCTAATGAGGCAGCAGGACTTATTCAGTTCACTATCAAGCCAATCAAACCTTTCCGATAATTTCCTTCGCTTTACATATCCCTCTTCAGGATCACCAACTCCCCTCTTTCAAACATCTCCCATGGTGTTAACATCGGACCCTCTAAGAATTGTCTCCATCAACCTCTCATAATATAAAGCTCAACACCATCACATGACTTGCAACTTAAAATAGATTGGAACCTTTATCTTGATGGATACCGAAGAATGCACCCTATCTTCAACCACCAGCTCTTGCAGCACCAATAAAGTCCGCCGCGGTCGATATTGGCTAGGGATTCATGATTCTTCAGAGGCGCATCAGCTGCCAGGCCTGCGGAGAAAAATACATCACTGGTCTCGTTTGGATCGATCATTTTCAAAAAGCATTCTACTTGTAGTGAGGCATTTTAGACATTGATGCTACTTTGTAAGGTGAAATGTGGTCAACCCATATACACTTTAAACTGAAGCCTTGGCTGCATTGGTAGACATTTTCGGAAGCTTTCTCAGTAGCATGCCGTCGTGATCTTTTTATAGATCTTTTTATTAGAGATATACCTAAGCATCTTGGGTGGATAAAGCCTGCAACTTAATCCAGCTTCAATCAAGACCTTGTTCCTTAACACAAAGATGCACAGTTTCATCGCCTTTCAGTGATTTATGAAGCAGCAACCTAATTTTTTAAACCTTCCATTTGACATACTTCCAAACTCCAGAATTCGCAGTCTGTTCAAAGATAGCTTCAGCAAGGTGGTCATAACGTAAACAACATGATATTAATCCCCTCAAGGATCGAGTGTCGCCTTCGAGTCACGATCGGAACTTGACGCCGGTTCGGACTTGGAGCTGATTTTTTCCTGGTTGAGTCTGTCGTACAGGTCTGCAGGTAGCATATCCTTTGTGCTTCCCTCCCACAATTCCAACTTATCACGATCTGCGTCGTACTTGAGAACAGCCTTTCCTCCACATTCCTCGACCACACTAATAATTCTTTGCAATAGACACACGAACCTTTCAAGGTCATGCTGGTGAGCCTCTTCCCACTTCTTGATCTCCGCCGTCATGTCTTCAACCGTGGGCTTCCCGAAAAGTCCTCCCATGTGGTAGGCGCGCACAAGGTTCGGGGTCTGAGACACCCAGAGCTGAGGGATGACCTCTTCAACTTTAATAGGCATAGAAACAGCGCGAGTTTTGACCTCAAGCGTAGATTGAATGGGAACAACCTGGCCTTCTCTCTTGATCGACAACCCCGCCCCAGCTAAAGAAGCAGCCTGGGACAATTGCAGATACGGTCTACCGTAATAGAGGTACTCAAAGGGACGGGAAACCTCATCAACATTCACGTCTCCGACTCCCGTGGACCCGTTCGAAAGCGGGGAGCCGACATAGCCGTCCGTTTCGTGACGAACCATCAGCTTCAAGCCCCCGAATCGGTATGAGATGATCCTGTAATGTCCGGTACTCCCCGTCACTTGCTCGGTAGTGAAGGCCTTTGCAAACTCCTTTGCGAATCCTATGTACTGATACGGTAGGATGGTATCGTATGTCTCTCGCTCCGACCGGCAAAACATCACAGTCTGTGTGTTGCAGACCCTTTCTACATTGAGGGTGAACGGTTTGAGGTCATTGCGTGAGGTTTTGGGGTTGACGAACGCGAGAAGCTTGCGGATGTTGGTCTGGTCCGTCACTAGGTCGATCGAGCGGATGTCGAACGAAGGGTTCTCGAGGTACACGGCGCGGAAGAGGGGCTCGAGTGAACTGGCGGGGTGGCGCGCAGCATTCTGGGCTATGTAAATCAAGCCATAATCCTTGTGGAGCTTGGTGTGCAGTTCTGGTGAAGTCCAGAGGGCAGGACTGCCGGGGACGGCGATAGTCTTTGACGAGGCTTCGATCCAGTTATAGGAGGATATGTGTTATAGACATCTGTGATCCAGGCCATCTCCTGACAAGTGCTTCTGAGATCCGCACGGGATATCTCTGCTACCTTGACAGACGTCATTGAGGCTGAAGTGGATTGGGGTATTGAATGGACGGGAGTATGCACGAGGGAGAATCTTTTTATGCGGTCTTCGACATATGAAATATCTATTACCAAGCCAAAAAGATACAAAAGCGCGATGGTCCAAGAAAGCTGAAGGGAAGGGGAAGAAGAAAAGAGGAAGATGAAAAGTTCCTCATGTGTCGATAGGTAGGCTGGGAGACAAACACGGTTTTATTAACTCATAAAATGTTCATGTCGCACAGCAGACCCGAATACAGTGAATATGTCAGGATAATGACTTACCTGGTCCCGGGTCCCTGTGTTCTGGTCATTGTTACTTGCTATAATGTAACAATCCAATATGAGTTCTGGGATCCCCGTTTATTGCTCACTCTATCTCGATTCTCGCCTTCTATTGCGATGTTGCAAAGTAAACTTTATTACCTTTGCGTCATTATGCGGAACGCTGCTCACAAGCTGGTTGTTGAATTGGAAATGCTGTTTCATCTAAGCTAGCATCGAAAGGTCATAGTACTTACTAACTATAGTGAGTCTGTCTTTACTTACATTCAGTGCATGCTTCGAATACACCTTGGCACTAAAAGCAAGGGGCCATTGTCATGTACCAGTTTCAGGGCGGCAAATTTCACCAACACCGAAATATATTTCTTAACATGTATATTGCGTCCATAAAACTGGATGATTGCGTGCAATTGCAACATTATTCCATACACTTGCTACACACTATTCTGTCTTTTCTCTGAGCTCAACCCGACTTGCAAAATACATTTTGTAGCTATACACTTGCTACAAGGTCAGAGCAAGAGTTTAGCCGAATGCATAGGCAAAAGCGGCATTGTTGGCACGTGACCGCAATCAACCACTGTTTCCGCCACAAGAGTTGCTCGCTTGCATAGCCTTGGTTGCCTCATTAGCATGAGCATCGAATCAAGAAAAATAGTATATCACGTTCTCCATTTTTGCCTATGGAGTTCGACGCGGGCCTGCGGCTCGATCACATTAGTGGGCTTGGATGCAGGCTAGTGTCATGCAAGGCTTAGCACCGCGCTAACCTAACACGGCCAGGGAACCCTGTTCAAAGGAGCTGTCGGAGATCCGGAGCCCCCAATGCGGAACCGGTGCTGCAATCACGTAGCCCTGGGCCGGCGGTGTAGATCACGATCCTACAATCTACTCGACCACGAGGAACTTGCAGAAGAATCTCACTAACCACATGGTCGTCCACGAGGTCGACGCAGAAGGCAGGGATACACTGAGATAAGGGTAGTACTCGACAAGGACCAGGTTCGGTTGTACGGCAATCCCCAGACAAGTGACAAGGATTTCGCCACGAACCTATCTCGACAGCACTTACGTCCTCCTGTATTCTTACTTGTCTCAAGCCAACTATCGCCTCCGGGTTTTTACCGAAGAGCATACATTGTTAAACAGGGAAAATAAGCGAAATGCTATTAGGCCAAGCATCTTGGAAGTGGAGCTGGACGCCTATACACCAAAAGCTACAGCGAATCTCTTTGGTAGAACCCCTCGACACCCTCGTATTCAATGGATCCTGCCGGCGTCCGCCCCCAAATCCTCCGGAGAAGATTCCTTCGAGCTTCTTTTCTGGAAGTCCGTGAACCAATTCGAGTACTCCGGATAGCTTCAGCACGCTGTGAGGAGCTCAATGGTCTTGGTAGCTGAGGCTGGAGTGGTCAAGTCGGTAGACTGATGAATGAGATTCCATGGACGGCTCTATATAAAGGTGCTGGAGGACGGCGGACAACATCCAGAACAGACAGAACAATTCGAACACATATTCCCTCTGATTCTTAAAGAGGCCTCGTTGCTCATTACCCAAAGGTGACACAAGAAGCGCAAACATGTTCGCATCGATACTTAGCCTGCGTGTCTGCCTCGTGGCACTAAGCTTGTTCTTTATCTGGTCTCCCCTAGCCGCAGCCGTACCCCACGGACCTGCCCCCAACAAAGAAGATGCAGCCCATCTCGACAAGCGCTACACCAGTCCTACGGTAATCTGGCCCGCCAACCTCACCCGCACCCCGATGAACGTCTTCCTCCAGATCCTCAACACCCAGCCCAACCCAGACCCAGACCTCATCAAGGAGTGCGTCACCCTGGACGCCACCTACGTCTCGCTCACCATGGACAACCCGGACCTGCATAAGATCATGCCGTGGGCAGGGACGCGCTACCGGGTGGGCTACCAGGCCTTCCTGGACACCTTCACACGTGTCGGTCTCTGGTGGACCCGCGGCCCGTTCTCGATCGACGCCATCTTCAGCGATGGCGGGGGCAATGTCACTGCCTGGGGCCAGTTCGAGATCACCTCCAACATCATGCAGAAGACCATCACCGCCCCCTGGTCGGCTCGGGCCGAGATCAACGAGGACATGAAGATCACCTACTTCCAGTACATGGAGGATACCTTCGGCACGGCGAGCACCTTCTGGGCCGATGGACAGAAGGAGTATCGGGCGGATCCATATGGGGGCAGTGTCTGGCTGTGAGCTTGTGGCTGGATCGGTTTCAACTGAAGATGAAGATGGTGGGGTGGGGATATTGAAGGTGCTACTGCATATAGATTGATCGGAACTGCTGGGGATGACTGTGTTGGGTAATGGTGCATAGAAGCGGAGGATGGGATGGTTTGGGACCAACTAGGATTAGTTGAATACACCTGTTGTTTTGCATTGGCCGGCCTTTCCGCGCGTCCATCCTAATCCAGACTTCTGAGTCTGTAAGCAAGACCCTTCACAGCGCGTACTCCGAATAACCAATGGCCAGAATAGGTGAAGGAGAGGGAAGTGCAGCGGTGACCTGAGCTGATCGGGGCTTCGGGATTAAAGCGGTTAACTCCTTTGAGCCAACGGCCACTCCGAAACTCCTTTGGGTGACAGGCAGGATGGCCGAATCGGGTAAGCGCGATGCAGGACCGCTGACTAAGGAGCCGATAAGAGCTCATGCCACTCCGATAAGAAAGTACAAATAACGATAACAAGACCCCTCTTTGCTCAATGCTACTCTACCTCTCCCTGCCTCAATTCCTGCTCTTTTGATTCATCAGTCTTGTTGAGAAACCATCCTCACACACCATGACTCGCGTACTTCTCACAGGTATATCCCAATGTACTCCCGGGCCAAAGATCCGAGACTAATCGCCCAACAGGTGGGAGCGGCTTCATCGCTGCCCATGTCCTGGAAACCCTCCTGGCCCGCGGCCACTCCGTCGTCACCACCGTTCGATCGCAGAACAAAGCCGACGCCATCCAGAAGGCCCACCCAGATGTCAACCAAGATCGCTTGTCGTTTGCCATTGTTGAAGATATTGCCCAGCCGAATGGTACAGTCTAGCCGTCTTTGTGAAACCAATGCCTCTCCATGACTAACCAGCCACCCAGCTTTTGACCGCGCGGTGGTGTCGGATCCTCCTTTCGAAGCTGTCATCCACACGGCCAGTCCTTATCACTTCCATGCCAAAGATGCAAAGGAGTTGTTGTTGCCAGCCGTCACGGGCACCACGGGGATCCTGCAGTCGGTGAAGAAGTATGCTCCGCTGGTGAAGCGCGTCGTGGTGACATCTTCCTTTGCTGCCATCAACGATGTCTTCGCCTCTGCCGCTGGCAAGGTGTACTCGGAGGTAAGCCGTTTGCTATATGAACCTCACATCAGGCACGTACTAAATCTGCGATCGCGCTACAGGCAGACTGGAGTCCCATCACCGAAGCCCAGGCCAACGACAGCCCCGCCAACGCCTACCGAGCCAGCAAGACGTTCGCTGTAAGCCTGCCCCATAAATGGTCTACACAATACATTTTCGAGCTCCAGAATCACTTACAATTACCCTCACACAAACAGGAACGAGCCGCCTGGGACTTCGTCGAACGCGAGAAGCCCAACTTCACCCTCTCCGTGATGAACCCCCCGCTCGTCCTCGGGCCGATCACCCACCACCTCACCTCCCTCGACGCCATCAACACCTCCAACCAGCGCATCCGGGACCTGCTCTCCGGTGCGGCCAAGCACCGCTGCCCGCCCACGGGCAACTACCTGTTCGTGGACGTCCGCGACCTCGCCCTGGGGCACGTCCTCGCCGTCGAGAAGGAGGCCGCCGGCGGCAAGCGCTTCTTCACGGTGTCGAGCCACTTCTCCAACGCAGAGATCGTCGCCATCATCGCCGAGGAGTTCCCGCAGTACAGGGACCGGCTGCCCACGGGCGACGCGCTGAAGCCCGGCCAGTACCCGGCCGACGGGGTGTACGGGTTCGACAACACGCGGGCGCGCGAGGTTCTGGGGGTGCAGTTCCGGCCGCTGCGGGAGAGTATTGTGGATGCGGTGAAGAGTTTGTTGCCTCTTGGGGCGGATAAGTACCAAGGCGAGGCGGGGCCGGAGCGGTAGGTTGGACAATCCACGCGGTGGGATCTTGCTGATGGGTTTGTCTTGTTTTGGATGTTGATATCTGGCGTGACGTTCTTTGCATGTTGTTCCATCAGTCCGGTTAGTTAGACGGAGTGAGAATGTAAAGTAGTTCAATTGTTCTAACATGGATTGAATATGCTGGCTCTAAGTCACGGAATGGGAGATAGGGTATGCGTCATGCGACCACAGGTACTGTCTAGACATGCTTGTACAACACTTAAGACGAAGTCGCCCGGCATAGCCGACCGTCCGCCTCCTGCACCCAGTTGTCACTCCCCACTGCTGTCCAGGCATAAAAGGAATCCTGGGGATCGTATTGCTTCTTGATGGCGAGCAAGCGGTTGTAGTTGGGTCCGTAGAAGGCTTCCTTCCAGTTCGGCTGTTGCGGGTCGGCCTGGAGATTTCAGTACATCAGTGGTGTTCTGCCATAAGTCGTGACTGCAAACTTTAGGAACTTACCTCGTTCATGTAACAGCCCGGATCCGAGGTCAGGGCCTCCAGCGTCGGCACCCACTTCTGGGTCATCTGGTCGGCGAGCTGCTTCATCTTGCCGAGATTGGCGTGCTCGGGCCAGGACCTATCCAGCCTTTCGTGTCAGTTCATGTTCTCGAGTCTGGACTGCGGATATAGGAGGCAAAACGCTAGATGAACACTTACGTCGACAGGATAACGTCCATCGCGGCCGTGCGCCACGAGGGCAGGACAGAATTGTTGGTGGGGCCCGTCACGGCGGCGGAGACATTCAACGCGATACTGACGAAGACGGCGCCGTCCTGGGTGATGCTGCGCACCGCGGCGGTGAGGTTGGCGTTGGACTTCTCGATGACCTCCAGCGGGATCAGCTTGCCGCCGTACTGGCCGTTCTCGACCAGCTGGGTGGGGTTGGGCTCGATAAGGGTGTTGTAGTGGTCCACGTACGAGGGGGAGTGGGTGAGGTTCATGGCGTAGGTGATGTTCAGCGAGTCCAGCTTGGCCGTGAGCGGGCTCAGCAGGTCGAGCGCGCGCTGCAGCGTGGCGTTGGGCAGGGTCAGCGGGGTCAGCAGGAAGGAGGCGTTCATCACGCGCGCGATGGCCATGCCCCCCGCCGCGGTGATGCTGGGCACCAGCGAGTGGTAGTATTCCACCGCTTGGTAGAAGGGGTCGAGATCGCTCGCGTCCTCCGCCGCGAACTCGAGCACCACCCCCACCGTCGGGAAGTCGGGGAACACCTTGACCGTCATCGAGGTCACCACCCCGTACGTCCCGCCGCCGCCGCCGCTGAGCGCCCAGTAGAGGTCGGCGTTCTCGGTCGGCGAGGCGCGAAGTTGTCTCCCTTGCCCGTCGACCACCTCCCACTCCAGCGTCTGGTCGGCTGCCAGCCCGTACCGGCTGCTGAGGGCCGAGTGGCCCCCGCCCTGCGTGTAGCCTCCGGCCGGGCCGACGGTGGCGCATTCGCCCCCGACGACTACCAGGTTTGATTTGTGTAGGGCCGCGTAGACTTCTTCGCCTTGTACGCCGGCGCCGATCGTGACGGCCGGTCCCGTGTAGTGGGGGGAGGAGTAGTCGTGCACGGTGATGTTCTTCAGGTGGTGTGTCCAGATCGAGAGGCCACCTGCGCCGGTGGATTTGCCCATGTAGCTGGGTGGGTGTTAGTTGTTCGATTTGGCATGTTGCATTGGCTTGGGAAAAGGAGAGGGAGGGAGGTATACTCATGTCCAGTGTTGCGGATGACAAGTCGAATATTCTTCTCGGCGGCATAGGCTATGGTCTGCGCAATCTCGGCGGGCGAAGAGACGTTCACGGCATAGGACACCATGTTCCCCAGACGACAGGTGCCCGTAGATGCTGCGAAGGGGTCGCAGCTCTCGTTGGCCACGGCAGCAGCCATGATTGAGGAAGAAGATGCATCACTAGGGGTGTGATTGTCAGCTTTCTTGACCAAGACAGAGGAAAGACAGGTTGACTTACTGCAACGCGGGCTGCGTCCACTCGTCCCGCAGATACTGACACTCGGTGGCATTGTAATTGGGGTCAAAACAAGGCGCAGCCAGAGGAACCGTCTTGATGAGTCGTCCGCCGACCGTCGAGTTGAAGTGAGACCATTCACTCGTGGTCGGCCAGCAGGGGTCGCCGGGCATGCATCGACACTGGGATGCTGTGGTATTGCTTTGCTCGGCTGCGGCTGTGCCGAGCAGGAGGGCGAGCAGGACTGTCTTGAACACCATTTTGCCGTCTTCGTGGTGGATTGTATTGATGCTTGAGTGGATGTATCTGTATTCGACCTCGTAGATAAGCTGTTTATATACACAAATGCAGACGGCAGAATCCTGATCCGAGGCTCCATCTTAGAACTCAGAAACTGAAGCTGAACACGCGTGTCTTCCAGAAGGAGCTGCTGTGAGCCAAGAATCCTCACGCATGCAAGCAAAATCCTTCGAATTTGCCCTAAAGGGAAGTGGATGACTCCGGGGACTCGGAGTAAGCATCTTCTGGGGCGAATCCGGAATAGTAGGCTTTCGTACACGAGGTGGCTGCCTTGCTGCGAGTGCTGGTGGTCTAGAGTTTAGGGAAAGGGTTTATAGAAGTTTTGTCTTCGACAAGAATAAGGCTGTGCAGAATTACGCCTTATGTTAGGGGGGGTAGATCTTCTGTGTTGCATGGGTGTAGATGGCACAGCGTTACCACGTGGGATCGGGCTGGGATTAATCGCACATGGCAAGCACATGGTTTCCCCAGTTCATGGCCTCCCATGCATCTTCCAAGCTAATCTCTGGCCTACAACATATGCACTAAAATCCCAGTCATGAATCTGAGGTGGATCTCATCACGCTAGGAGAGCTATTTGTTCATCCCACGTTGATGTTCATGGAGATCGAAACTATAGTCTGCATCTTGTTTGTTGCATATCTTGAACATGTGCCCACGTTGGTCTGATTCAGATCCTTGATGTGGAATACTCGTTTACGCTACACCGACATTCATTTGAAACCCAGTAGAATCAACCATGATCTTCAAATTCATAACATTGCAATCGCATACGCTCAGAAATTTAAAACTGGGTGCCCACATGAATCCCACCATCTACCAATACATTCGTACCCGTGACAAAGCTGGCCAACGGACTTGCCAAAAACACCGCCACATTTGCGATCTCCTGCGGGCCTCCCAGCCGCTTCAGTGGGATCTTCAATCGCTGCTCCTCCACCCACTCCGGCATGGTCTTCGAGTACAGCTCCCAGGGCCCGCCCTCGCAGAGCACGGGGCCCGGCGAGATGGCGTTGACCCGGATGCCCTTGGGGCCCAGGTAGTGCGACAGCTCCTGCACATGCTGCAGCTGGGCGGCCTTGCAGGGCCCGTAGGCCGCGGGCGGACTGCGGTAGAACTCACGGCCCATGAACGAGCTCTGCACGATGATGGAGGCCTGCGGGGATTTCTCCAGGTAGGGCTCGGCCGCCTTCACCAGCTCCACGAAGCCCATCACGTCGATCGCGAAGCTGCTCTCCCAGTGCGCAGTCTCGCCTTCCATGTGCATGGGCGATGCTGGGGATGGTGGGATCAGCACGGACGGTGGTTGGGGGTGGTCATTGCAGGGAGAGGAGGGGAAAGACAAACCGTTGGCGATAATGACATCGATCCGTCCCACGCGTTCGGCGGAGCTGTTCACCCAGTTTACGATCGCTTCCTTGGAGGAGACATCGAACGCGGTCCCCACTGCGCGGGCAGAGTTGCTCTCCGGGAGGGTTTGGTGGACGTCGTTGAACTCGGTGTTGGTGACGGTGCGGGCGCAGTAGGAGACATTCGCGCCTTCCTGGAGGAATTGGCGCACCATGGCTTGGCCCATGCCTCGCGTACCTCCCGTAATGAGGACATGGGCGCCTTGAAGACCGGTTTCGAGAGGCATTGCGACGAGGAAAGAGTGGTGGTGCGAGAGCGCGAAAAAAGGAATTTGAGGGGATATTGGTTGGTGGAGTTGGAGGAGAGGGGAGAGGTAAGAAGCTGGATATATACCGGACTTGACAAAGTCCTACTAGTATCGTCACGGGAGTAAGCCTGCGAGCTAAGAGAATTAGTTAAATCTTTAAGGTACTAGGAGCATGCACGATCATGGTCTAGGCTCCACTCAAGTTTATCTACATCGGAGACCGGAGCATCTCAATGGAATGTCTGGAGGAGCGAGTCTTCCCTCCAGGAGTAAATAAGCTGTTTTCTCCTTAGGGACAGCCGAATCGGGCCAAGTGGGCCCTCACTCAAGCTTTGCTGACTAACCACCCGGGGACCTGCCCACTAACCCCAATCAGGCCACCCTTCCGAAACTCCTTTAGGAAGTCCATCATGGAGTCTTCCCGCTTCCCAATCCAGCATTCATTCTACGGAGTATGTCGTCAACTGAGCTGGTTGCAACGCTTCCTCTACTATCATCCAGAGATATAAGTTCATCGGTACACTTTCTCACCATGGCGGCTCTGGTACTTCTGTCGCAGCCAAGCTTTCTTGGAACCCTCCTGGTGCATTGGACGGCGAGATTGCAATATCCACAGCACCAATGGAGAAGTATCAAGCAACAGATACCTTGCAGCAGGACTCCAGCGGGAGTGGCGTGATGACGCCGGTCAACGCAGAGTCTCTGCCGGACAAGGAACAGATTGCTCTGCGTGATGACCCCTTGTCGGATTCATCCAACAGTGTGGCCGTTGAACCCATTGCCCTGAGCGTGAAGCGGTTTCTTTCCCTGCGCAATGGCAACGGGAACGCACTGCACTCGGCTAGAATCGTCATGGAGAACGTAACGGTTGAAGGGAGCGGTACCGGGGTAAGTGATAAGCTATTCTTCATCAATGTCTCTTCGGGGGAAGCACTGACACAGTTTCACGGCAGGCTCTGCCGGCCCCAAGCGTCCTCACAGCGGCAAAAGGTGGCTTTGGCCTGTTGGAGCCCATCCAAAGTCGCCTGCATCGTCCGTCATCACGGCCCATCCTTCGTGATTTCTCCGCTGCCATCCAGCCGGGCGAGATGGTCTTGGTCATTGGAAAGCCGGGCAGTGGTTGTACCACGTTCTTGAAGACCCTGGCTGGCATGTGGAATGAGTACAAGGGCGTCCAGGGAACCTTGACCTTCGGAGGTCAGCCCATGGAAGATGTCATTGATCGGGATCCACAGGATGTTGTGTTCTGCGGTAAGTGTTTGGTTGTCCTTGGATCTGTCAGGGTCGGGAAACGCAGCCAGCTAACGAGACGTAGGCGAGTCTGATGACCACTTCCCGACGCTGACCGTCTTCGAAACACTGCGTTTCGCAATGCGGGCGCGCTGTGGTCCTAAGCCCTCCTCGTCAGAGATTGACGACAGAGTGAAGCAGTTGGCGCAATTGATTGGGCTCGGTCATGTACTCAACACAAAGGTTGGAGACGCTTTTATCAGAGGTGTTAGTGGAGGCGAGAGACGCCGTGTCTCGTTGGCTGAGGCGCTCGCCACATGTGCAAGGTCAGTGTTCAACTACTCCCTGGAGACGAGAAGCTCTAACCATGGATCTGTTATATAGGCTGATTTGCTTGGACAACCCGACCAACGGTCTGGACTCCTCGACAGCGCTTGAGTTCATAGAGATGATGCGGGAATGGACCCACCAGAGTCAGTGCGTGACGGCCATGAGCGTGTACCAAGGCAGTGATGCTATTGTCCCATACTTCGACAAGGTTGTTGTGATCAATGCCGGACGTCAGATCTTCTATGGCTCCATCCAAGACGCCAAGTCGTACTTCCTCAGTCTGGGCTTCGAATGCTCGTCTGCTACTACCACCACCGACTTTTTGAACTCCATGTCCGCCAGTCCAGAGGTTCGCCGTGTACACGAAGCTCATCGGAACCAGGCCCCCCGCACACCCGATGAGTTTCAGCAAGAGTTTCGACGAAGTGTTCACTTTGACGAGCTTAAGTCGGCCGTCCGGGCTGCGAAGTCCCTTCCCGCCGTGGCCCGTCCTTCGAAATCGGCTCAATACGCTTTGCCACTTTACCAACAAATTGCGTACTGTACCACGCGCCAGGTTCGCATCATTCAACACAACTATAACTCTTTGGTTGTGGAAGCCCTGTGTATCGTTGTCCAAAGCTTGATTCTGGGCACATTGTTTCGAAATCAGCAACGCAGCACGGGATCTTTCTTCATCTTCGCGTCCGCCCTCTTCTACTCCGTCCTCGTACCCGCACTGCAGGCTATGGCGGAGTTCCGCAGTACATTCGCCCAACGACCGCTGATTCTGAAGCACAAGCGATACCGGCTGTACCGGCCCATGGCTTACGGCTTTGGATTGATCATGACGGATATTGTCTGGAAGATCTTCGTCATCTTTTGGAATATTCCCCTGTATTTCCTTACTGGTTTCCAAATGAACGCCGGCAAGTTCTTTACCTGGTTCATCGTGGTATACATCGAGCATTTGGCCTTGTCCATGTTCTTCCGCTCGGTCGCTGTGTATTCTTCCAACATGTACCGCGCTGTTCTTCCGGTCGGTATCTTCTTCAATATGTACGTTCTGTACACCGGTCTCTATGTGCCGCCACCGCAGATGCAAGTGTGGCTCGGCTGGCTGAGATATCTGAATGTGAGTTCGCCCAACAAAATACTCAAATTGCACGCTAACCCGAACGAACAGCCCCTCCATTATGGCTTCGAATCGGTCATGATCAACGAGTTTGGTAACCTGAGCTACGAGTGTAGCACCGCAGATCTTGTCCCGTCGGGACCTGGGTATACCAGCATTGCCAACCAGGTCTGTGCAGTGGTGGGATCGGAGCCAGGTCAACGAATGCTGTCGGGAATGGCATATATCAAGGCACAGTACGGTTTTGAAAGAAGTAACCTGTGGCGCAACCTGGGAATCAACGCAGCTTTCTTTATTGCCTTTGGTTTGGCCTCAGCGTAGGTCTCCCATTCCTGCCGTTAACCTTTTTTTGCCCCATCTTCGCAGAAACATGCTGACGAAAGGCTCACAGCATTGGTATGGAGCGTCTAAAGCAACCAGCTGGCCGCTTAGCGACTGTGTTCTATCGTGGTATGGGAACCAAGAAGTCGTCTGCTCCACAACCTGGAGCGAAGATGAGTGATCAAGAAAGCGGAGATCTAGATCTGGATGTCCCGCCAGAGCCAGGCAAAGAAACCACACGTGAGCGAAGCGCAACACTGGAATATCAGCCTCGCAGCCTGACCTGGACTGGGCTAAACCTCGATGTGAAGACCAAGGATGGCCAGAAACGCCTGCTCGACAATCTAAACGGATCAGTGTACAGTGGTCAACTGAAAGCATTGATGGGCGTATCCGGAGCGGGCAAGACTACTCTGCTGAACGCGCTGGCGGGCCGCTCAAAAGTGGGAGCCCTTACTGGAACACTGGCACTGAACGGACAACTGCTTCCCAAGTCTTTCAACCGCCACATGGGCTATGTACAACAGCAGGATATTCACTTGCCTACGCAAAGTGTACGAGAAGCATTGCAAATGACGGCCCGCCTTCGCCGAACGCAAGACGTTACCCTCAAAGAGAAGGACGCCTACGTTGAAGAAGTCATTCGCTCGCTAGACATGGAATCGATTGCAGATGCTCTGGTCGGAACGCCGGGAGCCGGTCTCAATCTGGAACAGCGCAAGAGGGTCAGTATCGGTGTGGAAATGGCTGCGAAGCCGGACATTCTATTCTTGGATGAGCCCACTTCCGGCCTTGATGGGCAGTCAGCTTACTCCATTGTCCGCCTTTTGCGAAGACTCGCGGACTCTGGCCAGGCAATCATCTGCACTATTCACCAGCCCGCCGCGGAATTGATCTCAACGTTTGACGAGCTCTACCTGTTGGCACGTGGTGGACGGGTTGTGTACGATGGGCCGTTGGGTGTGGAATGCCAGCAGGCTCTCGCTTACTTTGCGCAACATGCTCGCCCGTGCCGTGGGCGAGAGAACCCCGCCGAATACTTCCTCGAGGTGATCGGCGCCGGCACACGACGGGATGTTCAGACCGATTGGGCAGAGATATGGAAGCAAGGCCATAGCCAACCCTCCAGCATCCAGGTTGCACCTGCCTCGCCGCAGAGTGATTCGTCCATGTCCTTGCACGCCGCGCCCTTCCATTACCAGATGGTCGTCTTGCTCAAGCGAACATGGCTGTACTACTGGCGGGCGCCAGATTATGCTCAGGCTAAATTGTGGTTGAATGCGGGTAATGCGTTGCTCAACGGAATGACCTACCTCAACTCGCCACTGACTCAACGCGGCGCTTACAACCGCGTCTTCTCCTCGTTCATGTCCTTGATTGTCGGACCTCCCTTGGGTCTGCAGGTGCAGCCGCGGTTCGTCACATTGCGGAACATCTTCGAGCACCGTGAACGTGAGAGTCTGACCTACCACTGGATGGCGTTCAGCCTTTCGGCCATTCTGGTTGAACTGCCGTACGCCTTCTGCACCTCCCTCGTGTACTGGCTATTGTGGTATTTCCCAGTGGGATACTTCCGCGACTCCAACCACGCCGGCTACAGCTTCTTGATGTACCAGCTTTTCTCTGTGTTCGCAACCAGTCTGGCCCAACTGTGCGCCTCGCTGATGCCGACCGTGGAAGCTGCACTTTCGGCGAATGGGTTTTTCTTCATGTTCTGTAACACCTTCGCGGGCACCCTGTCACCGGCACCAGTCACACCCGCTGGCTGGCGTTGGTACTACAAGGTCTCTCCCCTGTTCTACATGAACGAAGGCGTGGTAGTGGATGTTCTGCACGATCTACCCCTCCACTGCGCGAAATCGGAGATGTCCGTGTTCCAGCCACCAACCGGCAAGAGCTGCTACGAATATGCTGCTGCCTTCTTGCAAGATGCCACGGGCTTTCTCGTCAACCCGAACAGTACGGCCAACTGCGAATACTGTCCCTACAAAAACGGCCAAGCTTACGTGAGTTCCACCTGCCCCCG